TGGAAGCTTCTGATGGTTGGAGCAGCTGCCAAAACACTGTATCTTCAAGTATCTTTGCACATATGGACCGGAGGAGGTACGTACACAAGTGCTCGGCCAATCCACGGCAATCGCGAGCGGGCACAAACACAGTTGCTGCCTGGCGTTGAAAACTCATAATGACATCTCGAGGGAGGCTTCAAGATGGCCAGATCTGGGTGCTGCACTTGCCGGGCGCCTCTACAGCAAACGCCGGCGCTTAACTCGGTAATGGACACCTCTCCTACCCGCCGGCCTGTACATGTTCATGTCTCTGCCTGAGAAGCTACCTCGGAGCAAGTACTGCTGTTCTACTTCGTACCCGTGCGGGTGTATTCTGGCCCATCATCGACTGTGCTCCCCCTCTCCATCCCTCCCGTCACGCCTCTTTCCGATTCGCCTGCGCGACTTGCCGGCCTGTTTGCCAACCTGATCGAACTGTAACTTGCTGGACGCAAACGAGGTCCGATCTCAAGCATGGTTTGACGCTTCCATCCCCCGGCGAGGCCTTCGTATTGACCCGTCGTCCCGATAGCCAACGAATTCTCTGCAGAGTGATGTAGAGGCCAAGCCGCCTTGCCACCCGCGCGCCGTGAGTGCCCGTCTTACCTGCACCGGCCTGCTTTGGAATATTCCACCTGACGTGTGCGGAACCTCAGTGCGCAATCCAGGGTACGCTTGCTCCTTGGACTCTCGTCATCAAGACTGTCGGCATACATACTCACCCAGGACCAACCAGACTGCCTGGCCCAACAACTACAGCGAGGCCAAGTGTCAGGACGCCGTCAAGGCCCTCTACGAGTGCTGCCAGGCCTTCTACCAGCGCTACGGCGACGACGCAAGAGCCCCAGCTGTCCCCAGCCTAGCCTCCTGCGCCTCAAGCTTAAGCAGCAGCAGACCGAGGCCAGATAGCGAGAGCGCCACATGTCATCATGGAATTTAACGCTCGTCGTATGTTGCGTCCGCCGGCATTGCGTAAACTCAGGCAACTTGTGTGAAGAGCGTCGGTGTGCTTCTAGGCGATCATTGAGCGCGCGAGAGATCCTCTTGGGACCTGAACAAGCAGTGAAGGGTCTTGTTCCGAGACTCTAATATGAATGCCGTTGACATTGATGAAGGAGAAAGGAGGAAGGAGACGGCGAAGAGCAAGAAAATTGCAGTAAATCCATCATTTGCTGTGTGTCGCTTTGTTGCATATCTTAGCCCATGTCCCTTGTAGATACCTATCGCAGTTTCCCACCGCCGTGGAAATATCCGTGCAGGTGGGTAGGTACCTTTGTACCCTGGTCTCTGCCAAAGCTCGATCGCGCAGCAAAACAAAGTCTTGCACACACCAGACTTGCAACCAAGCGAGGACGGCGATTAATCGAAGCTCTTACTCGAAAATACAACACTTGCCTCCATCGTATTCGCTGTGAAACCGGCCCAAACTGGCCGGTGGTGGGGCTTGCGGAGGGCCTGCAGCCCGCGCCCAAGTCAAGGCTAGCAAACCCGCCTCGCTACGAGGCACCTGGGCATTCGACGCACGCCCTACTTCCTGTCTCCGACATTGACCCTTGGCCACGGAGATGGAACCAAAGGAGGATGAGAAGCAGATCAAGGGCATCCAGCCCGGGCCCCACGTCGAAGAGTTCGCAAATGCTCTCGACAATTGTCTTGCACCCGGGCTGAGCTTGTCCGAGAAGAGAGCGGGTTCTAGATCTTCCACGAAAGTATCACGAGAACGCGATCCGGCGGCTGATACAGAAACGGCCGAAACGCATGCGATGGAAACGAAGACGTCGACATGGACGTGGACGACAGCGACGCCGCCAAGCCAGACCCGATGGTGCTCAACGAGATGAGGCAACTGGAAAGGGAGATTCAAACATGGGATCTTGTCCGTCGGCTCCTCCCGCTGAGATCTGCCGAAGCCCAGCCGACGTCGTCTCTCTTCACGGCGAAAAAGAAGGCGCTGCACGACTTGGTCGACACGGATCCTATACTCAAAGAGCGCCGCGCTGTCCTCCAGTGGCTGCAGACAAACGCCGCGTCCGGCCCCGACATTGACGAGTTGGCGCGCGAACTGCAACAAAATGCCGACAGGAGACATCATTGCCCACGGGTGGCTTCATACCCGCTCCAAAATCAAACTCAGAAAGAGCATGACGGCTTGGCCACATCTGTTGGATCGACAGTCCCCAAGCGTTACCACGTCCTCAACTCGGATGGAGCGCCGCTTGTCACACAGTTGGACCCTGACGCAGGTACGCGTCAAGGCCGCAAACTCGAGCCACAAGACGAATACTTTGAGCGGGCGATATGGCTGGGCTGCTTTGAGCATCTTCGTCGGGGCAGCAGCCTGCAGACCATACGCGAATGGTGCCAAGAACGCACCGAGATGTGGAGGGCGATTTCCATGTCGGGAATGCTGCTCCTGCTGATGGCAAGGTCATGGCAGACGCCCTCCGGCGTCTCTTGTGCTGTGGCGCCGCATGTGCCTCAGCTTGGCCCGGGGCGGCGGCTCCGACGACTACGAGCGGGCCGTGTACGGCTTGCTGTCGGGAGACATTGCGAGCGTCGAAAAGGTGGCCAAGAGTTGGGACGACTTCCTGTTTGCCAACTACAACGCCCTCTTGCGAACCCAGATCGATTCACATTTGCTGAGCCAATCTCCGCCCGACACGGTGTCCGTCTTGGCCCAGTCCTTTCCGTCCTTTGATGCTATTCAGTTTCACGGCGAACTGGAAGGTGTTGAGAAGCGGCTGGTGACGACGCTGGAATCCCAGAAGAGCACCAGGGACGAGGCGCTGGAGCCAAACAAGGCACTTCAAGCTTCCCTCATCGCGAGAGATATCGACCGTCATCTATACGAGCAAGCGCTCGTGCTGACTGAAGACGCAAACAAGGACGAGCCGTCTTTGCTGCTTCCCTCGATACATCCTACCGCGTGGAATTTCCTCAACGACAAGGGAGATCTTGTCCGCCACAAGTTTTTCGGCCTCGAACAGCACGAAGGTCTTCGCATAGCATGCCATATATATGTGCTCATAGCTCTGCTGCGCCAGTTCGACGCCCTGGAGGGCAAGGTGCAGGATCAACTCACAACATCTCACTGGCGCTCTGGCCAGGAGAGCATTATCGCCGGATACACGGATTACTTGGCACGTGCCAATCTGAAAGAGCTGATCCCTCTGTACTGCTCAATACTGCGGTCCCCGCGCCAGTACGAGGTTCTGAGCTGGAATATGATCCATGAACAAAACGCCGATAGGCGCATGACGCAGCTCAAGCTCATCAAGAGGGTCGGCATAGACGTTCTAAAGTTTGTGGAAACATTGGCGAAGCTAGTGTTTGACAAGCTCGATCACACCAACGACACGTTCACTGCGAAGGAGTCGTTTAGTATCATGGGGAGGGCCACCTACAGTTCGGCATGGGCGTGGTATCAAAGCCGACTTCTTCGGCGACGATGATGCCGTTATTTCAGCAAAGGACGAGCACGTCATCCGGTCGTTGGAGTGGCTCCTGCAGGTCCAGGTTGCTTGGCCCGAAGTCTTGCGTATTGGCGTTCAAGTATACAAGTTTTTCTTCAGTAAGTCACTCGAGGCGTTGTTGCTGGGAGATCGCGCATCAGGCCTGGGCTGACGCACCGACAGAAACACGCATCTGCTCGCGGCTCGGAGACTCATGGAGCGAGTGCAGTTTGACGCGATCTTGCAAAACGTCAGCGAGCAGGAGGTCGACCTCGGGGTGTTCGACGACGTCGACTTTTGGGCTCAGCAGCTCGACCAAAGCGGCATCGCTAGCGCAGTGCCGGAGCAAGTCATGACCGATGCGCGAAACTACCGTGAGCTGGAGCATCTGGCACGGGCGCTCGACAGCCTGGAAACTATGGGCTCCCTGATGAGGCTTTCCAAAGAGTATGTATTTCTCCTGCGGGGCAAAGAGAACGAGACTGACGAGTACAGGGCGCCACCAGGAGACCGCACGTTCTGGAGCGGGGTCGGCGATGCAGTCAAAGTCATGAAGGATCGGATGCAGCCGCTGCTGGGCAGCTGGCTGCTGACGAGCATTGAGGTACGTTGGCTGTCACCACACGCGGATGCGCCGTCGAAAAGCTGCTGACACCGAGTCAGGGGTGACAAGGAGCTCCGCGAGCTACGGCAGGTCTATTTGCCTGAAGCGATCCTGGCATTTGTGAGCGGCCTGCACTACGCGGGCAACGGGCTCTCCCGGACAACCTGCTGGAGTGCATGGAGCTGGCGGGCACTGTCGCCGAGCGCGAGTCGAACTTGGCGACGGCGTTTGTCGAGGCGAAGCGGATGAGGAGCTGGTCGAGGCATTTACGGCGTGCAGCAAGGCGCTGGCCACGGCAAAGGGAACAAGGGGCGACCGGTTCGAGCAGCAAGAAGCTGGAGACAGGGTGGTCGCGCGACCTTTGGACCGTCAAGCAATGAGACGGAGGGATACTGTACGAAGATCATTGGTGAGGGTGGAAGGCGGTTGATGGCGATGGGCGCGTTGCTGGTGTGCTTGTGCTTCCTCGAAGTCAGAGGCCAAGTGAAGAAGAGATATACCCCTCAAGGCAAGCAGCAAAGTCACGGAGTATCGGATGGAAGGTGTGTTTGCAACGAGAGATTCAGGCCATGAGAGGGTAGCGCGGAGGGTGTAACGAGTTGTTAGGTCTCGTTGACGATGGAAACGCCGCCAAGACGCTCTAACTTATCCGTATGCCGTGCTTGGATGATCTCAAAGCCCTCCTCTCCGCGCTGAGTCGAGCTGCCCCCTTACCTAAGCTTGGGTTGGGTGAGATCACCCCGCGTGGGAGTACCCACCGCCACACTCGCCTTGACCTCCCTCACCTCGACTTCACCAACCCACCATCACCCTCTCCTCCTCCAACCATCGCGTCTTCCCTTATCCTCGACAATTTATCGCGCGCTCTTCCTCCCGAAAACACCCCGTCTCTCCACCGCGGCAGCGCAACAGAATGGCAACGGCCCTCCCCACCGACGGCCCCGCAGCCACACCCCCTGCGCCGCCCCCGAAGCCCGGCAGCCACGACGCCAGCCGCATGGGCACGCCGTCCGGCCTCGTGCCGCCGCCGCCGCCGCCGACTGCCGCCGCCGACTACGATCAAGGGCGGTCTCGGCGACGTGCAGTCTGCTGCCGCGAATGCGCTCCGCAAGCCGAGATTGGGCCCGATCCGGGGATAACTGGCTGCCCGCCCTGTTGCAGGATAAATCGTGAGCTTGCATAGCTCACTCCCCCCCCCTCCCCTTTTCTTCTAGGAAGGAACGGCGCGAGCGTACAGGGACACAGCCATGCGCGTAGAAGCAGCGGCGGCGGCGGCAACGCTGATGTCATCCCGTCCAAACCACAGCACCCAAGACCTCGCCGCCCTCCTCAGCTCCCCGCCCTCCTCATCGCCTCACCCATGCTCCGCAGACGGCCCACCCGACCCTCGCAGCCTCGCACACCGCCCTGTCGCAGGTCCTCGCCCACAACGCCCAGCTGGCCGCCCAGCTGACGGCCCAGGCCTCGAGCCTGTCGCGCCAGCGCGAGGCCACGCAGGCCCGGCTGCTCGCCACCCATGCTCTCGAGCGTCAGTGGCGCCAGCGGCAGTCCGACATGGATCACGCCCTTGCGCCCTTTCCCCGCCTCGCTCTACCAGCGCCCGCCCAGGGTGTCCAGGAGCAGAGCGCCGTCTGCCACGCCATGGAGGAGAGCTTCCTCGACAGCGAGGGCGAGCCCGCCTTGGAGCGCGAGGTGGCCGATTGGGTCCGCAGATATCGAGAAGCTAAGGTTCAGCTATACCTGCCAGGAGCGCAAGGAGAGATGGGACGAAGGCCGAGTTGGTGGCTGGAGATAGCCATTGCACGCAGTAGGAGCACGGCGAACTGCGAGGACCCCGGCGAAAAAAACGCAGGGGCTCGAAGCGAGACGAGAGAATGCGCTGACGCTGCTGCGGCTCTACAGACAGACGAGCCAACGCCCTTTGAGTACGTGAGAGAGAGCGCACAGTCGTACGAGCACATGCAAAACACCATGATGGGGAGATACGAGGAGTTCATAGCCACGGCACCAACCATGGGCTGAACGAGCATGTCACCGATGTACGGGTCGCGCGACGAGTTCATGACGCATGACCTGATTCTAGTTGTGAGTCAATATACCCAAAGACACGACACGGCAAGAGACAGTCCCCCTCCTGTCCTCATTCATCGCACACCAAGCTTGGCTAGGCTCGCCTTGTGAAGTATCAGACTGGGACGGTGCAAGAGTAATCTGATAAGAGACAGTCACTCTACTCAAGCCGCTGGACAGACGACCTTTATTTCCTGTGCCTAGGGGAACAAGGTGCATCTGAGAATAACCGTAGGCGCCATTCGCCTGCGCCTTCCGCTCCATGTCGTTCATTTGGCCCAGCCCTGTCCCGTGGGCGCTATAAGGCGCTAAAGGGCTCTTCTTCATGTCCGGGCTGCGAGGGCTCAAGGGCAAGGCGAAGAGGTCATCCTCTCCATCCTGTGTACTCGTCTTGGCCGGTACTGAGCCATGGTGTTGGTCGCGGCGCGACATGTGTCAAGAAAGACGAGATGGCTACGTCACCTCCTTGATATGAGGACCCGGCAGATGGGAGATTGGTCATTGTGAAAGCATCCGCTGGCGAGCCGTCAGCGCACAAAAAAGTGACGGGTATGAGAGAGGAATGCGCATTCACCTGTCGAGCCGGCGACTACCAATTCAGCTGGAGACGTGGCCAGGCGGAGGCCCTTGAACCTATCGCCGAGTCGGCGGTGGGCTGGAGATGAAAACTGTGGGGACCCTGGGAGGGGTCGCGCACGCAGGAAGTTGTCGAGGATCCATTGCTTCTCGGCCAATACCATCTCGAGACCGACACTCTCGGCGTTGGCCCTCAGCTCGGCATCTATCTCATGCTGTAGCTCAGACAGGCGCCTCGTGGCCCAGAGGGTATGGAGGACGCCGCGGGCGCCGGCGTCTGCGTCGAAGCCGGGAGGGATATGGCGGGCAGCGGCTTGACGGTGAGCTCGTTCGACCAGAGCGGGCAATGGTGACGGCCGGCGGGATGGGAGCTTCAGGGGAGGAGAAAGTAGACTCGGCGGCGGGGCCCGGCTTCGTCCTCGTCGGCGTCGCGGGCGGGGATGATAGTAGTGGCAGACTTTCCGGACCACGAAACCTGCCAAGCAGCAGGCCCCAAGGCTGAGGCTGGGACGGGAGTTGAAGTTTGAGCTGAAGCTGGGGCTGGGGCGGCATCGAGGTCGGGAGCGGCAGCGACGGCGGGATGCCACTCGACCATGAGGACCTTTGTGCCCTGGTCGCTGAACTCGAACCTGGCCAGGTGGGCGGTGGTGGCGATGGTTGCAGGCGTTGCAATGGCTTCTGTGACACTCGTCGGCGGGTCAGGAGCAGTGGGTGCCGCGTCGACGGCAGGCCGAGATGGGTCCGAGAACGGATCCATGGGCTCTCGGCGTAGCATTCGGGGGGATTGCTACTCTGTTAGGGCCGAGGCGAGGCGAGGCAGGGCGACGACGGGTACATGGCCGGCCAGCTGATAAGAAGGTAGGCAAGGTGGGTGGGTGTGCCTTGGTTACTGCACAGGACGGTGATATTGTACAGTTCTGGACTGGACGGTGTGCGTATGTAGGAGGATGGCCGGTCCAGCTTCGGGCGGTCGAGTCAGGCGAGAGTTTAGACTGCTCTCTTGTGTGCGTGTGAGTGCGCAAGTGTGCGGGCGTCGTGGGTGGTGGGTGATGACGCTTCTACATGGTGGTGACGGTGGTGGTGGTGGTGGTGATGATGATTGATAATGGGCAGTGCAGTCGGGGAGGCGGAGGTGGAGGATGATGCGGCTGCCTCGATGTGATTGGAGAGAAAAGGCGAGAGAAGGAGCTGTAAAAGCATGCCTGGGAAGGAATGTACGGACGGGTCGTTGGTGATTGATTGGCGATTATGAGATACCTGCAAGAACAGCGCCTAAAGAGGCAAGCTACGCCTCCCTTTCCTTTGCCGCACAAGGGTAGAGCCTGCCGGGGAGGCGCGGGAGCCTTGGGTTCACAAGGCATGTACGGATACAGTGCTGTACCTTCCAGCCTCTCTCTTTGTTACGCTCCATTCTCTGGGACATGCGTGTCTGATAAGCTCAGGCACCTTCGTCGAGTCACAAGGAGTACGGATATGCAGATTCTCGAGGCAAGGCACTATCAGGACAGACCTCGCGCACGTGCTCTTCCCCCTTTTGAGCCAAGCCATGTCCCTTTCTTGTTGACGTGGGCATTTCCCTGCTTCTATTTGCAGCTACGGATACACGGATACTTGGCTTATCAACAAACCCATCCCACCTATCATCCAGGTACGTACGGATACAATACTGATATAAGTTATCCCGCCGCTCGGCCCCGCCGGAGCGATAACAATGCGTCCGAAGAAGCACCACGTGTGGAGCCCGGCACAGCAGAACAGAAAAAGAACCGCCGAGGATGCCTGTGGGCCAGCAGCCCAGACAGATGGCCGGCCGCCGCTCCACGTGCCCAAAAATCGCGGCCGGAGCTTCGGCCACCCACGGGCGGATGCCAGCCCGCCGCTCGTCAACAGTGTTGTAGCATCGCAGGCCCATGTACTTACTGTATCACGCTTTACCTACGCACAGTAGCGTCGTGGGCGCTTCCCGAAGACGCGGATGACCTGAACAGGTCCTTGTTTGTTCTCCTTTATCCTACCCCCGCCCAAAATCGCACAACAGCCAGCAGGGTGCAACGGAGCGATTCTCGCATGGGCCGGGCGTCCCGTCAAGAGAGCGTGCCGGCCCGGCGGCGGTCTCCATGCCGAGCGGGCCGCGTCCCATCATGGCGTAGCATCAGATGCATCCCATCTGCCGCACAGACAAAGACGGTAGAACGCACCTACCATGTCATTCGTCTGAGAAGCCACGCACTTTTGTGTTGCAAGCATTAACTTGTCTTTATCGCACACCACCCATCTACATGCTACACATGTGCCTGGCAAGCCTCAAAGACGAGGCCCGGCGAATGGGAGTCTGATTGTCCGGCAGACCAAGAGTGTCGGAAAACAGCAGCGGAACTTCCTCGGTGGGCTAGGCTGTTTGTTATCTCTCCACAAGCCACAATGCAAAGCCGAGTCAGGCAGGGCACCGGCGCCCAATGGACGGCCACGACACTGCCACTCGGCCGAAAGCTAAGCTTGGCCTGATACGCTCAGATGCAAGGTACGCACAGCATGACCTCAAACCTGCCTCTTCTGGGACTCCGTTTCACCTCGCGCCGTGCAGCAGACTTGCTCGGTGCAAGAGGGCGCATCACGGACCGTTGAACTCGGTCCGCAAATTGGCAATTCAACGGCTTGCAGAATAAAAGGTGAAGGCGGTTCGCCGATGGACTGGCTGGAATAACACCGTATCGGCCTGCCCTGGAGCAAACTTGGAGCAAAGATAAGGCCCAGTCGTTGAAACGACGATGGTTGTCGACGTCGGACTCCGACAAAGTGTAGAAAAAGGGTACAAGTTAGGTACGTACCTACCCATGTCACCCGCCTGGGCATGTGAGACCCTGAGAGGCAAGCCAAGGCTCACGCCCACAGCACAGTACAGGGCTCTCCTGTATGTCGTCAAGTGCCCGGCATGTTCCAGCAGACGCTTCGTCTATGTATAGTGCACACAGGGACATGAAGCTAGTCTTGAGTCGGGCAAGTGCGTTCTGGGACGCAAGCGCGCCGTATCATACAGTTCTGAATGGCCGAGGCACTTTTGCGGCGGCAGAGACTGGGCGCATGGGCGGCATGGGTTGGGTTGACGGACGGTACCGACAAATGCAGAGCATCTTACGGAGAGGTAGGTACCTTACCTAGGTAGGTAGTGTCCCGAGTGCTTTGGGTGCATGGTGGCCATGGTACAGCACGCAATACATGCAACAGCTACATGCAAGAGCGAGGCCCGTCGACATCCATTGCCCTTCCTTTCTACTCGGGACAACTGGATGGCAGCCACGACGCGGCGTGGAGAAAGGAGGTGAACCTTGATCGTGTACCGTGCATCGCACCGTGCGCAGCCTCTGCACTGTACCTACCTAGGTAGGTAGGCATCCATGGCTGCTGCTGGCTCGCGCGGGGCCCGGATCGGCATCGACGAGACACGACGCCGTCGGCGGCACATGGAAACGGCCGAGAGAAGGGCCGGAGGGTGTTCGCTTTGCCTTTTTCGCCCTTTGTGCACCCCTCCTCGCTGCGAGCGCGCGCGCTTGCGCTTGCTTGCTTGTCGACTGCGAGCGAGCCTGTCTATTCCGTGTATACACGGCTCTCTCTCTCGCTCTTGCTCTTTCGCTGCAGGACAACTCTGTCGAACTGATACTGGCTCGAGCCACGGGGAGAAAAGTGGTCGGGAGAAAGGGTCCGTCCCATGAACGCGCGATGAAGACGGAAACCAGGCGGGAGCCTAGGTGTTGGGGCAAGCGAGGTAACGTAGTAGGTGACTTGGGCTGGACATGCCCAAGCCGTCCTCCTGCCAACCTGATGTCCTGGGACTATCATGACGACGTCTGACTTTGCCAAACAGACGACCGGTAGCCAAGGGACGGGCGGGAATTGACTTGGGGTGCGCGGATGCGACCGTTGCAGCGGGCAATGGCCGCGTTTCACCTGGCCTAGGCGTGACCATGGGCCCAAGTAGCGATCGACGAGAGTCAACGACCAAGTCGTCACGTTGGTTGTCGAGTGATTTTGATTTTTGAAATTTCGCTTCGGAGGAAAAGAGTTGGCGACCGCGGACAGCCAAGATTGCGTCTCACGTGGGCGGCTCGCCATAATAGCTTAAATCTCCTTGTCCATTGGCGATGCCAAAAAGGTCGATCAACGAGTCCACTGCGAGCACAAACTCTCCGCTTTCTGCCGTGTCTGCAAGACAAGCGTCTCGTGGGAGAGCGAGAGGCAAAGAGGATCAAGCCTCGGCCGGGTTGAGTGGTGCCCATCAGTAGGTATTTAGCACAGAAAGTGCGCCTGGAGACGAGACGTGCTTTTGCTCCAACTCCCTGACGCGTGTACTGCAGTCTTTTATCCTCCCAACTCGCTCAGTGTCCGCTCGGCCGGGAAAACCGAAGCGGGACTGGCTGGACAAGAGACGTACTGTATGCCCCTTCTGATTGCTCCGTACTACTAATCGCCGGTAGCAGCAGGAGGTGGGTGGTGTGGTGACTCGTACCTTGGACTTGCGAGAAGCAATCCCGTGTCTTGGCTGCAAGGAACAGATGACAATGTTTCCGACACTGTACGATCACCGCATGTGGGAAAGGCCGCGGCACAGTGCGTACGGTGAGGCGAAAGGGAGATAGATGCCTCGGGTACCGAAGCCGAAGCGACTAGTCCCCTGTATCCGTTCTCCGTAGCGGTCGGTTCCTGATACCAAGTACCTACCTCGGTACCTTCCTGCCTGCCCACCTGGGTACCTACTATCATCCACCTGATTACCTACCTGGTAGGTACTGTAGTACCACCAGCCGTCGACTGGCTGGCACGGCACGGTGGGCGACCTCTGATGCGCCCTCTCCACTATTACGCCGGCCAAACGGCCGTTTCGACGAACCAGCTTCGCCGCTGAGACATTTCCCTGATGAACCCGGGGTTGGCGACTTGGTTAGGTCGGCGCTGCCAGGTACATATCCGGTACCCCCATCTTTTCCTCTCCCTCTCCTACAGGCGCCCTCTCGCCTTCTCCTCTCCCCTTCTCGCTCCGCGGTGCGCGCGACCGCCTGGGCCCGCTACAGACCCCCGCTACCGCCGCCACCACCGGCCCAGCCTTCCATACCACCTCGATCCTGTTGAGCAGCAAAAATCCATCCATTCCCCAGTCTGTCTCTCTCCCTGTCTCTCACCTCCTCACCCACCACCACCTGCCTTCGCCTTGCCTCGCCTCGCCTCGCCTCTGCCACTCAACCTGCGATTGTACCCGCGCTGCCGCCTCGCCTCCCTCCCTATTCCTCTCCGCCCCGCAGATCCCTCAAGTGCAGGCCATCACTTCTTTCTCCGGTTCCTAGGCCATTCGGACCCGCAAAGCCTGCTCCAACATCTCGCCATCCTCGACCCGGGCTCGATCGACCGTTTGTCCTCTTGTCTTCCGCCGCGGCGGCCTCGGCGCTTGCAGCCCTCATCGTTGACGACGTCCTCTCTTATCCGTGGCAGCGCTCGACTCAACTTGCTCCGCCTCTCGCCGCCCATCGACTCGACCCCATTTCCGCCCTCACCCACCTTCCGCCATGTCATATCTCTTCAGCTCGCTCTGCGCCATTCAATAGAGACGCTTCTCTCCCATCGGGCTGGCCCGGCCGCTCGACTCTGCCGTCCGCCACGACCCGATAACCGCTTCCTGTCTTTCCGTCGTCGATTGCGATTCGACGACGACCGCCCACTCAAAACCACCCCCTGCCGCCATGGACCCCCTCATCACCGAGTTCGCCTCGGGCGCTACTTCGAAGCTTCACCAGCTCAATGCTAGCCAGCAGCCGCCGTCACATGCCGAACCCCCCGATTCCTCTGCTTCCAACTCGGCATCAAACTTTATTCTGCCATTGCGAGAATCAAAACTTGCCGAGGCCGATGCCGTCAAACCGGTCGAGCAGAAGCGGGACAAGGGCCGTTTCTTTGGCATACGGCACAAGGTCTCTCTGCTGCATTCAAAATCGAGCCACTACGAGCCGGAGCTGGTGCATGCCTCGCAAACGCGGGCATCGACCGAGTCGACTCGGAAAAGGTACGACGTCCTCTTCCCGCCCCGCCGGCTTACTGCCCTTCTAACCTGGCCTCTGCGCGCAGCATTCCATTTGATCAGTTGTTCCTGGCGCTGCCAAACGAACTGCAGGTCCAGGTTCTATCTTCTCTTCCTCTGACCGACATTCTCACCCTACGACTGACTTCCAAGTCGTGGCATACCCTCATCACCCTCAACGAATCGCCCATTGTACGATACCACCTCGATCACCACATCCCCGCCTACGCCCTCCGCCTTTATCCCATCACCAACTCTAGCGACATGACATTTCATTTTCTCTGCAGCATATGGCATCGGCTACACGTTGCTGCCAAACTAGCCTTCTTAATGTGCGAATGGATCACCAAAGAGATATTCTTGCGCCAATCCGAGGCCCAACGCGCCGCCTTTGCACCACAGCACGAACGTATGCGCCGGCGTCTCATTCCACTGCTCTTCACCATCTTCCACTTCTTCGAGACGTACCGAAAGCTTCATTTGAAGCACATGGCAGAGTTCGATGGGCATGGCCTTCACAGAATGCCCTATACCGTGAATCCAATCGAGAAGGAAATCATGGACATGTACGATGACCAAACGTTACTGAGAGTTCACGAAGTTTTCCCTCTGGTAATATCCTCCTTTTGCCGACGACTCCGCCCTCCGACCTACGTCGGTCGGGTCGAACGATCACCGTGGCTATCTCCGGGAGCGACCATCCGATGAGGTGCACTCGGCCATTTTGTGCCTTGGAGGTCTTCGTCAAGTAGAGCGGCTATGGGAGATTAAGGGCTACAACAGCCGGCGCACAGCAGTCGACACCTGGTACAATGGACTCACCAAGGAGCATACCGCCGAAGCGTCGACGAAGCTGCGCATGGGCTTGAAGGGCTTTGGTCGTAAGAAGTCGGCGGGCGCCGAGAGACCTGGAGCTCGGTCGTCGAACGGCGAAGGCGGATTCAGAGTCAAGAACCCTATGGAGTCGGACGCGGCCCACGCAGATGGTTTACTCGACTCGAGCTGGATCTTCAGCACCAGCTTGGCAGCTGATCGGCCCATGGGTCAACTACCCAAGGATCACGCCCAAAGCATACTCAACGATCTTCCTGTTTTGCAGCAGATTTGGCTGACCACGGCCGAGGCAATGATCCTCGACCGCGCAATACTGCAACGGACACAAGACATCAAGCGAAACCAACAGGTCATGCTCGATCTGATTCGCGAGGACGGCATGGACGAGGAGGATGAATGGTGGTACGGACGCAGCATTCACGAATCCATCCGTCCACCGCCCGGTGCTACGGACGATGACGCCGACTGAAACTTGGCTTGGTTGGCACCGCAAGAAATGGCTCTCCCCTCCTTGCGGGACCTCGATCTCCTGTGTTGGTGTGTCTGCTCTCGTTCTGTTACCAAAATGAGGTATGAGCATTTCCATGGCGTTTTTTCTGTCAGCGGTGGAAAGACAAGCAGGCATGTGTTTTGCGGAGTGGCCTCGTTCCTTGCCCGGAACGCAGAGCCGGGGCGCCTGAGCGAGGTTCAATGATAGACAGTTGCGGCGATGGGTGCCGCCTTCAGCCACGTCTCTTTTGTTCAAGCTTTGATAACGCGAGTGCATGCTACAGCGCAGAGCATCACAGGGATGAAGAGAACGGTTCCCCAACACGCTCTGTTTCTCCTCATGGGATGGTGATATGCTACCGCTTTGACACCCAGCCAATGTCCGACACATTGGTCACACAGGGTCTGTCTGTCCACACTGTGCACCATCGTTGTCCAGCCCAGCCTGTCCTGTCCTGTTCCTTCCAACCACCTTCGTGCATCGCCATCTTATCGCTAGACAAGGAATAATTCGTAAAAGTCGTTACAAGCCTCAATCCGCCCTCGCCATGGATGAATGAATATGAGCAAGATTCCCGCGAATTCACCAAGGATGATTCTCCAACGCCGCGGCACCAACGTCAGATGAAGAGATTGAAAACAAAACATACACGAACCGGGGGAAAAGGCCCGGGGAGATGGCGACGTCTCCAGGCGTCCTTTCTCCTTGGTCAGATTTCTGGGATTGGGCGTTGGCGTCACTGTCTCCGATGCTCTGGAACATGTGGTGGTCCCGCATCTTGGGCTGGGCCAGAGTCGTTTCCAGCTGAGACGGACTACCAAGCGCCGTGACGGCTGCCGCGTCCTGGACGTCCCGCTCCGTGAGGCCGTAGTCCATGTTCAAATAACTCTGCTCGTTGATGCTGTGGAAGGAGCCCAGCGTGTTAGGCTGCGATGTAGCCTGCTGATGTTGATGACTGTGGAACCCATGGGCCTGTCCAGCTCCACCCCGGAGCAGCTGGCCCCTGGCAGCGCCCGCACCTCCTTGCTGGGCCAATCCAGGAGCGCCGTTTCCCCCTGAATCTTGCCTTCCCATGCCCGGCGAGTACTGGTGGTGGCCGCCGCTCATGCTGCGACTGAGGCTGGTGCTGTGGTGGCCGAGGGATCCTATTGGGTTGCTCATGGGCGGCTGCGGCTGCGGCTGTTGCGTGTAAATCATCTGGGGCGAGAGGTGGACATGTCGTTGCGCGCCGTAGGCGCCAGCCATTGACTTCTTGGCCTTGGCGGCACCGATGTTTGCATGACGCCATGAGAATGCTGATCCGCCGCACTCACGCTGGGAGATGGGTGCTGCGACTGTTGGGCGTAGAAGCGCTGTGGTTGTTGCTGCTGGTGCAAGCCCAGGCTTGCACCCATGCTGGCGTTGGGCGGCCTGTTATTGGTGGCTTTGTGAGGTTCGAAGCTCCTGGAGGCTGATAGCTGGGGTGAAGCGCTGCTGAAGCCATGGCTCAACGCTGGTGATGCTGTCAAGTCGGGCGACAGCGCCTGTGATTCTATGCTCATGCCTGGCTGCTGGCTCACGTCCTTGGATATTCGGCGCCGCTTAGTAAGCTGGACCTGGGGAACTGCACCCATAGTTTGAGCGGCTGAGTAGCCTTGGCTCGCCGTGCCATCTGAAGGTGCTGGGCTGTCGTACTGAGCTGAACGCTTCGAATTTCTCGGATGTGGTGTAGCATTGGACCCGAGACTGCTTCTCTGTTGGCCATCCTGTTCCATCTGCTGACCCTGTCCCGGAAAGAAGCCCGTGTATATAGGGGCCGAGCCACTGTCAGGAAGAGAAGGGTGTCCGCCGCCGCCGGCAGCGACGCCTCGTTTCGTGGAACGCTTCCGGACAGACTGTGTGCCGGAGCTGGACCGTTCTGACCATCTTCAAGAATTGCAGGCGCTCCTTTAGACATATTTGAGGGCGAGACATGGGACTCGTCGAGCTCTGAACTTGGGCCGCCGGGGCCGCGATGGCCTGATCTGAGGCCCCTTTGAAGCATCCGGCTTATCTTTTGGTCTATTTTAGAGCCCTTCGGACGCCCTCTTTCTTTGCGCCAGGCGTGCTCGTCGTGCTTGCGTCTGGATTAACCTGGCTCCTACCGGCGCCTGAGATTGGACCGTCGTCGTGGTCGTGGCGGTTTGGGCGGCACTGTTCGCGACACTGCCAGATCGGCCGTTCTGTCCGTCAACCGGCAGTGGCTGATTCGTGTCTTGGGACCCGGACGGATTGGCTGTTGAGGGAGGTGGACGGGACTTCTTCATTCCCTTGTCTTTACGCACCTTGGAACTTTTGCTTCCCTTGGGTCGGCCTCGGGCTCTTCTTACAGGACCGTTTGGAGGGGCGGCCGTGGAAGTGGCCTCTTGGCGGTCCCAACCGGTCTGGCCCGCCACAGAAGAGAGAGGCGGGAGATGAAGATTTTGTCCCATGGCGGCAGGGTCGTCGACCGGAGGAAAAATTTCGGCAAGCCAGCTCAACAGCAGCGAGCCGGGGCCATTAGTCGCGGCACTAGAGGGAACGCTCCATCTGTCGGAGGCGGAGCGCCAGGGATGCCGCCGAAGTAAGCCAGCGCTTTGCACAGCTGGTCGACGACCAAGATGGGATGTAGAGTGCGCAGAAGAGTCAGGAGACGAGCTTGCTCGGCTTTTGTCTCGCGGGGTGCAGGTATGCACGTCTGCAGCCACTCAGATGTCGGGGCGGTTGTCGAGGTGGTAGCAGCAGCAGCAGTAGAAGTTGATGTCGGGACGGCGGTCCTCGAAGGCGGAGTCGCGGCATCAGAAGTCTTGGCCCTCTGAAAATCGAGTTCGTCGTTATGCCAGGTCGATTTGGTGCGCCTCACAGGTTGCCAGCCAATCTGGTTGGCACGTCTGGCCTGTGCCTCGGTTTCCTCGCTCGTTCGTTTTGCGGCGGCATTGCGATCGGAAGGCTTGGTGCCGGTCAGGTCGATATGCATGACGGCAAATTTGCCGTTCCTGTTGTTGGTCATGCCCTGGAGTTTGGTGGGCACTGGGTTTCTTACACGACCGTCTGTGTGGAAGCCAGTGGAATCTAGGGCGTCTGAAGCTTGTCGTGAGTTAGCTACCGAGCATACGGACCGCTTCACGACGACACATGGCTTGTTGCATGCAGCGAGCGAAGGGACGAACCTCGAATCGAGCTGCCGCTGGTCGTGGGCGGTGTCGGGACTAGCGTGGGGGACAGTACGGAGGGCGCCTCATTGCGGGACGGCTGGTCGTCTGGCTTGTTGCTGGCGGAGGGGACGCGGTAGCTGCGCAGCGGGAACGAGTCAGCTAAATAGTCAAATGCGAGGAGGCGAGGCTCAGCGAGCGGTCCAGCACGACCGAGGACAGAAGAAGAAGAGAGGGTGGCCAACGCGCAGCGGCAGCCATGGCGACCACAGAGGTCCCGGGCTCAGGGCGAGCACCCGAGGACGTGCCATGCCCTCTGGAGTGGATTGCGGGCGGCGAGTCGCTCATGCGGCGACGTATCTCATGTTCCAGCGTCAAGCTGGGAGAGGGCCCGTCGTAGGTAGAGCCGCGGACAGGGCCAGGTGAGGCGGTGATGACTTTGGTGCTGGTCAACGGGTCAAGGTAGCTGATGATTTGGATCCCTGAGCGGTCGGTGCAGCGTGGCAGCGTGTCGTCGAGCAGGTGGCGGTGAAAGGCTCATGAAGAAGCTCTCCCCAGCCTCGACTGCCGAGTGAAAGGTTTGCAAGACGGACTCTTTGGGGCCAACGACGCATGGCATTGGCAAACAAGGAGAGGAAGAGAGCGAGCAAAGGCCCAGGCAGGTACTCTGGGCATGTGTGTCGCTAAAATTATGGCGGTCACGAGGGCTACCATTGAGCAGCGGCTCGGGCTTGTGCGTGCATGGGGGTGTATGCAAATGTTCTCAGTACAGCGGGCCATGGTACCGAGTACGCCTAGTACGGCGTGCTTAGGCAGGTAATAAACGGCCAGGTCCAGGGCCCAAGGCACTGTCGCCAGTGGCCAGCCGAGCCCTGTGGCGTCCGCCGGGCCAGCGTCGTTTCCAGCGGGCATTGGACAGAGTGGGGAAACAGAGGTGCTGTGGGCAACGAGGGGTAGGTCACTTTGGCGGGTGGAGGACATGCTCGGTACGGACCCGGTTGTACAGAATCCGCCCGAGGAACCTATTTCGCCCTGGCTATGCTTGCGTCTAGGAACCTCGGGAGGAGCCGAGACGAGGTAGAGATTGAGACGAGGGACTTGCCCAGCCACCTTTGCCTCGTATCGGCCCATGTGCAGGCACAGTTGACGGCTACAACGAGGTACATTAGAGTACGGTGCAACCTCGCCTAGTACATCGACGGTGTTGGCCATCTCACTCGAGAATACATTCGTACGTACAATGTGCTCGGAATATGTGTACACATGCCAGCCTCTGACTCGAGCCGCAGCGGCCAACCGTCCTATCTTGCCGTCCGCTGTTGAGAGAGGACCGTTGAGAATCAGCATGGCGGGCTTCCCCAGGGGCTCTCTGGAGACAAAGGTATCCTCTACCTCGCCCGCCGAGGTGAAGAGGTATTACTAGTATCGAGGCAAACGCGCCTCCAAGCTCCCTGCAGTTACCCTCGCTCCCATCAAGGTGCAACGTTGGCAGTTGCCTTACCTAAGGTACCCGAAAGGTACCTCTGCCGAGGCTCCCATCCACCTACAATCTTCCCCGAGTCCCCCGCACATCTTGGGTACCCAAGACAGGGCCCCCCTCGTACCTCCCTAGCGCGTCGGCAGGCCGGACGAGACAAGACGTTACGAGACGTCTTCATCATCAGCCTCGTGGCCAAAGATACCTTGTAGTCGCGCCGCTGCACCAACGTCACAACATCGCCATCTTCCTTGTTAACCCCCCTCTTCTCCGTCCTCCGCGGAACACAGGCTCGTTTGAACATACGCGCGCGTTCTGTGTTGCGGAGCACCGAGCCGAGGTCGCCCGCCATGTCAACCAAGTACGCCCTGCTCTCCCTGCCCCTCGGCGTCTTCGATTCCAGCGACCGCGACGACGCCATAGCAGCCCTGAGCGCCACCGTGTCTCCAGATAACGGCTCGGTCGGTCCCTTTCGGATCCCCGATTTCAAGATTGGCACCTTGGATGCCCTGGTCCAGCAGGCCGACGACCTGGCCAAGCTCGAGGCATCATGCCAAGCCGTCGTGGCAAAGGTTGGCGACTCGCTGCGCCAGCTTCTCAACAATGACGAGGAGCGACTCACCTCTTACAAAATGGTCAACGATAGTCAGGATTCCCGGAAGCCATGCGTGATGACTCGGGCATCGTGTAAGCCTGCTGACCACGTCTTGCTCAGAACCGACCGACCAGTACATCCGCGGCTTTAGCTGGAACAAGATCCGATACCGAGCCGACAAGTCCCTGGGAGAGCTTATAGACACACTGCAAAAGGTTCGATAACGCTTCTCGCAAGGCTACCCTCCCACTCACTGAAGCCGTCCAGGAGCTCGTCACCGTGGACAATGACGTCAAAACCAAGTTTAACCAGTACAACTCGGTCAAGACGAACCTTGCGGCCTTACAACGACGCCAGACGTGGGTGTCCGCCTCGATGAGCACTGCGCAATGCCGCTCGCTAACCATGCTTGTCCACCTGCAGTGGTAATCAGCCACCAAATCCCTCACTCCCGTTGTCGATCCTCGACTACTGGTCCAAGATTCGGAATTCATCGAGACCCATCTGATCGCCGTACCGACAAATGTCAAAGGACTTCATCAAGACATACGAGACCTTGTCCCCATGGTCGTCCCCGATCTGCGGTCGAGGTGGACCACGACGACGAGTTCACCCTCTTCGCGGCCGAGACATTCAAGAAGCACGGCCCTGACTTCATCCACAAGTGCCGCGAGCAAAAGTGGACGCCGCGTCAGTACACGTATGTTCAGGGCGGCCGCGAGGAGGAGCAGCGTGAGCTGGACCGGGTCACCAACGAAGAACGAAAAGTTTGCGGAGAGGCCTTGCGCTTGGGAAGGACCGGGTGGAGCGAGAGCGTCATGGTCTGGACCCATGTTCTGACGCTGAGGGTCTTTGTCGAAGCGGTCCTGCGCTACGGCTTGCCGCTGGACTATGTGACGGCTCTGGTCAAGGTATGCCGGATCTACTGGGCTTTTCATCCCCCTCCCCGGAGTGGAGCTTCCTTTTATCGACTCTCGCTTGGCCCAGACTTGAGCAGCCTCTTGAACAATTTCTGGCAGATACTGACGTGTGCGTCGCTCCACATAGACAACATCGAAACTGGCTCCCAAAGTCAAGTCTGCCCTGGACTTAAATTACTCATACCTGGGAGGCAACGCGTTTGGCCGGGACAAGCGCGGACGGGTCACCAAGGACGACGATGACGTCGGAGATGGCGGCGGCTGGGCTAGGGACGGGAGAAGGACAGGAGTACACGGCCTATGTCTACTACGAGCTCGAGTTGCCCTGACCGGGTCCAAATGGATGGCAAGTCGCATGTGTGTGCGTGTGTGGTGTACAGTGTGCTCCAGGCGGCGTGTATTCTACCTCTCCGCCTGCAAGGGAAAACCCGTTGGGGGGGGGAACGGGCGAGGGAGCGACGGGGGCTAGACTCGACGGGATGGCAGTTTCACTTCTACTTTAGCACATATTATGCAACTGCTCCTCGGTCATGGAAACAAGGATGATTGAAGTCCTAGCCTAGCTTGATGTAGCCTTTGTCAGCTAGCCACGCGGTGATTTGGGCGACGCAGTCCTCGACGGAGCTCTCGTGGGTCCTGATTGTGATTTCGGGACTGGTGGGCTCTTCGTAGGGGGCGGAGACGCCAGTAAAGTCCTTGATCTCGCCGGCGCGGGCCTTTTTGTAGAGGCCCTTCGGGTCGCGCTGTTCGGCGACGCTGAGGGGCACGTCGACGAAGACCTCGACGAAGGGGATGGGATCGTCGCCCTGGGTCGCGGACGCGGCGTGCAGCTGGCGGGCGAGGTCGCGGTCGGCGCGGTAGGGGGAGATGAAGGAGGTGATGGCGACGGTGGACGAGTCGGCGAAGAGCTTGGCGACCTGTATCGCGCGTCCGGAGGGTTGCCACGTCGTCGTTAGCAGACTGAATGGACCAGGTTTGTTTCTCCAGCCCCTTCTTTCCACCTTGTCTTGATACTCGGTGACTCTCTCTGCCCTCGTCTCCATTCCCCCCTCCCATCACCGGCACCGGGACAGCTCACCTCGGAGATGCGGCGAATGTTCTCGTTGCGGTCCTGCTCGGAGAAGCCAAGGTCCTTGTTGAGGCCGAAGCGGACGTTGTCGCCGTCGAGGCGGTAGGCGGCGAGGCCGAGGTGCAGTAGGTGCTGCTCGAGTGCGGCGGCGACGGTCGACTTGCCCGAGGCCGAGAGGCCCGTGAGCCAGAGAGTGAGGCCGCGCTGGCGGCGGAGCTCGTTGCGCTCGCGGCGCGTCAGGCCGGGATGCCAGGTGATGTTTCTGTGCGGGCGTTTTTTCCGTCGAATCAGTTTTCATTTCTGCTCGGCGGGAACAGACGGTCTCATCTCAATGCTCATGCTGCGCACGCGAGAGAGCGTGAGAGACACAGAGAGGGGAGGGCGGTAAAGAGAGCGCGCAACTTGGTACAGGACAAAAGACACGGCCCGCAGGCGATGGGCGAGTGAAAAGACTTGATGTAGAAATGAAACCAAAGCAAGCACATACGACGCCATTTCCAAGATGCTGTCGCTGGCCTGACGATGTCCTCCCTTGTTCCTCCTTTGCAGACCAGATGAGGTTTGGCAGTCAATCGTGGGGCGGGCGGGGTCGTTGAGAGAATCTACCCGTCAATCGGCCGGATCGGAAGCTTTCTCAAAAGGAGGAGAATGGAAAGAGGACGAGAAGGAGGACGAGAAGGACGATGAGAAGGAGGATGAGGAAGGGAAGAGGAGGCCGAGCTAAGAGCAAATCTATCTTGCGTACTAAAACTCAGCGCGAGTGAATCCAGTCTATTCTTTACAACTTTATGTATGCTCTGCTGCGCTGTGACGTGACGGTGCAACAGCCATTCTACATGTAGTACATACAGTACATGTGCAAGTCAACTCCCCTTGTCCCTGAAAAAGCCCACTTCTGCTGTCCCTTTCTCCCTCAGCCGTCGTCAGCTCATAAAGCACCACGATGGCGACAGCCCGAGGCGTCTCCACCAGCCCCATCCGTCCACTCGCCCATTTTCTTGTCTATCCATTCAGCTACATATGAGCACGGTCCAAGGATCGTACAAGACCATCGCGGCTCGTCTAGTCTATGAAATACACCGATCTAATACCGGTAAACATAGAAAAAATCTAGCCATACGTGCTCATACGGTTTCACAGGGGTCTATCGCCGACTCGACCCCATCCCGACTTGCCGAGGCTGCTAGTGCTTCCCTTCTGGAGGGCCCGTGCCGTTGGTTCGCCAGTCTGTTGTGTCTACCCGTTGGCTGTTTCGTTTCCGGCTTCTCCTCATGCCACAAGCGTTCGACGTGCCCGCTCCATGTGGGAGCAAAGGGCTCATGCGACGCAGCAAGATCGGCGTCATCGGAAAGCGAGTAGCGCGACGCGTGCCTCTCAGTGAATGCGCGGCATAAGCTACAGTATCGAGGCAGGACGAGTCAGCCAGGCAAGTCGTCGCAGTCCCTCGACGGGGTAGGTCGCGAAACTCACAGAGGCAAGCTTGGGCGAGACATATAAAGCATCGGCCTCGACCAGGACGGTCGGCTGCTCGCCCGGTTTGGCCAGAAGCTCAATGTGGCCCTTGACCCAGGCTTTGCGCCCCTCGACCTTTGTCGTCTTGGCCCGCAGCACGAGGAAGCTCCCCGCGGGCGTCGGCTTGCGGTAGCTGACGTTGAGGTTGGCCGTGACGCCAATATTGTGCGGCAGTGCGCCGAAGCAGCACCAGGCCAGGCCCTCGTCGAGCATGGTGGCGAGAAGCCGCCATGCACAAGGCGGGTGGCCGCACAGGTCCTCACCCACGTAGACGACGGACACGAGCGACTTGCCGCCGGCCTCGGTCCACGTCGTCGCCGGCACCGGCACCTTGCCAGGGCCCAGGAGCGCGGCCCCCGTCAGGCTGTGCGCACGGTACTGCGCCGGCATCTTCATGTGTGGGCGGGACTCGGTCAGCTCGGGCCGCCGGCGCAGCTCCGCCACCAGCGGGTGGCCGTTGATTGTCTCTTCGGCGCGGCGCGCTTCCTCGTCGGCGTCGGCGGCCGAGAACCTGCCGAGGCTCTCCTCGTCCGAGTAGAAGCCCAGGCCGCGGGCCGTCAGCGTCTTCCACGCCGCCGCCGCCCCGAGGGTGCTGAAGCCGAGGCCCAGGACGGCCAGCCAGAGGCCCTTGCGGAGCGCCCCGCCGCCACCCGCTGCGTTGCCTGCCGAGTGGTTTTGGCCGTCAGCCTGCGGTGTGTGTCGCAGCAAAGACCAGAGAAATGCGCACCTGTAGACGCAGTAGCAGCCGCCGTCGCCTCCCTTGGAGCCGAGTATCCTCGACACTGCTGTCGCCCAGCTGAACTGAGCGAGGGAATCCGGGCTTGCCATGGACACGGCGCCTTTCCTGGGGCAATGCGGCGCCCGAGGAGATGCCGGGTAAAGATGGCTGGCCGCAGTATCGCCATCGAGGACGTGTGGGAGATGCGTGGGTGCCTTTTTTATCTGGATTGTACTCGGCGCCCGAGCGAATAACAAAAGAAAGATAGAAAGTACTGTAGGAGAGAGCGAATAGGTGAGGAAGAAGAATCCAGGCAAAGGGGAAATGAGGACGACGATACTTTTCACCCGGCATGTACTTGCTCTAGTCCCTAAATGGCAGACGTACTAGAAGTATATTGTCTCACGCAGGCGCCCGGCGAGAGAATTCTTCGGCATTTTAAAAAGGGCCAATCCATTCAGTCCTCAGCAACAGCTGCACTCTTTGCAAAGCGGCATCCTCTTTTTGCAGTCACATCTAGACGCCCTCTTCCTCCCCTCCCAGCAACTCTGCGTAGTCGTCCACCGATGCAAACATAGGCAAGTCCCTGAGCGCCTTCCGCCGTGACCTCTTAGTCTTGGCCGTGTCTTCGTCCTTTGCTTCCTCCTCATCGTCTTCGCCAACCGCCACCAGGCCGTCCGAGCTACCCTCGTCCCCGTCATCCTCCCCGTCCTCGTCCTCATCCTCCAGGTCGCTGTCGAAGGACAGAGCGGGAGACGAGCCGTCTTCCGAGCCCATGTCCAGATCGTCCAGGTCATCAAAGCCATCGTCTGACCCGTCTGCCTCAATGTCGGGCTGAGTCGACACCAGCGCCTCCCAGATCTCATCTTCGGCATTCTCATCATCCCCGTCGGCCGGCGCCTTGGCAAGCGGCTCCTTGGTATCCCTCGAAACGTGCTGGAAGTATTCGTGGAAGAAGATGTCTTCGGCAGCAACGTCCTCGACCTTCTTCTTCCAGAAAGTCGCCGAATTGAGGGGCGCCGTCGTGGCGCCTGCACCCTTGCTGCCCAGCCACACGTCGCCCAGATCCTTGGTCGCCCGCAGCGGTTGCATGATGGATACCCCACGTGCACCGTGTGTCGACTTTGGATTCTTATACACAAACTTGTCCAAGAAGCGGATGAGTGAATGACTCTCCAGATCTGGTTTTGGCATCTTTCGATCCTTGTCCAGTAACACAGCCGCAGAGACTTTGACAGATGGGTGAAAGTGCATTTGAGCAGGGACCTAGACAGCTCGTCAGATGATGAAGGCGTGAGTGCCAACTCGGCGTGAGCTTACCATTTCCCACAAGCAGCTTCTCTGGGCGTTGCTGTGTTCAGGGTTGCGCTTCCGCCCATCGTACATGCCCTGTTCCTTGGACTCGTCGTCGTCAAACACGGAAGTCTCCGGCTCGTCCACGAGAGTCGACAGGTCAGGGAACGTTTGCCGAAGACTGGAAATGACGTAGAGGAGGCCGCAGATGAACGGAGGCTGATGTAGGCCTGCGATTTGCAGCATCCTCTTTGCAAAGGCCTTGACCCGTCGAACGTCGACATCGCTCTTCAGGGATCGGAGAAGCAGGTTGAGATAAAGCGCTTGCTTGGAAGACGTCACTAGCCGAGGGTCCAACAGCGACTCGTAGAGCGTCCGGTAGAAGCGGTCCGTCGCCAGGTTCCTCGCCGATGCGAGATGCTGGATCAAGAGCAGAGCCTGGATGGCCGTGTTCAAGTTGGTCGAGTGCGCAATCTTGAAAAGCGTGTCGAGATGGTGTTCCATGCTGTTGATCAGTTAGCTCGGGTCTGGAGAAAACGGCTCCGTGTTGCACGTACAAAGCGTCATTAGTCGTCACAAAGGGCGCAGCACGGTTGACGCCAGTCAAGATGGCCGACACAAGCTTGTCCGCAGCCTCAGTGTCCGGCACGGGCGGCTTCGGTGTCCCCGGCTTGCTATGTTTCTTTTCTACCGGTTTCCCCTGAACTTCCGGTTCGGTTTCCTGGTGCCCGCTTTGCGTCTTCAGAGTCGCCCGGCTTCATCTGCGCCGGGGTCTCGATGCCTCCAGTTTTCAGCAACGTCACAAACAGGTCGAAGTAGATGCGGATGAGCTCCTCGGCAACAGAGGGCTCCTTGCTGCTGAGGATGGTCTGGTTGAGGGTGTTGATTGCGCAATACCTGGATCGCGCGTCCTGAGAAGGGCGCAGGAGAATATCCTGTTCCACCATGCGGATGACAATGGGCTTCATCCCAGGGTGAGAGACTTGCAGCTGCAATAGAAGATAGGAAGCGCGAGACGATATTTTGCGATCCCTGTCGCCCAGCTTGTTGACAAGAAGCTTGAGTAGGTTGGACTCCTGCTCGGGCTTTTCCTTGAGAAGGCCGTAAACAAAATCCACCGCCTTCATGCGCGAGTACTCGATCTCATCTGAACACCACGATTCAAGCAACTGAATAATCTTGAAGTAGGTCTCCTTCAGCCAGTCCTCGTATATCCACGCAACCAGATGGGCTTCCGTGATCTTGCCAGGAAGCGGCTGGCCGGGAGACCATGTTTTAACCGACTTCCGCTGCAAAGTGCCCAGTCCGGGCTGGCTCTGAAAGGCTCGCAGGCGCCTGTCCGACGGAAGGAGAGTGCCCGGTCCGAACAAATCGACTAGGGCACCAATTGCACCAATCGCCTGAGCCCGACTCTTCTTGGAGGCCAGGTTCAGAAGGGCGTCGAGTGCGCGAATGTTATGGACTGGCGACTCCTGGACCGCCAACGTGAGGGCCGAAACTTTGTCGGTGAGGGTACCGGAGGACATGATGGTAGACAGAAACTTGTGTGACGAGGAAGCAAAGACACTGGTCCTGTACTTGGCCGTATCCTGCTCCAAAAGAGACTTGGCGTGCTTTTTGAGAGATTCGACAGAGGACGTAAAGGGGCCGAGCTGGTCAGACGTCGGACCAGGCAGCTTGCCTAGGCTGGCAGCATGCCATTCTGCCAGTGGCTCGAAAATCTGGTTAACCATGGTTAGTGGTCAGGGAGGCATTCCCTTGTTGCAATTTGCACTTACCATGCCCCCCGGCTTGCGATTGGCACCCCCATTGTCAGTCTCGGCCGGAGGCTCGTCAGCGTCGTCAGCGTCTTCGTCCTCTTCGTCTTCGTCTTCGTCTTCGTCTTCGTCCTGGATTTCCCCCTCATCACTGGCTTCTTGGGGTTCGAATTCGGCAAAGCCGAGCTCCTTAGACAGAGCTGCCAGCTCCTGCTTCAAGTTCTTATCAACCGAGCGCTTTGAATCCTGGGCGTAGTTCTCGTCGTCCGAGTCCACCTCGTTGATGAGTTCCAGGTCCTGCTCATCTCCTCCTAGCGCCTTGATTTCCGCCAGCAGCGCCGCCTGGTCGTCTTGGCGGTCCTTGGAGCCATCCTGAGGCGGTATGGCCTCGGACGCGCGCTGTCTCTTGGACTGCTGCTTGCTCGAAGCATTGGTGGGCGGCTTCTTTCGCTTGTGATCGTTGGCGCTCAGGCTCTTGTCAAGCTTGGACGTGAGCTTGGCGAGCGCGCCTTCATCGAAGCCTTTGGGCTCGTTGGAGGGCTGAGCGCCCTTGATTTTTTTCTTCGGCTCCTTAGGCATCGATTCGGCTCTTGAGCTGGGAGACATTGTGCTTCGACAACTTTTAAGGTGGGACTTTGCCGACCTTGTGAACTTTTTTCGACGGCCTTATCGCCTTATCGCCATCCCACCTGGGCGCTTGGCGCGGTTGGTGCGGCTCTGCCACGCGCCTGTGACGCTTCACCTTCAACGGCCATGCGACAGCTTGGCCAGTATCTCACTGGGGGCGCTCAATGGCTTAATGGAAATATTCATTTGGCGGCGCGAATTGACACTCGGCGCGACGTCACCATCACCCAACAATGATCTGCCTTCGAAGATGTGTCATGGGAGAAGCAGCCTCAAGCACCAAACTAGAGCCTTTTCGCGTTCAAGCGCATCCCTTCGGCCCCGGTCGGTCCTGTCAGGAATATGGCTCCCTACAGGCGGCTTGGCAGCGACAGAAGTGGAATGTGAGAACTGATTGCCCGGCTTGCTCTTTGAATCTGCTTCACTGACATACTCCAGCCGGACATGGAAAACTCGTTCGTGCGGGCTTCGTGCGGCAAGTGAGTTGATAGCCAGAGAGTGGAACCATGGACAAGTGTGCTCATTCCGTCGTCAAAGGCCCAATCAGGCATCTTCCAGATGCTTCCACTTGGGCTACGAGTGCAACAGAAGATCGAGGCCCTGCTTGACAGGCACATGCAATCGATAGGTACGCCGCGGCCTCCTTGGACACTGCGCCCCAGATCTTAACCACGCATCTTGCAGGAGCCTCGCGCCTCGCCCTTTCAGCCATAACGTCCGAGGAGCTGTGGCGAAAGAGCGGTCGACTAGAACATGTCTCGCCAGAGGTTGGTTTGGTCCTTGCTTTCTCCTTGTCCGAGATGTGCTGACCCTTTGCAGCTCTTTCGATTGACTGACCGTAGAAAGGTCCCGCTCATGTTGTCCCCGACTCATGAGGAAGAAATCACGACGCTTGTGGCGGGGACAAGACTGTCCAACAAGGACCTTCCACTGCGGCTGTATCAGACAAGTGAGTTCGTCCGTCCTTTAAGCTGTGCAGTGGATGCCGACTGACATTCATGTGTCAGCCCGAAAGTACCGAGACGAGATGCGTCCACGTCACGGTCTATTACGGTCCAGAGAGTTTGTAATGAAGGATCTGTACACCTTTGACACGTCAGTGGAAGCCGCCGTCGACACTTATCGGGAGGTTTCTGGCGCCTACCGGGCTTTCTTTGCCGACTTGAAGCTTCCCATGTTGGTGGCTGAAGCAAGCTCCGGAAATATGGGCGGCGACCACAGTCACGAGTATCACCTAACTAATCCCATCGGGGAAGACACGGTCGTGACTTGCAGCAGCTGCGGATATACTGCGAGCGACCAAGTTGCAATGTCGCGGCCGCCGTCTAGGGAACAACGACGAGCAAACGAAGAGACGGCGTCGGCTGACTTTTGCGTTTGGCGAGGCATCACCAGAGATCGCAAAACGCTGGTCAATGCGTGGTATCCCCGGCATGGGGATTCCTCGGCGGATGCAGACATCAACATTCACGCCGTGGAAAAGGCAGTTCCCGAGCTGGACACAAGCATCAGCGACCCACTCCGGTTCCTGAGCGAGGCTCGGGGCACTGAAGCAGATACTCCCCCGGCGACATTTGGAGTGGTGAATGTTGTCGACTCAAGGCTAGCACCCGCTTTTGCCAGGCTCCAAACGCAGCTTCCCATAATACCAGCTGGGTTGGGGGATGTCTCGGCGAGTCAGTCCGTGGTGATGGCGGCATCATCGGGTGAAGCCCTGAGTCTTGTGCGACTAGCAGACGGGGACGGCTGCCCTCGATGCGAGGATGGACATCTGCGGATCCAGCGCGCTCTGGAACTGGGCCACACTTTCTACCTGGGCACTCGCTACTCGGAGCCTCTGGGGCTGACCATCAACGGTCCCCGAGGGCCCATGGCAGTCCAAATGGGCTGCTATGGGCTGGGCATCTCGCGCATATTCGGGGCCGTGGCCGAGCACCTTGCCGACGACAAAGGCCTCAACTGGCCCCGCGCAATTGCCCCGTTCGAAGTCGCCGTGATCCCGTCTTCCGACGTGACTGCCGAAGCCCGAGACTTTTACGACATGCTCGCGGGTCAAGGATCGTGGGGCGCCGGGCTCGACGTTGTCCTGGACGATCGCAAGGCGTCGTTTGGGTGGAAGATGAAGGATGCCGACACCATTGGCTTCCCCGTTATTGTTGTGCTGGGGCGAGCGTGGAGGGAAAAGGGGGTGTGCGAGGTGCAGTGCAGGCGCCTCGGTGTAAAGGAGGGCGTGTCCGCCGAGGAGGTCGGCATCCGTGTCATGGGCCTGCTGTCGCAGCTGTAGGGCTCAAATACACATGCCGTGTCGTTGTCGTGATGGTTGGCTGGCAACCTTGCGTGCATCTACAGGTCGGAGTTTATCACATCAACTGTCTGAGAAGCCACGCTCAATCGGACCTTTCTGGATTCAAAACTCGGAACACTTGAAAGTCGCGTTCTATCGTAACATGTAAATTTGTGCTGCGACTTGGGTGCTGTTTGGCCTGCTGCATTTTGCAACTCGCCCACCGAACCGCCCCCACCAAGCGGAAGAGTACGTGCGTTGAGGGGCACTTAAACTGCTGCTGTCCTCGCTCACTCTCATTCGGCCCTCTTCCATCAACCAACCTGCGACCCTGAGTTCAGGCACAAAACCGCACCCGTGCCCGCTCGCCCTCCCGGCTGAAGATGTCTGGCGAACGCGAGACAAGTGCGAGTCCCCCAATGCGACGCGCCGCCCCACGCTGACTGCAGCGCACCCAGTCAACCTCGACACCCTCGAGCCTCAGCAGCTCGCGCAGGTCAAGAAGCAGCTCGACGAGGAGCTCGAGCATCTGACCCAGTCGTACGCCCAGCTGCACGGCGCCCAGGGCAAGTTCAAGGACTGCCTGCAATGCGTCCATGGCCGCTCGGCGGCTTCCGACGGTGCGTTCCTGTTTCCCAGGGACCCAAAGACGGACGAGGCCCCCTTTTCTTGTCCTCCCTGCAAGGAACCAAGGCGCGGAGCTGAGACTCGTGTTGACAGGTCAAAACTCGGTCCTGGTCCCCTTGACCAACTCGCTCTACGTCCGCGGCGAGCTCGCAAACTCGGATGCCGTCTTGGTGGACGTCGGCACCGGCTTCTTGGTGGAAAAGGTGCGTCTTTCGTGCCACTGCGTGTGCTTGTGCGCTGCTGACCTGCCTCTAGAAACTCAAGTCGGCAGAGCAATTCTACGAGGGCAAGGTGCAGGAGCTCACGAACAGCCTCAAGGAGCTTGAGGCAATCGTGCAACGAAAACAGGCAAACGTGAGATCCGTGGAAGAAGGTAGGGCTCTATCACGTTCACCTTCAGTGTCCTCATGCTTACGCCACCCCCCAACAGTTCTGGGGCAAAAGCTCATGGCTGCGCAAAGCCCCCAAGCTTCGGTAGCTGGATAACGAATGTGGGAGCAAGCGGGCCGCACGCAATTCAAGCGACAACGATAGCGTTGAATGTGCAATCATGTTTAGATACATCAGTCTAGACTAGACGTGTACGCCTGCTGCATCACCTCGTCGGTCGACTACGCCTCCTTCTGGGGCATGTTCGCGTCCCAGTCCACTCCACCCAACGCAGCCTGAATCTTGACGACATGCTGCAGAAACTCCAGAAATCGGTCTTCTAGGCTGGCGTCACCTCCCGGCCAAATATTTCGAAGCCCTTCGCCCCAATATTTCCTTCGCTCACCCGGGCTGACGTTGTTGATTGCTTCACTCCAGTGCTTTCCGTAAAACTCTATTCCCCACCAAGTCTCTGGCTCTCGGTGCGTCATCATCTGAGGCCATGCCTGAGAGACACTGATCTCGACGAGGAACGGAGTGTCGCGAAACGGCAGGAGAACCGAAGTTTTCAGTATGGTTTCCTCAACCTCGTCGCCACCTGGCCGTGTCAGGACCAGACGTGGTGATTGCATCGAGGCTTTGTTGTCCTCCGCCCCCTGAGAGGTCAGTTTGAGTCTTTCCATGATGCCCCGGAGGTCAGCCGGAATGCTTGCTGTCGACTCGCATGAGTCGACCTGAAGATTCCAGTCAAGTTGCCTGGGACGAGTGAGCCAGTGCCAGACAAGACCGGTAACGTTGGGGCCTACATGTCGGGTGCGGCCACCGTCCAGTTCAAGCGAGGCCATTTCTCGCGCCTGATGATCCTGGCTGCAGACAGCTGTAGTTCCGGATGCTTGCCTGTTGGCGCCTGCGTGGTTGCCACAAGCTCTTGGTCTCGGACTTTGAGGAATACAGTGCACCGACGGGGCACTCCGTCTATTCCAACGCCAAGGATTCCCACCACAGGGTTCTGCAAGTGCTGTACTACTTTGTAGGCATGGTGGACATCGGATAGGCTGGGGGCCTGTTAATCTAGAAAACTCGCGGCTCTCTCGCCGGTCCATAACTCACCGAGAAATCAGGCTGGCACCGCCGCGGATAGAGTACTGAGGGATCATTTTGGAGAAGTCGGCATAAGACATGTTCTGGCCCAGGCCCTTCTTTCTCTGGCGCACTTCCAGGCGGCCAATGTTGACGCGCATCCTGAGGTCGGCTCCCAAGGCACGCAGGATATCTGTCGACGGGACGAGACTGGCCTGAAGCTGATGGCAGAGGTCCTTGGCAACGGCCGCGATATCTCCACGCGTGGCCTTTACAGTTAGAACATGGGGACGCGAGTTCAATTCGACCTTGACAAGGGCGTCCTTGGGGGCGTTGGCAGGTTCCTGGACCAAGAAGCGCGTAGTCAAGTTTTCGCTCGACAGTCTCATGTCGTGAATGCACCAGTTAATGTCCTTTATGGCTTCCTGCAGCCGCGTGATGTGCTTGCTGCGAAGCTCGAACACGTTGGGCTGGACTCGCGTGATCCAAACCTTGTGCTTCTTGCGAACATCGTTGAGTGCAGTGGGATCGTCTAGGCCGCGAGGAAGCATGTGTTTTCCTGGAATCACCAGGGTGGCCTGCACTCGAGTCAATCGATGGCGACTTGTCAACCAGCCGCATGTCCAGATATACCTCCAACAGGTCCGGCTCAGTGGGAGGGGGGCCCAAGTGTGCTTCTTCAGCAGCGGCCACGGCTGCCTGCCGCTTCGCGTCCATTTGATATTTGGCAGTGCCCATTGTCGCTTGCTTGCCGAAAGCTTTTTTGCTTCGCTCGGCATCCTGCCGCTGAGGCTGCGCCCAAGGTCGGTCGCCTTGACGGGGCGGCGGCCCAGAACTTGCCTGGCCTCTTTTCATGGCCGACACTGCTTCAGCTCCGCTGGCTGTCTTCGGTTGGGTGTGGGAGCTCTGGAGGATGACGGGGGCGTGATTTGACAGTGCAAAGTGAGGTCGAGGATGGAAGTTGGGCTGTGTTGCGGCAACCGTGCAGAGGGAGAGGGAAAGTGTGGAGGGAGGCGACCAAGTCACTTTTTTGGTGCCTGAACAGTAAGATGCCAAAGTTATGTGCCTAGGAAGGAAGTGCTCAAACGGGGCTTCCTCGAACATAGGGGCAGGTACGGGGGTAAGCAAGCGAGATAGCTCTTCCTGCCTATATTTAGAGAAGGGCTCAGGAGTCAAGGCTGTATTCTTAAGCGCCCAGTTAGTATGCTGGTATCGTAGAAGAGACGAGTAAACCGTCTCTACCTCTATACAGGTAGCCGAGAAAGGCGATTCTGTATAATACTAGTGCCTCTTGCGGCCGGCCATACCGCTAGAAATGTTTGTATAGGTGGTATTGACTATTGACTGTAGGCCAGTAGGAGTATACAGGATGCTCTGTCATCACAGCTGCCGCCTATTTGCGTTCTCATTCTCCGAATTCCAGAGGCCCAGTCTATAGATAGAATCCGTTTGCAGTTCTATGCCAAGGCATTGCCATGTCCGCCGTTTTATTATTGATGCTAGTTGAGTAGTTTCAAGTTTGTCACGGGAGCAGAGTGAGAACACTGTAAGTTGTAATGCGTAAACGGCAAGAATTCATTTGACACCCCCTGCCGGCCGTGATGTAGGTACGCCTTTCTTCTCTGGGTTTCCATCGACTCACTGAGAGCTGGCACCTGCAACCCTCAAAGCCCAAGTTCACAGCTCGAACTTCTCCAAGTCCAAACGTCCATGGTACGTACCTTGGGCGATACCTTACCCATCTCGGTGAGCGGCTTGCTGAGTCATTCATCATTCACCCACCGTCCCGGAACGCGTCTCCCGCGACGCGTTATAATGACAAAGTGACGGACCAAACTGTCGCACGCAACCATCACCCGTCATGGCGCCGCGTAACCCCACGAGACGAGCCGCCGAGCCGCAGCACGTCCGCCGCAAGCACGCCGCCCCCGGCACCGCCCTCGAGGACTCGGACGAGGAGGCGCTGGGAAGCGACGACCTGCCGTGGGAATGGATCTACAACGTCGAGGAGCCGGCGCACGACGATGACGGCGACGACGGCGGCGGCGAGGGCGACAGGAAGAGGAGGAAGGTGTCGGGCAGCAAGATCGTCGGCGCGCGCATGGGCAGCCTCCAGTGCCGCGTCGGGGATTGCGTGCTCCTCAAGGCGGACGGGTCCAACGACGCTTGGGTGGCCATTATTTGCGAGTTCATCGATGGCGATGCCGACGGCGACATGGCTGCCAACTTTATGTGGTTCTCGACCGAGAAGGAGATTCGAAACAGGAACAAGAAGCGCAACGATTTCTACTGGGTACTACTACCCCGACCACACCCTCCCTCGCGGGCTTCTATCAAGACTAACCCCGGGCCCGACACCAGAACGAGCTCTACATTTCGCCTTCCTGGGACGTCAACCCCCTTGCTTCCATCAACGGCAAGGCTAAGGTCATGTCACTCGAGGCCTTTCTCAAAAAGTTCCCCTCAGGCAAGGTGGCGCGCCATCTCCCCGACTTTGGCAGGACCTTCATCTGCCGACGGGGCTGCAACACCCGCACGGCCACGTATACGGACGAGTTCGTCTGGGAGGACATCTACCGCGGCGGGGACGACGTCTTCGACCTGATTGAGCGCACAGAGCAAGACACAAAGGCCGTGCGCAGGCGCCGCAAGCCCCGGAGCCAGTCGCCGCACGAGGATGCTTACCTACCCCCTCCCAAGACGCCGACAAAGCCCGCGCCCCGGCCAGCCGCGACGCCCCAGTCCAAGAAGAGGTATGCGACGCGCTCCCCCACCCTGCGGAGAAGGTAAGGCTTCCTTGCTGACCATGCACCAGGAGCGCTGCCAAAAGGCTCGAATTCACCCCCTTGGCGACTCGCAAACTCTCGCCGAGCAATGTCCAATCATCCCCCTTTCAAATCGCACGCTCCCGCCTCCATGTCTCGTCCGTACCAGCCTGCCTCCCGTGCCGCGAAGGCGAATTTTCTCTCGTCTACTCGCACCTTGAGGCGGCCATTGGCGAGGGCACTGGCAACTGCATCTACATATCCGGCACGCCGGGCACGGGCAAGACCGCCACCGTGCGCGAGGTCATCGCCCGGCTAGAGGAGGCCGTCGGCTCGGACGAGCTGGACGACTTCATTTTTGTCGAGATCAACGGCATGAAAATCACCGATCCGCACCAGTCCTACACGCTGCTGTGGGAGGCCCTCAAAGGCCAACGCGCAAGTCCGTCGCAGGCCCTGGATCTTCTTGAGCGCGAGTTTAGCAATCCCAGTCCGCGGCGCATTCCCTGCGTCGTCTTGATGGACGAGCTTGACCAGCTCGTCACTAAAAACCAGGCCGTCATGTACAACTTCTTCAACTGGCCTACGCTACGGCACAGTCGGCTCATCGTCCTTGCGGTAGCCAACACCATGGATTTGCCCGAGCGGACGTTGAGCAACAAAATCAGCAGTCGTCTGGGTACGTCACGTCAATTGGTAGTCGAGGCTTCGTATATATACCAGGGTCCGAGCTGACAAGAATTCTCCCTTAGGCCTCACACGCATCACCTTTCCGGGCTACACACACGATCAACTCATGAAAATCATCCAGTCACGTCTCGAGGGCGTGCCCGGCGATGTTGTAGACCCGGACGCGGTTCAGTTCGCCAGCCGCAAAGTCGCCGCCGTCAGCGGCGACGCCCGAAGAGCCCTCGACATCTGCCGCCGCGCCGTCGAGCTCGCCGAGGGCGACGCCCAAGGCGACCCTCAGACACCGAGCAAATCGGGATCCCACAACCAAGCGCGGCGCGGGCGAGTCACCATAGCCACCGTCAAAAAGGCCATCAACGAGGCAACCACCAATCCCGTCCAGCAACACCTTCGCAGCCTCCCGCTCATGTCAAAGCTCATCATGGCGGCGCTGCTGCTGCGGAACCGAAGGACCGGCCTCGTGGAGACGACGTTTGGGGATACTCTGGATGAGCTGCAACGAGCAACAGCCCATTCCGCGCCGACGAACCCTGGTATGGCCATGATCCTCGGCGACGGCTCAAAAGGGACTCCAGGGACGGGTCGTCGGATCGTGAGCAGGCCCCGCTATGTTCACACTGCAGCTCTAGACCTTGTGGGCGCCGGGTTGGTGCACTTGGAGGCCCATCGGGCCGAGAGATCTAGCAAGCTGCGGCTTGCAATAGCCGACGACGAAGTAAAGATGGCTCTCCGTGATGACGGAGAGCTCAAGTCCATGGGTATTGGGATATGAAGTGAACAATAGCCGAAAATAGCAAGCCGACGTATTCAGTCCATCCCGACGGAAGCGCTCTTGTGATGAATGAGTGGGTTCATGTCCCGTCACGCCTAAAACTTGCGCCGTGCCAGACTCGGCGTCCACTGTATCGGATGGGTCTCCGCCGAAGCCTTTTCATCCTGCTTCCATATCTTGACTAAAAAAGGGGTCAGCACTCGGCCCAGTACGGTCAGCGGGTTTGAAAGGGCTTACTGGTCTTGTCGGCCTCGCCGCAGATAAGACGTAGTCCTGAGCGGTCAAAGGTCGAACTCATGATGCCCGACTCGGCGTCGAGAGAGCCGGGTTGCGCCGTCGTGTCGAGAGCCTGGAAGCGGTATCCAGACTTCCAGTCCCAGAAACTCATCGATCCGTTGTCACCTGCGTTCACGATCGTTAGCCGCCGCGGTGGAAGAGGCCAGGGACAGTGAGGCAGTTCCTCGGCGGGTCCGCATACCTCCTGAGAAGAAGACGTTGTTTTGGTTGACGCTCATCGTGTTGATGATCGCGTTGTGCCCCTCAAAGTTCTGCATAAAGGCAGCCTCGGGGCACTTCCACTGCTTGATGCTCCCGGTACTCGCGCTCGCAAAGGTGAACTCGGTAGGGTGCACGGCAAGGGCCCGGACGCCCTTTTTGTGGTGAGTAAGGACACCCATTGCCTTGCCCGCGGCAAGGTCCCACAGCCTCACGGTGGAGTCGAGGGAGCCGGTGATGACCTGCGGATCTGCCTCTTGACACTTGACGTCGGCGACGGTCTGGGTGTGGCCGGACAGGACGTGGATGTTGCTCCTCGTCCGCATGTCCCAGACCCTGGCAACGCCGTCTCGGCCGCCGGTGACGAGAACGTCGAGAGTAGGGTGGAGGGAGAGGGTGTAGACGCCGCTCAGGTGGCCGTGGTAGTGGCGGATGACTTTGTTGGTCTCGAGGTCCCAGCACTTGACCATCTTGTCTTCGCCGCAGGAAAAGAGGTATGGGTGTCTCGGCGAGACGGCCAAGCCGCGAACGGTGCTGATGTGGCCCGTCAGGGTAAGGAGTAGAGAGCCAGCGGCAAGGTCCCAGATCTTGATGGTCCTGTCGCCCGCACCACTGGCAAACCACTTGTTGCCAGGCTCAACCGCAAGACTCCGAACCCAGCCCAGGTGCCCCGAAATGACCCTCATCAGCTTCCAAGGCGGGTGCCATTCCGGTTTCACCTGCTGGTACGCCGATGCACCTCTCGTCGCCAGGCTCATGTCTTTGGACGCCGACTCTCCGGCCGGGCCCTGTGCCGCCGAGGAGCCAGCAGGGCCCTCGAGAAGCTTCTGCGTCGTCTTGCCGCCTGGTTTGGCCTTGACGAGAGCCTTGCCGGGCCTTTTTCCGGGATGCCTCGCGGCCAGCGACGGCGGCAGCGTCTGCGCGGTGGCGTACTCGGCGAGAAACCTGTGCTTCAAGATAGGGTCCTCGGCCACGTCGTCCTGGGCGAGTCGCTGTCGCTTGCCGCTGAGCTGTCCGCCGGCGGACGCCGTGCGGGCATATAGAGTGTGCGAAGCTCGTGCGTTTTGCGATGCGAGTGCGTCGAGCCGGGACACATCTTGCGGCGTCTCCATTTTGATCGGTCGAGTTCGGCCGTCGGTAGATGAAGAGAAGAGCTGGAAGGCTGGGAGGAAACTTGAATGCAGCCGCCTGTGGCGCTAGCCGCCTGTGCGCCACTTACGCCACAGGCGATGGACGCAGCCCTTGGAGGCTCATTAGCCGCCTTCGTCGTCATCCACCTTGTTGCCTCGTCTTCGTCTCGAGCTACCAAGATACTCTCAACTCGCCCATCCAATAGGCCTCTACCCCTCTCTACGGAAAGTGCATCTTGAAGACACCGGGCTGCAATCTGGATCAAAGCGAAGAGGCACACAGCCATGGACGAGGAACAGGATCGTTTCCCGCTGCATACCGCCGCTCGCGGAGGCCGAGGTGAGAACCACGCGTCAGTCGATGCGTACCTCGAAGCTTGAAACGTTTCTCACGACGGAAACAAGTGGCCAGGGCCGAGGGACTATTGGAGGTACGGCGATAGCTCGCCACACCCTGCTAGCCCAGTCTTACGCACATGACCCTTTCGTGCAAGGCTGGTGAATCGCAGATTAACCCGTGCTTGGCCAGAGCGACCCGAAGCTATCGAAGCGCAAAGATGACGACGGCCGCTACCCGATTCACTGGGCCGCCTCATCCAACTGCTACGACATTGTCGTCCTGCTCGCCAACCAGCCCGGCTTTGAGCCTGACGTCCAGGTCAGCCGCCTATCCAGCCTCGGCATCGCGCAAAAGCAGAGGACTGATTCATCCCATGGCGGGGCAGGATGAGAGTGGCTGGACGCCTCTCATGATCTCGGCTAGCGTCTCGGACAGCGAGCGTGTCCTCAAGGTACTCTTGCAAAAAGGCGCCGACGTCAACGAGAGAAGTAAGCTGAAGAAGAAGAAACTCTACTCAAGACGCTGACATTGGTCCAGACAGCAGCGGCCAGGTCAGAAAGCCCCCAGCCGCCGCGGGGGCGATAAAATGATGAATGCTGAACCGTCGGCAATCGCTGCTAGACTGCTCTTCACTTTGTGGCCTCGAAGAAGAACATGGACGTTGCCCGCCTCCTCCTCGTCGACTCCAAGCCCCCGGCCTCGACCCGGGTCCGCGACCGCCGCGGTCAATATCCCATCCACCGCGCCGCGGCCGTTGGCTCCGCTCCCATGGTCAGCCTGCTGCTCAAGAACCGCAGCCCGCTCAACCCGGCCGACACCGAGGGTTACACGCCCCTGCACCACGCAATCGCAGAGGGCCACGGTATGGACGGGTGCTTATTTCCAGATTTTGCCGACTGCTTTGCTGACTGGTTCATGTCACGCAGGAGATGTTGCAGTCATGCTGCTCAAGGAGGGTGCAGACCATACCCTCAAGACCAGCGAGGGTGAGCTGGCGCTCGACCTGGCACCAGACAAAGAGGTAAGTAAGCCCTTCGGCGCCGACCAAGCAAAACGCTTTTTGCCCATTCGCCAGCTCATGAGTACTATCCACAGGTACGCGGCTATATCATGCAGGGAGCCGAGAGAGAAGGCATCGACCTGTCCCTTTGAAGCACCTGTGGCCTTTTCTTCTTTCCAACTGCGACCTGCCTGGTTACCCCTTTTGTCCCTAGAATCCGAGGGTCATAGCCATGGTGTCACGTCCATCAGGCGTGCATGTGCCGATATCAAGATAGCAAGGTCAAGTGAGCATGCTTCATGAAACGTCATTGCTCTGCATCATCTAGCCGACTATACGGCGAGCTGAATCGTCTTGGTAGACTCGATATGGCGCTTGTACTTTTCCAGCCGCTTGTCGACAACTCCATTAGGGCCCGCATACTTGTCGACCTGCTCAGCACAGCGGCCGATGAACAGCTTAGGGTCCATCAAGCCGTCCACCTCTCCCCAGATGGGCTTCTGCTCACGCAGTGGTCAGTGCTGTACCAATGTCACGCATGGGCGCTTTGGGTCACTCACGAAGAACTCTGTCCTCTTGATTCGCTCAATGAGATCGTTGCTGCCGCCCTCCATCTTGACATGATAGGCCGCCTCGCGCGAGAGAAGCCGGATCTGCTCGTGCGCCACCTGTCTAGAGGCGCCGTGGTTGACCATGCGAATGAGGATATTCTCCGTCGCCATGTACGGCAGCTCCTGCATAAGCTGCAAATTGATGACGGCGGGGAAGACAACCAGGCCGTCGCTGACATGGTCGAGACTGGTGACAATGGCGTCGGCCAAGAAGAACATTTCTGGAATGTCCATGCGGCGAATGGCGCTATCGTCGAGGCTACGCTCCAGCCATTGCTGTGAGAATGTGTCGCTGAAGTTTGAGGAAATGTTGCTCAGCTTGCGGCCTAGGCTGCAGATTCGCTCCGCCCTGCGAGAGTGTCAGTCGGATGCCAAGGCTGTGGTCTGTCGATGTCTCATCGGCTCACGTCATGGGGTTCGACTTGAAGGGCATGGCCGACGAGCCAATCTGTCCGGCAACATGAGGCTCATCCAGCAGCTTGTCGTGGCAGAGATGGCGAATGTCCTACGTCGGTTAGCAGGGGAAGCTCGACAGCCTTCCGCAAAGAATGCTGCTTTTGCTTACCGTGGCAATGCGCGTCGCTGTGGCTCCCAAGGCGGACAGCGCGTTGGCTACTCGCAGGTCGACCTTGCGGGTGTAGGTCTGGGTGGAGATGTCGTAGCAGCCGGAGAAGCCGGCCTTTTGGCAGAGAATCTCGTTTAGCTTGTCGACCTTTGCGGCGTCGTTTTGGAAAATCTCCATAAAGGACGCCTGGGTGCCGGTGGTGCCCTGAGCGCCGCGGAAGCGCAGGCCGGCCCTGACATACTCGATGTCGTCGAGATCGAAAACCAGGTCCTGGAGCCACTGGGCGGCGCGGCGTCCGAGGGTGATGGGCTGTGCCGCTTGATAGTGCCTTGAGAGCGGTTAGAGAGGCGCGACGGGCAGACAGGTCGACGGCGAGACTCACGTGAAGCCCAGGGTCGGCAAGTCCTTGTATTGGCAAGCAAACTTGGACAGGGAGCTGATGACCCTGGCGAGCTTGGGAAGAAGCAAGTCTAGCGCATCACGCAGGAAGATGAGATCGGCATTGTCCGTCACCTAGGGGGGGCAGGGTTAGATTTGACGTCGAGATCGTGTGCGTGTGTACATACTGGTGAGCGCCTGTTAGCCTCGACTGCCAGTGTGCACGACTGGCCACGGGATTCTCACCGTAACATGAGGTTGCGCCAATGTGGATGACGCCCGCGGCAGCCGGGGCGTCCTTTTCGAGGGCGTGGATGTGGGCCATGACATCGTGCCGGACACGGCGCTCCTCGTCGGCGGCCACCTTGAAGGCGGCGTCGCTGACGACAAGGTTTGCGCGGATGGCGTCGAGGGCCTGGTCGGTGATTTGCGCGACGCCGAGCTCCTTCTCAGCCTCGGCGAGCCAGAGCCAGAGTTGACGCCAGGTCGAGACGCGCTGCCGGGGCGTGAAGATTCGCCTCATCTCGCTACCTGGGAGGGGGAGGGGGAGGGGGGTCAGTCACAGCGGCGGGGGCAAGCAGGGGAGCAGGAACTCGGCCTTACTGGTGTAGCGAGACACCAGAGGGGTCTGGTACTCGTCGAAAGAAGAGGCGGACATGATGGGCGCGGGATACGGTTGTTGCTGAATGGCAGCGAGGGCGGATGGGAGCAGCCGAGGTTGATGGCAAGATGGTTGAGCTTACGGGGCGCAAGAGAATTTATGACACGCTATTTAATTAACTTACAGACTTTTTGGATTATTAGCTGGAGAATGAGTTCATTCGCATTCACGCCCCACCCGCGCCACGGATGTTCAGCCACAACGCGCGCCCCATTCCCATCTCTCAACACGCACGGCACAGTCGGGCAGAGGCAGAGAGGCAGAGAGGCAGAGGCAGAGGCAGACCTCTCCAAGGCCAACCCTATAAACGCTTGCCTCCCTGTAAAGAAGCGAGGACAAAACAAGACGGCATGTAGTTATAGGACAAAGCCAGGGCCAGCGTGGTCGCAGTCAGCCGGCTTGTGTATAAACCTCGTGTAAATCGTTCTTCTCGTCCTCCGACCCCCTGGCCGTAAAGCTCGATCCCTTTCCTCGTCAAAGTCTACCTGACTGTCCGCTCTACAAGCTCGCGGTACATGGTCTTGACATCCTCGACGTCGGCCTTGAGCTCCTCGACGAGCTCGCTCTTCTCGCCCAGCATCTCCAGCGTCGTTTGGTATCTCGAGTCGAGGTCCGACACGGCCTCTTGCAGCTGTGGCACCTTGTTGGCTGCCGTCTTGGTCTCTGCTAGGTCCTTCATGAGGCCCACCATGTCGGCGCGCGCCTCGTCTCTCTGGTTGCACACCCGCGCCATTTCCTCCTTGGCCGCCACCTTTTCGGCCTCGAGCCGCCGTATCGCCGCGCTCATCCTCTCGACCAGTTGAACCGACGGCCCTGCCGCTACCGTCGACGCGGAAACCATATCCTGGGCCAAGTTGCGCGGCGAGGAGGGCGCCGTGTCGTCGACGCCGTTGTCGCGCTCTGCCGTCGGCGACTCGCTGGGGGCCTCAAAGGGCGAGAACGGGACCGGCAGCGGGCCCGAGGCGACCGACGAGACAGCGCTGAGCCGGATCGGGGGCTGGCTGGAGAGGCGTCGCATTGACGACATGAGGTCGGCCGGACTGTCGGGTATACTTGCAGCAGGCGTAGGCACCCGCCGTAGCTTGCCGGGCACTGGCAAGCCGATGAGCTCGGAGCTGAAGGTGCGAGACACGGCCAGTAGCGGAGAGTCCGGTCTGCTCTGGTGGCCCCTGAACGTTGCGCCCGCCACGTCGTCCACCCAGTGCCGCCGCTCCGCCTCGACCGTGTCGTCCCTGCTGGCCGTCCGTTGCTTTTCCTTGTCGAGGTCCGCCCGTGCCTGCTCCAAGGCCTCCTCGGCAGCCTTGCGTGAGGCGTTGGAGGCTGTCAGCTGATCGCGGCAAGCCTCCAGCTCCTGCCGTGTCGCAGCAAGGGCTGGCTGGGCGTGCTGGAGCTCATCCTCGAGGTGTCTGCCGCGGCTTGCCTGCAGGGCGTCAGCATCTGGGCAAAAGAGGTCCTTTCTTTGGCCGACGAGGGCCGACTTACCGCATCGCGGGCCTTTTTGCGCATCTCTGATTCCCGACGCTGGGCCTCGTCCCTCTCCCGCTCGAGACTGGCTGCCTTTGCGAGGAGGGAGGACTCGATGCCTTGCCAGTTCTCCTGTGCCGAGGCGTATTGCGACTGCAGCGTCTCGATCTGTCGGAACATCTTGACCTGGGCCTCGCCTCCCGAACCTGACGAGGCCTCCTCGGCTACCGTCCGCATGGCCTCGAGCTTGCTCTCCATGGACCGCAGTTCAAGCTGCAGCTCCTGCTCGACGATGCGACCCCTCTCTGCCGCCCGCTGGAGCTTCTCGCTCCATTCTATGCTTTCCTGGCGCGCCTTGTCCATGGACACCTCCTTGTCCGTTTGAAGCGCCGCAATCGTGTCCTCCAGCTCCTTTTGCTTTTCTCGCTCAGCGGCCAAGGCCTTGCTCAACGCGTCCGCGCTGGCAGCCTCGGCCTGTTCCGCCTTGATCTTCATCTCCTGCTCTAGGCGGCGACAAGCCTCGTCCTTCTTTGTATTTTCCCTTTTCAGGTTGGCCACTTCCCTCTGCAGAGCTGCGATGGCTTGCCGCGTCTCTTCCTGGTGCTTCTCGTCTCCCTCGACGCCGTTCAAGCGGTTGCGCAACGACTTGGCCTCCGACGTGGCCTTTTCCTTGCTCTTCCTGAGCTCCTCGACCTGTTTCTCGTGCTCGGCCATTTGCAGGCGCAGCTTCTTGATGACGGCGCGGAACTTTTGCTCCGTGCCGGACAGTTTCTGACCCTCGTCCATGAGCAGGGCAATCTTCTCGTCTTTTTCGGCCAGTTTGCGTTCCAGGCTGCCCGAGGGGGCGGAGGCGGCGGACTGCTTGGCGGCATCGATGGCGTTTTTGGAGAGATACTGGATCTTTGATTGCAGTGAATCTATTCTTTCGACGTATTCTTGAATCTCCTCTTGCTGCCGCTGATTGGCCTCCTCCAATGCCTTTGCCAGGTCGGACAGATCAGCCGGCTGGACTATGGACTCGATGGGCGGTTGCTGTTGCGCCGGAGCATCGAGATTGTCAGGCCACGGCGCTGTTGGTGGTTCCAGCGCCGCGTCGCCGATGGCCGTATCGTTGAACGGGTCTCGCGTGGGTTTCTCGGCGCTCGCCATGAAGGGTTGTGCCTGCGGCTCGGGTGGAGTCGAGGCATCGGCGGCGTCTGGTTCGGCAGCGGCTGCGGCTGCGACAGTGCCGGGCGAGAGCGTGCTTGGCTCCTCTTTGTCCGTCGACGTGCGCTCCATGGAGCCTCGGCTGGCTTGGTCGAGAGAGCTGCGGGGAGAAGCTGCCTCTCTGCCGTCGGGGGTGTTCTTGCCCGCCATGGCCCTGGCCAGCCTGGCCTGAAGGCGCCCATTGGCACGGCCAGAGGGCGGCGGCGAGTTGGCTGCTCACGAAGACGAACATCAAGAGTAAGCCAAAGGCTTGAGGGGCAATCAATGGGGCGGACGACAGAGCAGAGGGACAAGAAACGAACCAGGGCTCGGTCTGGCGGGCGCGGCGGGATGCGCCGGCCTGCTGCTGCTCCTGCTTGCGGCGCCCTGCAGCCTGGGGTCGTTGTCGGTCTCGGCCAGTATGTTGTCGAGGCGCGACTCGACGCCGGCGACGGCCTGGGAGAGAAACGAGCCCCATTTGGACGGCTTGCCCGGCGCAGCCATGGTCGGGGCGCTCGACGGCGGTGTGCGTGTGTGCGTGCGTCTCCCTCTCGGCCACCCTGCTGCAGAGGGGGGGTTCGACGTTGAGGGGGCGAGGCTGCGGGTTGCCGCCGCGCTTGGTGGTGGTGGCCGAGGTGAGGATGGAGGACGAGGGGCGGGAAAAAGGTGGTCTGTCGCTCTTTGTCTTATGGCGGCAAAAGGAATGGAACATTTTCAACGTTTTCCGAGTCACGGCAATCGAGGTATCGAATTGCGGGTCATACAAGGCCAAGCCGTCGACAATTGCCTGTTGCCTGCCTAATAAGTAAGTCACGGCCTGTCTTGAATAAGCGACGCCTTCTCAGCACGCGTTGAAAATGCCGTCTTTATTCCCGCCTTCGCCTTGCGACATGACATGACATGACATGACAGGGGGCCGGCATCCACCATTCACTATTCACTCCTCCTCCTGGCAGCCTAGCATCCTAGCTAGCTTTGTCCATGCAAGTACGGATAGTATCCGTAAGCGTCCCCGTCATTCTGCAGCGACTTAGCCAAGCAAAAAGGAAACAAGGACGCCATCTTGCTCTGAGACATCTTCACCACACGCCTCGCATAGACGATATAAACGGAGGAATTCGAGAGCAAGAACAAATCATGTGCATTGCAGCAGGGTATCCAAACGCTTGCTGATGGGCCCATCACGCCACCGCTCCCACTTGATCCAAGCATCCAGTCTCGCCTCTGCCCAACGAGCCCCCAATCGACAAACCGTGAGTCCTGTCCAGCAAAAGGGGGTATCGACCATCAAGCTGCTCCCAGAGCCCATTGGCAGCAAACAAATATTCTCTCAAGCATACACGCCCAATCATGTCCGCTCGCCCAGCAAGCAGTCCTTGTTGCCTGATCACTGCCTAATGAGCCAACGCCCACACTCCCCCCCCCCCCCCCATATCTTCATCCCGTCAGCTTTCTCCACCAACTGCTTCGCGGAGCCGCGTCCATCATCGTCGAGTTTCGCCGGCTCTGGTGCCGCTCGTCACTCCCCTCGGAGCCCCCCGCGCGTCGCTCTTCGCGCCGCCGACGGTGCCGCCGCCGCTCGTCCGTCTCGTCGGCCGTCACGTCTCCGTGCTTAGCTCGACGCTTGGTCCTTCGAGCCTCGCGGCGTGCCTGCTCCTCCTCGTCCGGCGGCGGTGGCGCGTCTGAGTGGTCCTTGACCCACGACGACGTCCCCGAGTGCGGCCATGCCGTCGTCCCCTTTCTGCTATCGCGCTGGCCATCTCGGGGAGGGTATCCATGTTCATCTCCAGACTGCTCTCCGTGTCGTCGACTGCTCCTTCGTCGGTGCATGTCGCCGCCGCCGCCGCCTTCTCCGGCTCGACCCGCACGTCGTGCCTCCCGCCTCCGACGCCGCTCACCCTCATCTTCCGATGGGTCGACTACCTGGGATCGTCGACGCTCCTGTTTGGCAGCAGCACGAGCTTCCTCCTCTCTCTGAGCCGCAAGGGTTGCTGCTTCCTGCTCCTTGCGCAGGCGTCGTCGCTCCGCTCGCCGGGCCTGCCGTTCCTCCAAAGCACGACGTTCCTCTTCTTCACGCTGGCGAGCTGCGCGTTTCTCAGCCCGGCGGGCGTCCTTCGCCCCTGCCCGGCGTGCCTCGTCCTCGTCCTCGCGCTTCCGACGTGACCGGCGCCGAGCCTCGTCCTTGGACCGCCGTGATTCCTCGCTGGCCTTCTCAGCCGCGTCATGCTCGCTCCGGCGTGTCTTGCGCGCAGAGGCGCGACCCTCTCGATCCGTGTGGACGCCCAAGTCGCCGTCATGCCGCGCGTCCACTCTTGCCGACTTGGGAGTCATGAGTCCACTGAAGAGTCCTGCGAAGCCAGACTTCTTATTCACTGAGCCTCCCCGTCTTGCCGGAGTCTCAGAAGGACCTCCGGGCTCCACCATCACGATGTCATCGTCCTGTGACCTTTTGGACCTCCGCTTCTCCCGCTTCGGGGCAACGCCATCAATGTCGCCATCCGGGGCACCCACCATGACGATGTCGTCGTCGTCGGGCGGCGTCATCTTGCGTGGCTTCTTCTTGCTGCTCGACTTGTCGACGCCCAGGATCTTGGCGGCCTTTGATGACATTTCGGGCATCTCATCTGGAGGCGGAGAAGCCAACCCGTATGCGTCGACCGAGTAGCGACGCGAGGCCTTGGCATCGACGTTTACTCTTCTCTCCCGAGTCGACATTGTTCTGGACACAGGCGGAGTGCTGAACATGCCCGGCATCCGGGGTCTGGATGGGGTTTTGTCTGCTTTCTCCGTTCGCTCTGCCTTGTCTGAACCCGAATCCTTCGACGATGTCTTTTCGGCCGAGCGCTTCGATGTCTTTTCTGGCTTGGACTTGGACGACTTCTTCTCCTTGGGCGGCGCCGCGTTCCACCGAGCCCACGACTCGCCGTCATCCTTAATCTTTGCCCGCTCCTTCTTGAACGCTCGTGGCTCGGGGGGTGGCGACATCGACAACGGCGGGTCCGGAACGGGTGGCGGCGGCGGCGGCGGGTCGTCTGCCACAGTCTTCGACTTGCTTTTCTTGCTCTTCTTCGAGGATTCCTTTGGTGCAGGGTCAGCAATGACAACAATCTCGTCTTCCTCATCGTCTGCCGGAAAGCTTCCAGGCAGCTCCGAGGACTGGCGGCTCTTCTTGGATGAAAAGCTGTACTGCTCGGCCCCGTCCATGTAGTTGCTCCTCGTCTTGGACTCAACGCTCTTTCTGTCCTCTGTGGGCGGTGACGGCGCCGGCGGCACAGGGTCATTCTGAGTGAACTCAAAATTCTTGAGCCTGTCTGCAATATTGCCCTTAACGGGCTTTCGCGCCGTCGCCGCCGACTTGAAGCCGTCACTTGCTTTGAATAAAGACGGCGAACCATTCCCAGTCATGACGTCCACGAAAACTATGCAACGGTTCAGCATTCCCACTCCAGCTCATTTTGAGTTGGCAACAAACCATTCTTGGGTTTCTTTGGGCCGCTGCCGACACCCCAGAAACTGAAGGCATCGTTCGTTGTCTTGTCGTTTGGCGACAAAAGCTCCTCCACTTGCTCCGCATTGAGCTCCGGCTCCGGTTCCGGCTCCGGCTCCGGCGCCTGGACATCTTCAGCTGGCACTGCATCCGACGTCTTGGACTTCTTATCCTTCTTCTTGTCCTTGGTCTTGGAGGAGCTCTTCTTGGCCTTTTTGGCGGCCTCGGCCTCTGCGGCCTCCTGTGCGGCCTTCTCTACCTCCCCGGCGGCCTTTTCCTCTGCTTCTCGCGCGGCCTTTTCTTCTGCTTCTCGAGCTTCTGCTTCCCTGGCGGCGAGTGCTTCTGCTTCTCGAGCAGCCTCTTCCTCCGCCTCTCGAGCAGCCTGCTCTTCCGCCTCCCGGAAAGCCCGCTCCTCGGCCTCCGCGAGATCCTCTTCGTCAGCTCCGAGAGCGGCCTCCTTTTCGGCACGCTTCGCTGCGTTCTCGGTCAAGAGACTGAACCTATCTGCATCCTTCTTGGATAGCTTGCCCTTTTTCTTCTTCTTCAGTGTCAGTGCAGCAAGGTCCTTCTCTTCTTGAACAATGACAGCAGCCTCGGCCTCGATGCGAGCCTGCTCCTCGGCCTCGTGCACATACTGCTCTTGCACTGCGCGTTCCTCAGCCTCTTTCGCCTCTTGCTCAAGCCTCTCCTTTTCCGCCTCCTCTGCCTCTTTCGCTTCCTGCTCAAGCCTCTTCCTCTCCGCGTTCTCCGCCTCCTTGGCCTCCTGCTCAAGCTTCTCCTTCTCGGCCTTCTCGGCCTTCTTCCTCTCCTTTTCGAGCTTCTTGAGCTCCTTGTCACTCAACTTGGGTTCCTTGTCATTCTTTGATTTGCCCTTGGTCTTTTCCTTGCTGACTACCTCGTCGTCTTTGTCTTCGTCCTTGGACTCGAGCTTCGTCTTGGATGTTGAAGGCTCATCCCACGGAATAGCGTCGGGTTCTCCTGCTTGATCTTCAGGCTCAGTAAAATCCATAGAGGGGGGTGTTGGAACAGGAGGAGGCGGGTCAGCAGAGGCCGCGCTGTGGGGTTTGGACTTCTTTTTGCTGGATGGAGCCCGAGCCCAGGCGTCGTCCTCGGCCCCCTTGTCCTTGGTCTCCTCTATAGAATTGGGTTGGATTGTCTCACCAATAGTCTCATCCGAAACCTCCACCGGCTCGTTCTTCGACTTGTCCTTCTTCTTCTTCTTGGTGACCGCGCCCCAGATGTTGTCGGCGGGCTCCTCGATACTGTCAGGCTTCCAGAGAGGGTCGTCTTTGCCCGCCTTCTTCCCATCTTTCTTGCCGTTTCCCCAAGAACTAAAGAAATCGTCGTCGCCAGTGGCGTCGATAGAGGTCTTGGGCGCCTCACCCGAGGGGCTCTTGTCCTCCTGCTCCTCGAGCTGGATCAGGTCAGACGCCTTCTTTTTCTTCTTCTTGGACGTGGAAGCCCAAGTATCCCAGACCTCGTCCTTGGCCGCTTCTGCGTTGTTCAGCTCTTCTTTGGAGGACCGGTCTACATTTTTCTTGTCACTCTTGGCCTCCGCGCCCCAGGCGCCCAAGGCGTCGTCTGCTGGCTGGTTGCATTCTCCACTCAGAGACTTTGACAAGGGCTGCTCCTCCTCCTTGAGATCCTCGAGGGCCCCCTTCTTCTTCTTTTTCTTCTTGTCCTTTGCGGTCCCAAAGACAGTAAACAGGTCATCCTCGTCCTTTTTCTCGGGCTCGGGTTCTGGAGCAAGGACTTCAGGGATGGATTCGGGCTCGGGTGTGGGCTCCGGAACGTCTTCGACAAGACCCTTCTTCTTCTTCTTCTTTTTGTCCTTTTTGGAAGTCCCAAAGTCGGCCCAAGTAGCTTCCTCGTCAGGCTTCTTCTCCAGGCCATCCCCCTCTTCTTTCTCAACGTCCTTTTCAGGTTTGGGCTCAGCATTCTCGGGTTCTGGCGGTGGGACTGGTTCGACATCTTTGCCCTTCTTCTTCTTCTTGCCAGTGCCAAATGTGCTCCAGAAACTGTCGTTTTCCTCTGTCTTGTCTTGGGACTCATCTGGTGGAAGCTCAGGCGCGGCGGGCTCGAATTCCAGTGGGGGCTCAGAATCGTCAAAGGCTGATGTCTTCTTCTTTTTCTTATCTTTCTTGGAAGTTTTCGTGCCAAGGCCCCAAATGTCTTCATTCTTGACATCAGGCTCCAAAGTGGGATCCTTGGGCAAGGTTGAGTTCGGCTCCGGGTTCGGTTCCGGCACAGGATCGGCGGCCTTGTTTTTGTTTTTCTTGCCCTTCTTGGTGGCCGCGGTACCCCAAACGACCTCGGGTTCGGGTTCTGGAGGAGCTGGTGGTGTCGAATCAGTGACAGAATGTTCCTCTCCGGAGGCCTTCTTCTTTTTCTTGTCTTTCTTGGAAATGGCCCATTCATCCCAGGGCTCACCTCCTTCAATCTTTTCAGGCTCGGGAGCTGGCTTCTCTTCCTCTACAGGCTCTTCTTCGATGGCTGCGGCACCCTTCTTCTTCTTCTTGCCCTTGGCGGTACTAGCAGTAAAACAATCTTCTTCTAAGGGTGCGGCTTCTGTGGGATTCCCGGGCTCGGGCTCGGGCTCGGGCTCGGGCTCGGGTTCTTGAAAGTTCTTTTTGTCTTTCTTCTTGGTAGACGACGCCCACCCCCAAGGGTCAGACTTGTTGTCAGCTGCGGGCGGCTGAGCCTCCTCCGTAGCACTGATACCCCAGGCACTTGTCTTCTTCTTCTTGTCCTTCTTGGAGGTGACGGTAAAGCCAGGGCCGTCCTCCTTTGCGTCGTTGCTGACCTCGGGTCCGGCCTTGTCATCGGCATCAGCGAGAGCATTAAACGTGAAGCCAGGTTTGTTTTTCTTGTTGGATTTGCCGCCCTTGAGGTTCCACGGGGTCGAGCCGGAGTCGTCCTTTTCCTGGTCAGCAGCACCCGCCTCACCTTCATTGCCGCCTTCGGCGCCGGACCATCCCCAGCCAGTCCCGCCGGCGTTCCATTTCGAGCCCCAGGATCCAAAGGAATCTTTGGCGCCAGTCCCACCGCCTGAATCATCGCCTAGTCTGATCTCTTGAAACGCGTTGCCATCGAGATCGTCGTCGGGTTTGCTCGAGGCAGGTTCGGGGTCGGCATCGGCATTTCCCTTCTTGCCCTTTTTCTTCTTAGACGGGGCGGCGAATCCCCACTCGTTGTCGGCCTCGGCGTCGCCTGCTTTGTCTTTGTTTCCGTCCTTGTCCTTGTCCTTGTCCTTGTCCTTGTCGTCGTCGCCGCCGCCGTCTCCATTTCTGGCACTTCCACCGTCTCCGAAGGCGTCGCCGCCGCCACCACCACCACCGCCAAGTTCTTCGCCGCCTTCGTCGCCGCCTTTCTTGTCTTTGCTGTCGTCGCCAGCCCACTTGTTGGTGTTGGTCTGCCCCTGCTTCTTCTTCTTGCCTTTAGCTTCCGAGATGCCTTGCTGCGAGCTCCAGTCCACCGAAACGTCCAGGACGGGATCTCGGAAAAGGTCGCCGCCGGAGTGATGGCGTCGGCGCTGGGCAGTGGCTAATGGTGGCGGAGAGAGGCGGCCAGGGCAGGCTGGCAGTCGCTGGCGCGCCGTTGAGCCTGTTTCGCTGGGATCTGGAACTTGGTCGCAGTCTTCGTCTTCGGCCACCTCGAACGCTGCTGGTAGTCGGGAGAACCATCTCGGCAGGAAGAAGTCGGTGGCCCGTAAAAGCTTCTGGGGCCGTGTATGGGGCGACGTCGAGGTCGCGAATGTCTGTCGGAACAATGAAGGTTAGCAGTGACCGACGCCGACTAGACAATAGTGTGTCTCCGCATGAGCGAGTGCGACCCGCCCGCCGGCCCGCCGAGGCTGGACAGGCTGAAGAAGTTTGGCGGAGAGGATTCGGGCGGGATCTAGGTTGCGGGTAAAAGTGGCGGCGGCATGCAACAGATGGCTGGCACAAGCTGCGCAAACGGCGGTGCAGCGAGCTGAACGTACCTGCGCGTTTCGCCTGTCGACAATCCATGCGAGGGAGATGAGTCTCAATTGAGCATGCAGCGCAAGCTCATGCCATCTAGTCGTCGAGGCGCGGGATCTTGACCGGCCGGGACTGCACCGTATGCAACTTGCGGGCAAGGCCAGAACCTCGGGGGTGGCCATTGTGGAAGTTGGAGCTCGTTTGGAAGCAGACCGACGACGTCGCAATCATCGAATCTGCCAGCTCGAGGCTCTGGAGCAGGAGGAGGGGGGAACAACGGTTGTTGGGCGTGGGGTGGAGACGATGGCTGGCGAGCAGGCGACGTGTCGGATGGTTCCGAACCGCGATGCCGTTGGCCAAAGCCGCAGGGGCCAAGAGGTCGATCGATGATGGATGGATACAAGCCCAGAGCGGGGTTGTTCTTTGTTCTTGTCAAGTTGAGAGCGAAGCCGGTCGCTGTGATGGCGAGGGGCGACGATCTCCGCTGTCCAGACTGGGGGGTTCGTGCTGAGCTACGGGGAGCTTGCTGCCTGGGCCGAGGATTGGTACGGACAAAGCAGATGGTGGTGGTGTGCGTTGCGTCTTTGTCTTTGGCCTCTCATGTGACGACGGGTCGAGGCTGTCCTTTGACGAGGTTGTCACGCGTGCCCTTGGTTCTGGACGTGAGCGACCAGAGAGCAGCGGAGCTCATGGGGTGCTGGCTGATACAGCGATAAGACACAAGAGGGGCGAGTACAGTACTGCCAGCGAACGCGTCGGCCGCGAGAGCTTGGACTGAGGCAGAAGACAATGCGACAGAATACGGCGATTTTTTGCGCAAAAGAACAAAACCCCTAAGAGGAGAAAAAATAAAATCCAGAAACCTCAAGGGGGTTGGAAAAGGGTGATGCAGCCACTGGGATTGGGGAGGACAAGGCGATGGACACTGGCATGGGCAGGGAACGAACAAGCACGTGAGCAAGGGAGCCAATGAAGCCCTTGGCCTGGCTGGAGTGTCGTCGAATAGACTTGCAGCAATCAAGATGGATGGATGGACGAGGATAGACATCCACCACAGGAGAGTATGCATACACATGCTTGGTTGCACCGACCTGGAAGGGTGGCGGGCGTCCGTCACGCAAGCAACGCCGGGACTGGCTGGCCCTGGCCCGGGATGTACAGTATTGCAGGCGCGGCCAAGAATCCTTTTCGCCCTTGTCTTGGGTCGTTTTCCTCCTTGCCTTGCGAACGACGACTCCATTTTCAGATACTGCCGTCTGTACGGATACGGGCTCATATGTACCTACTGACTGTGCATGCTTTCTGCGGTGTCTCTTAGTAAGGCTCCGGGGTACAGAATGGTCGAGCTCGCAAGGACCCGTTTCCCCGTTTCCAGATCTACCGGCAGCCATGGTATGTCCCTTGTTGTTCATTCATGTCAAATCTCGATATCTCGGGCGGCAGATGAGCACCCATACCTCGTCGTCTGACGCTTCGTCTCTCGTGAGCACTCCCATGGCACATCGACCTGTGACCTCTGGTCTCATGAGAAACCACTAGCCTGATATAGCGCCACGCTGCCCATGCGTGAACCAACTTCAAGTTGGATGTACATACGTATGGGGTGGGGAGACAACTCGCTCTCCCTGCTTTCCTAGGTTCGGTCCATGACACCTCTCCTGCGCGGGAATCTCTCGAGCTTTTCGTAGCCCCCCCGCACATCCTGGATACTCGGGAACGGACACAGACGGGGTGACGAGACATTGGACGTCCGTGAGGTAGCAATACGCGCTGCGCTGGGCAGCCATGCGCCGGCCCGCAGGTACCCCCTACTCGTGCTGGAATGGATGCGACATCCCTCGTCTCTAATCGCTCATCAGCATTCGGACCAGGGTACTGCCATCACCGCACAGAGTCGCTTTTACCTTAGATTCCTTACAGTAGCCTACTGGTCGAGGTAGAGTTTGGTAAAGAAGAAAAAAACTGCAGGTACCCAGCCAGCAGCTAGCTGTCTGCCATCCGGGTCGACCAAGGCAGGCCTTGGGACCGTCCGGAGGCGCTCAGGGTACAACGTAGTCGCAGCTACCTAAGGTAAGGAAGGTACCTACTCTGTCTTTGTACTCTGTACTCCCCACTCCGTACCCGCCCCCGCATCAGCCCCACCCTCAGCATCCCGCTACAAACCCCCATCTGTCAGTGGATGCAACTTTTGTCCCTCACCGCCTCGAACCACACACACCACATTTTAAGCGTGGCTGTGAAGACTTTTTTCCCTTTTACAATTCCCGTATACTTGTATAAGTTGAGGGGGGTAGGGGTGCGGGGCGCCCATGGAAAGGAAAGATGGGAGCGCTAAACTAAAGTGTGCGTTGTCCCTTAACTCAGCGAGATGCTTCGTACAGCACACATCACAATGCATGTCTTCTCAAACCGGAGAGATCTCGGCAGCACAAGGCTGGCAAAGAGTCCATTACCCCGTTGCAAACGCGCACACATGCACAAGCACATGACTGCCCACCCTTTCGGTCTACAAATCCCCCCTCCCATCAAGCATAGGCTTCCAACGGCATCGTCGCCACGCTCGATTCTACTCGTCGCCGGGTACTTAACACCAAGTCTGCTTCTGTACTTCGTAAAGCCTTCGAGCTTTCCGTCTCGTCCCGGCGGTCAGACCCAACGCCTTCCCCCCGTCTCAGCTACCCTCGCCGTCTTGTCCCCACCGTCGACTGATGCCCGACCCGATGCAGCCCCTCGCCGCCCTGTCCGAACTCCGTCACCGCACGGCAGCAGACTTTTATCCCCACCGCGTCTCATCCATCCATCCATGTCATCTGCAGTGTCTACCATCATCTCTCAGAGATGCCTCAGCTCGCCGGCGATGCGAAACCAAATTCTTGTTTTTTTAAATAAAAAATGTACAGTGCGTCTGTACCAAGTGCCTACACAGGTCCCTTCATCTACCCGCTGCACAGCTGTCTCGCAGCGTTCCCGAGCCCTCTCTCTTCTCACCCTCCCGGGACTAGCACAGGCAGGGCTTTAGCGGAGCGTCATGCAGAGTGTGCGACACAATTGCAGCCAAATCGACGATGCGTGCCTTTCGCCGCCGGCCTAGAAATGCCTCACAGGCCATGGGCCGCCGCGCCATTGTCAAAGACTTGCTTTTTGACTCGCGTTTGTGCTTCTCGCGCGTGGCAAACGCGTAGTAGACGCGACAGCGTCCCAACCTCTTGCGCCCCGTAGTCAATCCGATCCCGCACAGCCGTAAAGCAATGTGGGGAACACCCGGCGACATGCGTAATCCCGTTTCGACCGGGCCCTTTCGCGACCCCGGCCGGTTCGGCTTATGCGGCTCCACCTCCGGAGCCGGGCCGCTCCACTATTTCCCTCCCGAGCCCATCCATCTCCTCGTCAGCCGCGCCATGACGTCTCCAATGAAATGCTTTTACGCAAGATATCGCACCCGTCAACTGCCTTGACACCGACGGACTACGGAGGCTCGTCAAAGTGTCTGCAAGGCGTGAGCCTCGTCACCAAACATTTGGATTCGAGTCCGCCCCTTACAGGGGGCTTCTGCATAAGATGAAAGGTAAGTCTATCCTTCACCTTGGCCTCCTGCCCTACTTGCCCCTGGGAATCATCCTGCGAATAAACTGCACGCTGGCCCTCGAAATCGTAAAGCTGCCCTCTCAAACCATTCGTCAACGCGACTCAACGCACCGCTTCAGTCCGTACTCTCGGATCCCCTCTCGCCAGCAAACTGTCGCTTCACCCGAGCAGGGAATGCTTCCGGGGTCGAGATAGAACACAGAAAGCAAAACACCAGAGGAGCGAGGAAGAGGAGATGAAAAGCGATCCGAGGCAGAGGATCCGCACAGTGCCCCTTCGCGCCTTATTGACCGCCAAAGTCACTGCCGTATCCCATGTCGCCAAAGTTTTGATTCATGCCTCCCTCTCCAAATGCTGCACCGGGACCGCTCGCATAGCCACCATCGTCTGCCTCATCGTAGTCGCTAGCGTCGAAAGAGGACCGGCCGCTCAAGTCGTCGTCCATTCCGCCGCCCGCGTCGGCTTGCGACCAGTTCATCTGAGCTAGGGCAGGGTACTGGGCCAATAGTGCTGCCGGCAGCGCGTAATTACCCCCCGCATCCATGGGATACCCAGTGGGCGCATCCATGGCCATGGGTTGGGGGGCCGCCATGTTCTGAGCCATGTTTTGCTGCATGCGCTGCTCCTGCCACAGGCGCTGCCGTTCAATCATCTCCTCGTCGAGCAGGGGCTTAATGCAAATGCGGCCAGCCTCGGAGCGGAAATGGCGGCCCAGGGCATCAGCACGGGCAAACCGTCGGCCGCAGCCCCACTGGCCACCCGCCTTGAGATCGCCCTTGCACACGAATTTCTTCTCGCCAGAGTGCAGGCTCTCGTGCCTCTTCCGGTCGTGCTGCCGGGCAAAGGCTTTGCCGCATACGGTACAGACAAACGGCCTTTCATCCGTGTGGGTTCGCAAATGGGAGCGCAGGTTGTATGCCCTGGTAAATCGCTTGGGACACAGGGTGCACTGAAAGGTTGCGGGATGCTTCTGTACCCTCTTCGTAGCCCCGGCGTCTTGGCTATGTTGGTACTCGGGATCCGCGAGGCGCAGGGCAATAATGTTATTCGGGACTGCCGACGTCGACTGTCTTCTCCCCCGCGGGGACGAGGCGGCCTGTCGGTCCAGAGGCGACAAGGAGCGGGCAGACTCTGATCGAGTGGCAAAGTCAGACGCGGCAGACGGCGAGAGACTGCCAACGTTGTTCGGACGGACCAAACCCGTACTACCGGGGTGGAATGGGTCAGTCACGGACCTAGGGCGGGACTTGAGCCGGCCTTGACAACGGGTTAGTCCCGGCGCAGAGTGGAGAGGGATAGGGACAGAAGCAGCAGCACATACCTCTATCCGGTGGTGTCAAGGAATCTTGGTCCATGTGTGTCTTGGACAAATCAAAAGAGCTCGGCTTGTTAGGCGCGAAGTCGATGTTTATAGCCGGGGGGGCCATTTGCGAGACGTCGGCTGCGCAGGAAGGCTGCATTGCAGGGAAAGACTCGCCGGCAAGTTGCATGCCCAGATATGCCCCGAACCCGGCGCTCGAAGGCCCAAGGCCGTACGCTGCGTTGTTCATGTCGGGCGTTTGCTGGGGCTGGATACGCGGACTAATGGCAGGACTGTGAGATGGGCTCCTGCCGTGTTGACATTGATTGGAATCGGCGATGCTGAAGTTTCCGATGCCCAAGACTTCCTGGTAGAGATTACCGTCTGACGCTCGCTGCAGGGGAGAGTGGCCGCCGCGATCTTCAAAGGTCTCTGAGCTGACGAGGTTTGGGGATGGAGCGACGGACGAGACGTCTGAGTACTCGGACGGACTGCGGCGGTGTCCCTGGAACTGGGGCTGGGTCCAGTCGCCAATTTGGTTGGCTAGGAGAGCAGCCTCGGGGCCGAGGGAGACGTTCCTCGAGTGGCCTCCCGGGGGAGAGGAGAACTGATGCTGGTTGTAGGAAGGCGAGTGTTGGGCCGAGCCGGGCTGATGTCCTTCGAGGTGGAGCAAGTTTGGAGGCGTCGGGGAGTGATGCGACTGGGGAGAGGTCATGGCGCCGAGGTCGTTTGGGCTGAGGCTCGACTGCTCGAAGAGGGGGGGGTTGAGCTGGTCGCCGTGGCCTCCCGAGGAGGGGAAGAGGGAGAAGTCGCCGTCGCCGAGGTTGGAAGACAGGTACGAGTTGGCCGACTGGGGCTGCGAGTGCGAGTCGAAGGACAGCGGCGCGGGGACGGAGTCTGTGCCGGCCGAGGAGGGCGGGTCGTGGCCGAAGGAGGCGGACGGATCGAAGGCGGCGGCGGACGGGTAAGGAGCAGAGGAATCGGCAGGGACGGCTGAGAAGGGGTGGCGGTGTTGCTGGTGTAGGTGCTGCTGGGGTTGGTCCAAGGCGAGGCCCAGGCCGGCGGGTGAAGAGGCATCGGTGCCGCCGGGGCCGGGGGACGGCGACTGAGGGCCCTGTTGGTTTATATGAATCTGGTGATCGGCCGACGAGGACGGCGACGGGGCATGGTGGGCCTGTTGATCCATGGTGCTGGAGCCCATCGGGGTGAGGATCGCGAGGCAGATTTTCCCAAGGCAGCCCTTTCGGCGGCCAGGGGGTTTTGCCGAGGGGGCTGTGCACCAGGGCGAGGGTGATGCGAGGCGGCGGGGTGTGGTGGGAGGGGAAAAAGGGCCCTATCAAGAAGAAGAAGCGGTGCGAGTAGCGGCCCTGCAGAGGAGCAGTGAGAGTGGTCGAAAGGCCCCGTATTCGATGCTTCTGCCGACGAGGAGAACGGGGAGTCGTCGGATGGATGGGGGCGGGAATGTGAAACCTGGTCGATCTGTCTGTCCATGTACGGGGACGGAAGGATGGGTGGCCTCCGAGGCAAGGCGGCAAGGTACGTAGCGCCCAAGACGTGTATGTGTGTGTGTGTTTGGGGTATATGTATGTGTGTATGTGTCCAGTACCTATGTGGAAAAGGTCGAGCAAGCAAGCAGCAGTTGTCGTCGTCGTCGTCGAGAAAAAGGCCTCGTCGAGGTGGTAGGGCTGGGGGTGGAGGATGATGACTAGGTACTTAGTGGCGTGGGCTCGGTGCGACAGCAGAAATGAGGAGGCAGAAAAGCCGGGGTCTGGGATTATCCATGGGGCAAGGGGGTAGGGTACCTGGGGCTTCATGGGGTGCAGTTACGGAGGTACGGAGTCCTGGCGCGGATCTGCGGCCGGACCCCGCGTCTCTAGGCAACAAAGGTCTGCTCTCGGCAAGTACTTGGGCATGTGCTAGGCGCCCAACCGTCAAGGCCGTTCAATCGGCCCAGCCGACGAGGCGGTGCAAGCAAGAAAGGGAGGGCCCGCCTTGGTCGTGGGCTGCTCTCGCGCCGCTTTCCAGACGCGTATGGTAATTACTACCTACCTAGGTAGTACCTGGAGCGTAGCCTGCACGAAGTACCTACCTACCTACCCCTTAGGTAGGTACTGAGTGTGTATATTTCGCTGTCTGGAGAGTGAGTACGTCTACGACAGAGGCGCGCGTTTGCTGCGACGTCGGACAGAAATGGGCGACGGTGATTACGACAACGAAAATCCAATATGCCTCTCCCTTTGACACCACAATGCCATTGTTTGTTGACGAAGTACTTTTGGTGAGCACGTGTGTGTGCGCGGCCCGAGTGGCCGACTGATGAATGCATGCTTCAACTTGCAAGTCGACCATGGGCATTGCGCTCGGGCTACTCATTCAGTCCGTACTTTGACTTAGTTAGGCCGGCGAATAATTACACAGAGACAGGCGCAGACATGCAAGGTACTTTTCGGGACAAGATGATGCCTTTCATCAGACTCGCTGAACTTGGAACCAGACACAGTGCCAAGACCCGAAGACAGTCCGCTGGGCGGAAGGGGGGGACTTGCCAAAATTAGCAGCGTAGCATTGGCGTTCCAACGACTCTGCGGACTGACGCAATCTATCGAGTCTGCCTGACAAGGCACACTGCCCAAACGGGCAGCCGGCAGGGCAGTACTATCGCGGGCGTACCATGCTACGGGAGGTACTGAGGTACCCTGAACAGCGCTTGGGGGCTACCCAGATACGTCCAGCAGCAACCACCACGCCTCCTGCATGTGCTTGGGTTTGGGCCAGGCAGGAAGCAGGCAGCAGGCAGCGGGCAGCAGGCAGCAGGCAGCATCTTACCTGAGTACAGCAGTACAGTACCTGGGTGTGTTCTCTCTACATCATTAGCCTGGTCTTTTCTTTCCCGTTCCCGACTTCGTACTGTAGTCTTGATTTTCCCAGACTTTGCCTCACGCAACACCAACATCAAAAAACCCACTCCGAGTCTGCTCAACCTTGAACCCCCCGACAGCCGCGGAATAGCATGCCGAGTGTTGACGCGCCAAGCATTATCATCCCAGAGCAAGGCCCGCCTTGCAAAATATGACCCCCCTGGACAGGAAGAGATGGGCCCTTTACAGAGGTCGCACCTTCGGCAGTCTCCGTCAAAACTGAACATCTCCCCGTCCTGTGTCGGCGATTCCTTATCGGGGCATTTCCACGTCCTGTCCGTACAAACACCGGTACCACCACGGCCTCGGGGTCCTCTCGAGAAGTCGCGGCGCCTCCTGCTGCGATAAAGGAAGCATGGACAATGCTTGGCCGTCCCAGGCTGTGGTAACACATTAAAATTTTCCATATTTCTACCACGTGCCATCCATGTTAAGACAACACTCCACCATACAGTACCGTAATGCTTATAGGCAGACGACAGCCGGCCGTCCTTCATGCACGGTCACCGCCGCTCTTCATCACTCGGAACTCAGCTGCCGTCTGTTCTATTTCCGGAAAGTCGTCATGCCAATCAATATCCACCCACATGTGCGCCTGTCCCGGGCCCCGCGGCCTCCGCTCGTCCCATCAAAGTCCCACGCTCGACACTCTTTGGTCTAGTTCTAAATGCTCTTAAAGAGAACAGAGGAGAGAGTTGCCGTTGCCCTGTCGAGCCCAGACTCCAGCCTCTATGCGGTATACCCTGCCTCTATATTGCTCCAACAAAGCGGCCCTTGCGTGGTGCCGTCCATTGCATGTGGCATATCCGCTTGACGATGTCGTCAACGACGCATGCGACAGACAAACAGCCTGGTATAGTAAAACATGGGGAAAGGTCGTCGGCGTCGAGAAAATCAAATGACCTCGGATCGCTCGTAGCCCGCGGGCTTGAGACTCGGCTTGGGCGCTTCGCGATCCTTGAAGGTGCTCACAAACGGATTCGGATCCTCCTTCTGGTTGAGGTTGCCCAGAGTGTGGTTGACGCCGCGGTGCCCGGCCTCGTCGGCTCGGATGTAGAGAATGAGGTCCTTCATGGTGCGGTTACTCTCGGACATGTTCCAATACTGCCACACAAGGTCAGTCGGTCCATCAGCGCGTGCAAAGGCGGCTCATATGGGACTTGCCTGGATCGCAAGTTCTGGGATCTTGAACTTAGGGTCGGCCCACTTGGGGAGCTGGCCCTGCTCGACCTCGTAGATGGCCCGCGTGTACGTGTGAACGGCCTCCTCCTCGAGGTAGCCGACGAAGCGGTGGACGACCTTGGGGTGAAGCAGGTAGGCGATGAAGAGGCCGTTGAAGAAGACACCCTGGGCGCCGATGATCATGAGCTTCATAAACCAGCCGGGCTCGCACATCTTCATAAATGTCAGGAGGTGCATGCGCTCGTTGTAGCTCTCCTCGAGGAGCGTCTCGATCCAGCCGTTGTCGCGCTTCATGCGCCGCAGGCTGTTGAGGTGGCGGAGCATGCCGCCGACCATGCCGGGGACGCCGGCGATGCTCTCGAGGAAGACGAACCGGATAAGCTGCGACTTCGTCAATGGACATGCTCTCATCCTAAGGGGCAGGCAGGGGATTCAACACGCACCCATTGAGCTTCGGTCAGTGGCTTCTCGGCCTCGATGGCCGTCGTCGGGTTCTTCTTGTCGACCTGCTGCTTCCGGTCCATGCCGGTAGCCTTATCCATGAAGTAGCGCGCCAGCCGAACAAGCTTCCAGGCGGCCCAATCGCTAAAGTTGCGCGGCTTGCGGTGGGCGGGCATCACGGCCGTCATCTCCTCCATGGTGTACCCATGGTGCGGCCAGGCCGGCTTAGTCTTGAGAATGTGAGGCGTGTCCTTGACGGGGAAGAAGTCGCGGAGCTGGGTCGCCGGCGTCGCGGAGAAGTGCCGCCGCGACAACGACGAACAAGGGCTGGCGGCCTGGTGTTGGTGGGAAAGGCTCAGGCCAATGGCATGGCGCTGGTGACAGCTTCCAGGGGCAACGGCTCGCGCGAGCTTGGCCGTGTGCCGGGAAGCGTCGGCTCGACAGCGGACTGTGGTGGAGATCATGAGGGTGGCGACAAAACAAGAAGACAGAGGATGCCAATGTCTGGATGGACAGAACCAAGATGATGGTGACAAGTCGAACGATGGGCTGGCAAGGGTTCGTCCCTTTTTATACACGTTTGTGGTGTAAGTCAAGGCAGCCAGCAAAGGGGAGCCCGGTCCCGTGGACCCGCGAGGCCCATGAGTCGCATCCATTCAGGTAGCCTGGATTGGACATGAGACGGTTAGGCTAGTAGACAGCCACGGACATCGGCACGGATCAGAGAGCTCTTGACAGCCACATTCTTGGTTGGACCGCATGGAGCAGCATTGCACAACGGGATTCCCTTGGTCACGAAGACGGACCGGAAGCCCGCCCGCAAAAGGGGGCTTGCTTGTTGTGAGCCGTGACTCACGCAGGTGAGAAAAGGGAGCACAGGGTCGGGAAGATTCGGAAACGTTCGGGGCTGCGATGTGTGTCAGCAACTTTATTCGCAATACCTATGTAAGTCCACGCAGCTCCGAGGAGAAGGTTTCAGTACGCGGCGCCGGCCGCGCCCTTTTCCCGCCGTCACCGGTAGACAAGTCGACGGGGTATTGTTTGACGGCCGCAAAAGGCTAATACCGGCGGTAGTCGCTGCGACCATCAATGCACGCACACCGCCTGTTGAAGTCGACGATTTAAGAAATAAAATAAAATCCCATAACTATCGAATGTCCCAACACATGCAGACAGGGCAAGCATTCATCTTACCTTACCTGGCGGCAGTGGAGGCCTGTCGGCAGTTGGGCCAATGCGAGGGAGCTTCAAGCTGTACAGTAGGCTACACGTGCAACACAGTAATCTTGAGGCTGACGGCAGTAGCATGTCGTCATGCTTCAGTCTCTCGCTGTCTGCGTCGTGCACATTCAGCTATTCTCGCCTGGTCTAGGTATTGGTATGGATGACCTGGATTGCTAGGTAATCAACTGCAGCTCGTATTACGCTTATCCACTGTCCATCCTTGTTGTGCCTACATTTACAGTACATGCGTAAGACGATTCCGGATCTCCGGATCTTGACTCCAGATGAGTTCACAGGTACTGTACCTAGCTACCTACTCAGCCTGGTCCTTGGTTTTGACATACTTGGTGGATTTCCGTGGGCGAGTGCCGAAAATGGCGCTTGGGCTCTGCTTCGGCGATGATTCGGGCTGCGTGATAATTAGACGGCAGTTGTCCCGAGAACGGAGCAATGACATTTGCGGTGCTCAGACCGCGTCCTTCTCTTTGTCTCTTCTCTCTGTCTCCTACCTATCCCCAGCTTGGCTAAAATATACCTATTCACATTTATAGGGGTTTAATTTAGACTTGCCCCCCCCCCCCCCTCTTTCGCTTCCAAGCTGCTTTGCGTCTGGGGAGGTGCTGGTGCATCGCCTTCCCTCCAGTCGGCAATCGGAGCTACCCTACAAGCAGCAGTACGTATCGCGCTTGCCTTTGTCCAGCCGGAGCAGTGCGTTGTTCCTACCCGAGGCTCCTGCCTGCCTTCCTGCCCAATGTCGAGCCCCTCTCTTCCTTGTCCGGCGTCGCACGCAAAAAGGCGCCGCACACACCGCAGGCAAACCTCGATGCACAAAAAATCAAAATCCAAAATACGCCACCTTGAACCAACCTCGTCCCATACAACGCCAACCCTTATTCCTTGCCTCACCTCGGGCCCTCGATCAACGCGTACAAACTTCCTCTTCGTACCTCGGCCGCCGCATCTCTGCTCGCCTGTGTCTCGCGCGAGCATAACCACCCCGCTAGACTGCACCCCGAGAGCGCTCGCACGACTTCATCTTCCAACCACATCTTTCTTCTGACACCATGCCTCCCGGGAAACAGTGGGGTAAGTGAGCTATTCATCGGAGCCCATCTTGGGTACACCGTGCACATTGCGACGTCTGCCGTCTCAAACTGCCCTTTCCTTTGCCCTCTCATATGTCGCGCCTCTCTTCGTGGGCAACAGGTCGCACGCCTATCCTGCTCCCCACCTCCTTTAGTCGCTCGCCACGCTCACTGGCTGCCTCTCGCTGACCACTCCTTTTGCTATAGAAGCCGAAGAAAGCGACTCTAGCACCCCGCCCTCTTCTCCTCCCATCACAACTACCCGCCGACGCCAGTTCGACGACGAAGAAGGTGATAGTGATGTGAGTTGTCTGCCAGGCGTCTCGCGGCTACTCCTAGGCACGCTTGCTGACTCGTTTCTTCTCCTCGTCACAGGTCATCGAATCCTGGGACGCCGCCGAAGATTCCGAGGTAGAACGCGAGAAGGAGCGCAAGGCCACCGAGGCCAAGGCCAAGGCCGCTGCCGAAGCCGCCGCTAGCAAGAAGCCAAAGTCCCAGCGCGTTGCTGATCATCGGGCCCAGCGCGCCATCCAGCTTGAGGAAAACGACGAGTCCGGCGAGGATGACGAGACGGAAGCTGAGCGCCGTGAGCGACTACGCCGCACCGAGCAGGATGCCGACCTTCGCCATGCCGAGGATCTCTTTGGCAACGTGGGCATCAGCAGCGGCCGCAAAGCTCCCACCATTGGCACCTCCGTTGCGATCGACCCCAAGGACCCCACCAGCACGGTTAACCTCGCTATTATTCCCCTCTTCAACCCGCAGACAAAGAGTCAGTTTGAGCAGCTGCGCGCCACCATTGGCCCCATCATCGCCAACAACTACAAAAAGGCTCATTACGGTCTCTTCCTCGAAGAGTTTGCAAAGGAGCTGGCCAAGGAATTGTCTAGTGACCAGATCAAAAAAGTCTCCAGCGCTCTCACACGCCTAGGCAATGAGAAGATGAAGGAGGAGAAGGCTGCCGAAAAGGGAGGGAAGAAGACGAAGGCAGCCAAGACCAAGACGTCGCTCGTCGCCAGCCGTCCCAACACGACTGACACTGCCACGTACGATGACGACGGGTTCGGGGAGTAAGTCGAGACCTTGATCTCGAGCAACTGCGAGCTTCTCATGCTGACTCTGTCCCAGCGACGACTTTATGTGAAGCCGCCAGCACAGCGGGGAAACGCAACTTGGCTACTTTGCAGCCTTTCGCATTGCAGATTCTGCTACGTTATCTGGATCCACGGTCGCATACGCTCCTCTTTCCGTTCCCAGCCACGAGCCCTTCGGACCACTTTTGGAGTAAGCATGCCGTGGCTAGCTTCATCACGGCAGCGACATCCGTGCGTGGCAACACCTCGACTCGGCCTCATGTCCAACCAGATTCAGCAGGAGCGTTGAGACCTTTTTGTGGATTGAGGCGGGCGGCATCAAGGCGTTGGGGGCATGGTAGATGACGACATACGGAGGAACTTCTGCAAGAATGACTGGAGGTGTGGCGCTAGGAAGGACCATCGTCGGTCGTGGCTACTTGATCTAAAACCTCGCGGACGTCAACACGAATATGACAGAGTCTGAGGGCATTCAAGCCTACGAGAGTGGCGGAACGTGACCGTCCAAGGTTGTAACAAGCAGCAGCTTGAAATTTACACCAAGCACAAGTTCGGGGCATCGGAGCATGTCGTTGATTTAAATACTCATGTCAGCGCGTTGGTAGCTAGGGTATCAATCATGTCCGCCCCATCCGTGAAGTCGACGTCGTGAGAAACAAAAAGAGCCTGCAACGCCTCCCAGGAACCCAGTAGCAGCGACACATTCCGCCTAACTCGATCCCACGCCAAACGCCGGTTCCAGGCACGGGGCATACCTCGACCTGATGTAGCGGATATATACCGCAACTCTCTCCGCCCTGTACCCCCCTTTCTTAACGTGTTGTTGCGAGAAGAGTAGCAAGAGTAGGGATGAATCGTGGGCGAGGGGAGAGGAAAAGAAAGAGGAAAGGGCCAGGGGCGCGCAGATAGCACGAGAGCGATGTTAAACCACGTTGCCGGCCATACCCATGAAGAGGGCATGCACGGCCAGGGACAGGGTCCAGAAGCCCACCTTTTTGAAGCGCCGGACGCGGCTCTGCTGGTCCTCGACATCCTTGGCAAAGGCCTCGTACGTCTCGGCCGACGCGTCGCTCATGAGCCCGCAGTCAAAGACAGTCCAGCTGCCGTCAAAGTCGCCGACGCGCTTGATGATGCGGCAGGCGATGGGGATGTACGTCTTCTTGGCGTTGATGTAGGCCACAATGGGCCGCACGAGGGCCTGGTTGACGTACGACATGTCGCGCGTGAAGAGGGGCACGGCGGCCTTGACGTCGTTGAGATGAATGCGCATGTCCATGACGAGGTAGCGGCGGTCTTCTTCGTTGGGACTCTCGCTCTCCTCTTGGTCGGCTGGCTGGCTCTTCGGCGGCGGGCCGGCGGCCGCCTCGGAGATGTATCCCGATCGGACAAGGGCAGGCGCCGCGTTGGCCGTGTTCTGCAGCAGCCGGGCTCGATTTGTTATCACCGCCTCCTCGAGCTGGTCGTAAAAATCAGCCATGACTTTTGTGATTCCCTCGTCGCTGTCGGCCGGGAACATGACGTCGGCCACAATATCGACGTTGCCCTCGTAGATCCACCCAAAGGGTCCCTCGACGCCGCGGTTCAAGTGGTCTATCTTGAGCCCGTCTATCCGGAGCCTGCTAAACTTCTTCCAGGCATGGGGCTCCTCCACGCCCGTCCTGGCACCCCTGTCGAGGCTCGACGCTATGCCGTGTACTTGGCGAGGGTGTATCGTGAAGAGCGAGCCATCGTACGACCCCGACATGTGGTTGGCCGACAAGAAGTCGTAGAATAGCCACTGCTTACGCAGCTGCGGCAGTTCGCACGAGTAAATGCTGACCGAAAAGGGCCGGAATTCATTGGGCTGGTGTACTGTCAATAGAAGATCCTCGAGCTTGAACGACTCAATCTCAAAGTCCCCGGGCTCGTGATGGTGACGATAGGACAGAGGATCGACCTGCTCCTGAGGCCAGCGCACAGAGGTCCGGTCCACGACCCCTCTGACGCCATTCACCTCTACATCTTTGAGCGGTCCCCTGCCATTCCACCAGTTGAGGAAAGACAGCGTCACGTTGATGTTTGCAATGGTCAGGTCGAACTGGGTGTAGTTGCCGTCGTCGACCGCGCTGGCAGCCGTGACTACCTGGGCTTGTCGCCCTGCAGCAGCCACAGCGGCCGCGTCGGATGAGCCCTTGCTGACGGACGACTCGACTTGGCCCGGCCGTCGAGAGATGTATACGTTGCGGAACGCAATGACGCCGTTTTTCCACTTGGGCACAATGGCCGACTCGAAGACGACGGTGACACCAGCCGATTGGGTCAAATAGTCGCCCACCCACTTGGCGAGAGTTTCTAGCCGCTTGTTAGCATACGGGCGTGTGCTGCGGGCGAGAGCGCCGTATTTACCCTGAGCAAAGACGGTGTTGATGGAGAAGATGATGAGGGAAAAGAACGTTGTCGTTCCCACGAGGATCCACACAAGATGGCCGAGCATGAACCAGGAGACAAAAGCACCCCATTCATCGGCGTTCCACGGTCGCATGCTCCTTATGGACATCCACTTGAATCGGACCCTGACACGCTCCCAGAAGCCGTTTGCGGCCGCCAGCAGCTCCTCCTTTGTGGGACGGTGTGGCATCTTGGGCAGGTGGAGGTATTTGGAGACGGACGAGGCTATGGACTCGTCATGGCTGTCCGAATGCCCTCCTCGGTCGACACTGGAGGGCTGCGTGCTCCGGACCCGTGGTACGTCTCCGGTTTCGCCTAGAGGAGGAGCAGAGCGTCTCTCATGCTGGGCTTGAGGCGACTTGCGCCGGTCGTCGCTATATGCTCGGTGCTGCGAGCGCCATGCTGGTATCGTGGAGGCACGTCCAGCTCGAGGGCGGGCGAGTCGTTGGCCCGTGATTACAGCATGTGGACTGGATCGGCGAGCTGGCAGGCTGTGAGAGAAACCGAGGACGCCTGGAGATGGGGAAAGCCAGCTGTAAAGGGGCGTCGTTGGCGACGAGCGTTGAGACAGTCGAAGAGTCCCGCCGAAGGTCAAGGCGCCGGCGGTCCGAGGTGGCTGGGCAACTGCGCACAAGCGGCTCCCGATCAGCCAGGAAAATGTTCTAGACATTCTCTCGGCTCATGGCGTCTGCTTGCAGGAGACGGTGCAGAGGCAGAAAGCAATGGGCAGCCGGGGGGTGGCGATGAGGCCTGGCAGGTGAGTGGACAAGCTGGTATCTTATCTTGTTACTGGTCGCGGACGCATTACAGAAAAATCCATTGCATGACGCGCTCGAGAGTCTGGGTGGCCCGCGCCCGCAGAAACCAGAGCCAGGACCAATGGATAAGCCTCGATAAGCTCCCACAAATTTTCCGTCGACGGGGATAGCCAGCGCTCGTTTCCAGTCACGGTGATGGAGAAGGAAGAGGCCTGATGCATCCTGTAAACGGCGAACATTTGAACCTCGACACATATCCCTTGCTGCGACGAATATTGCGACGACGACCTGACGACTGCTGCTAACCATTGTCTCGGCATCCTCGAAAGCGTGTCGGAATCCCCGTTTTCAAGTCATCCTCACAGTCGGCCGCTCCGAGACAGCAAAGACTCACAGAAAATTTCCATTCACCGCCATGCCCGCGCCTACGGCCTTGAAAAAGGCGGAGGAGATGCCACTCGCTCCGGAGGCACCTCCCCCGGCCCAAGGTAAATGCCTTCCGCTGAGTCTCGACTTTCGTCCACAAATCTAACCGACGAGCTAGAAAACGACGACGAGTTTCTCCTCGACGCACAAGAATCTTCTGCCGTCGATGCTCAAGCGCTGGCGCCCCAAGCGCGAGACGACGAAAATGATGCCATGGCCATTGACGAGGAGGGCCGGCCACGCTTTGCGCCCACGAGAGACATTGTACGCAACCTCTCAGTCACCGATGACCTTGGCAGCTAACACAAAACAGGACCCCGTGACTAGAGTAGAGACGCGCAAGGTCCCCGTACCACCACACCGCATGACACCCCTCAAACAAGCCTGGCCGTCGATATATCCCCCCCTGGTGGAGCATCTTCAGCTGCAGTGCCGGATGAATATCAAGCGCAAGACGGTGGAGCTGAGGACCTCGAAGCACACTGTCGACTCGGGTGCGCTGCAAAAGGGAGAGGATTTCGTAAAGGCCTTTACACTGGGGTTCGACGTCGACGATGCCATTGCCCTGCTACGACTGGACGATCTCTACATTGAGACGTTTGAGATCAAAGACGTGCGGACTATGCACGGCGACAGCCAGGCCCGTGCCGTTGGGCGAATTGCGGGAAAGGACGGCAAAACCAAGTTTGCCATTGAAAACGCCAGCAGGACAAGAATTGTGCTGGCGGACTCTAAGATCCACATTCTAGGGGGGTTCAAGAACATTCACATGGCGCGGGAGTCGGTCGTCAGTCTGATTCTAGGCAAGCCACCGGGCAAGGTCTACGGCAATCTGAGAACAGTGGCCGCGAGGATGAAGGAGAGATTTTGAAGGGATGATGACAACAAGCGGTTACGGGGGAAATGGCGTTATGGCTAGCAGTATTTCTTATTCATTGGCCACGTTTAGATGTTTACTACGGCACGGCCACGAAACCAAATACAAAGAATCACCGCCGTGGGGAGAATCAGACAGGCGCCGCCATTACGCAGATGCCTGCCTGAGTGGTTACCCGGTCGCCCGATACCCGCCCCCGCCTGGGGGGCAAATGACTCTGAAGGAAGGCTTGGTGAGCCTCTCGGCTACCTGAAATGATGGTGGTGCTCGACGGGGCAGCATCGAGCGGGACTCTGGTGCTTACAAGATACCTCGATGCCGCGCTCACGGACCCTGAATTCAGATGTAAACCCTTACAATTGCCCCTCCAGTATCCACGAGGGGTACTTTGACGTGCAACTCTGACATGTAGCTTCAAGTACTCCTCCGTATCTGGACGTTGAATCAGGTGGAATCGGGCACGCAAATGACCGACGCAGTACATGTATATCCACAGACAGCAGGTATCTCGCGCGTGATACCAAGAGAGCTTGCTCTTGCTGCCCGGCAGCTGGCGATTGCCCAGTTTGTTGCCCCACCTTGCGAGCAATCGGCCCTCCTCCATTCCCAAATCCCAACCGCAACGTTTCGAGCGTCGCCCAGAAAAAAAGTTCCCTCCTCTTCCCTCCCTCCACAAACAATCCCCTCTACCACACACAACTCATTGCATTTACGAGAGGGATTGTAGCCCCCACGCTTTGCTCAGGTAAGTCAGCTCTTGACGCCTTTCTCCCACTCCTCTTCGCTCGCCTCGCAACCCCTCGCACTCGCAACGGCGACCCCGCCAGAGCTCTTAGCCTTCTCAGAGAAGCTACCGTTCGCCGGCCGAGGCGTGCTCCCATTTTGTCCAGTCTCTCTCGCTCCGAGCCCGTTTTGCTCTCAGGCATCATTTGAATTCTATATTTCCGCCTGTTCACGCCGTCAGCTCCCCTCTTCGTCAAGGGCCACAAAGTTCAAACGCTTCCTCCCCCTCTCTGCCTCATCTGCTACCCCGCCCCCACTTCCAGAAGCAGAATCGACAGCCTCAAAACTGACGCAGCTGGCTGCCTCTACAGAACCAACTCATCTGCGCTGCCGTAAAAGTCCCAAGATGGCAGTCACTAAAGTCCACGCGCGCTCCGTCTACGACTCCCGTGGTAACCCCACCGTGGAGGTTGACGTCGTCACCGAGACTGGCCTCCACCGTGCCATGGTTCCGTCTGGAGCCTCTACCGGTTCGTAACGGCCCAACTCGCCCACCACTTCGTACCGACGCGGGTGATAACCTCGTGTCTAGGCCAGCACGAAGCCTGTGAGCTCCGAGACGGTGACAAAACTAAGTGGGGCGGCAAGGGCGTGGGCAAGGCCGTCGAGAACGTCAACACCATCATTGGCCCTGCGCTGATCAAAGAGGCCATCGATGTCAAGGACCAGTCCAAGGTCGATGAGTTCCTCAACAGCCTTGATGGCACCACCAACAAGACTAAGCTTGGTGCCAATGCCATCCTGGGCGTCAGCTTGGCTGTCGCCAAAGCCGGCGCTGCTGAGAAGGTGAGAAGTCCTTTTTCGGACTGCATCCAATCGAGGGTTCATGCTGACAGGCTTAGGGTGTGCCTCTGTACGCTCACATCTCCGACCTTGCCGGGACCAAGAAGCCATACGTCCTCCCTGTGCCTTTCATGAACGTGCTCAACGGAGGGTGAGACTTGACTCCGAGCGGAATACGTACGTCGCAGTGCTGACGTCCCTAGATCCCACGCTGGTGGCCGCCTCGCCTTCCAGGAGTTCATGATCGTCCCCAGGTAAGTAGGATTGCTTTTCCCAAACAGATTCGGATTTTGTTCTGACCGTACCAATCAAAGCGACGCTCCCACCTTCTCCGAGGCCATGCGCCAGGGTGCCGAGGTTTACCAGCAGCTCAAGGGCCTGGCCAAGAAGAAGTATGGTCAGTCCGCCGGCAATGTCGGCGACGAGGGTGGTGTTGCTCCCGATATTCAGACGGCCGCCGAGGCCCTGGATCTCATCACCGAGGCCATCGAGAAGGCCGGCTACACGGGCAAGATGAACATTGCCATGGATGTTGCCTCGAGCGAGTTCTACAAGGAGGCCGAAAAGAAGTATGACCTCGACTTCAAGAACCCCGAAAGCGACAAGTCTAAGTGGATCACCTACGAGGAGCTCGCTGCCATGTACTCCGACCTGTGCAAGAAGTACCCCATCGTCTCCATCGAGGACCCCTTTGCCGAGGACGACTGGGAGGCTTGGAGCTACTTCTACAAGGCGCAGGACATCCAGATTGTAGGTGATGACTTGACCGTCACCAACCCTGTGCGCATCAAGAAGGCGGTCGAGCTCAAGGCCTGCAATGCCCTCCTTCTCAAGGTCAACCAGATTGGTACCTTGACCGAGTCGATCCAGGCCGCCAAGGACTCGTATGCTGACGGCTGGGGCGTCATGGTCTCTCACCGGTCTGGTGAGACCGAGGATGTGACCATTGCTGACATTGTCGTTGGTATCCGATCGGGTGAGATCAAGACTGGTGCTCCCTGCCGGTCTGAGCGTCTTGCCAAGCTCAACCAGATTCTCCGCATCGAGGAGGAGCTAGGCGACCAGGCCATCTATGCCGGGGCCAACTTCCGAAAGTCTGTCAACCTATAAATCAGCCCCCTATCGGGAAACACGCCACGCGGCCCGATGGGAGTGGCCGAGACTGGCAGTTTTGGGATTTGCCAAGCAGAGTTTTGACGCCGAAGGACGTACGTACTATTACGCTAAAAAAAAAAAAAAGGAGAAGACATAGTGTGAAAATAGAAAACAAGCAAAGGCCAGGTCGGAGGCTCAGAATGAGGCTTTCAAGACGGCGTGGTTGTCAAGTTACCTAGAAGCATGTCCGTACCGAACTGTACAAGTTTGCCCGTGCCTGTAGTAGTAGTAGTAGTAGTATTGATTACCGTCTGGGACATCCCTATAAGGGCAAAAGACGTGCTAGGCTAGAGAAGACTAGATACATAGAATATCCCGAGTACCTGGACTAAGGACCGTGTGTAGCACCTAACCACTCCATCTAGCAATTCTGAGGCTCTGAGGCCGGTCGGAAATTCGGGGCCCTTCCCCCGTCAGCGGGTTCCAGGCACGGCAGTGAAGCCGTAATAGTAGTCAGTCTTTGGCCGAGGCCGGTGACTGAGAAAGCCCACGAAGTCATGGGCCGGCCGCAAGCCCTCGAGGAGGGCCTACGGGGCAGAAAGAAAAAGAAAAGAAAAAGGAAGCAGAGAGTGTAGCAATGTTAGTCGGGGATTCGCCCCGATGGCGATTGTCTTCTCCCGCAGGAGCGTTCGATCCGGGGCCACTTCGTGGTTATGACAGTCGGCGAAGTCCCCGTGCCTGCTCCTCGTAGCAAGCAGGTGGTGGAGGTGTTGTCGATTGGTGTGCAGCTCCGGGGGACACCCGGGTGAGGCCTTGAGCTCTAGGCTCTTGTAGCTCCTCGGGGCCCCCGCGGCCCACCAGTCCAGAGGAAGTCGTGGCCGCTGGGCGGCAGAAGGGCCGCAAGGCGGCAAGTTCGGAGCCGCGAGACGGCAGAAGGAGGCAGAGCCGCAAGGCGGCAGAAGGCGAGGCCAGCCAGTAAAGGCGGCAGAGGTGCGAGGCAGCGCGAGGCGTGCCAGGAAGGGCGAGAAGAAGTCGGGCCGCGAGGCGGCAGAAGAGGTCGGGGCCGCGAGGCGGCAGAAGTCGAGGCCAGCCAGTAAAGGCGGCAGAAGAAGGCGATGCCGCGAGGCGGCAGAAGGCGAGGCAGCGCGAGGCATGCCGTTATTCGAGACCAGCTTCCCAAGAGGAGACGAACTCTCCAAAGTCTGCCTTTGGTGCTTGCTAGAGCCCCGTTAGGGCTAGAGAGGCAGAAGCATGGTCGGGTGACCTGAAAATAATTATCCACTAACAGGCTGCTAACAGCCCGCAGAAGAGAAGAATTTTTACAGGGGAGAGTTGTTGCCCGTGCCTGGAGAGCACTGCAACTCTGTTTTCGGTGGGGCTTTACAAGGGCCCCGCGTAGATACGTACTTGATCATGTAATTCCGTTGATGTGGTTGCTGTGGCGACGAAGTCCAACTACACGCTCCAGCCACTAAAACAAGCCCCGACTATTTTGGGAGCATCAACAAGCAATCTCAAAACGCGCAACACATCCGGCTTGTCCTCCCACGGCTGCGGACTGCCACCACTCCAAGCATATTCTCGAGTCAAAATGCCGGCTTCAGAGGACCTCATCAACTTTGATGTGATTGAGAGTCACAAGGAGAACATTCAATCTCTGCCGGGCGGCCGCTCGGCAAAGAAGCTGGCCGAACTCTACTCGCCGTCTCCCCTGCACAAGCTCACCACGCCCACGCCCTCAGACACCAAGAACGTTAACGACTGCATCCGTGCAGAGTATGAGGCCGAGATCAAGAGCATCTCCGAGTCAGACGACCCTCTCGACATATTCGACCGATACGTGCGGTGGACGCTCGACGCGTACCCGTCGGCACAGGCAACGCCGCAGTCGCAGCTACACACGCTCCTTGAGCGAGCCACCAAGGCTTTCATCTCGTCGGCCCAATACAAGAACGATCCGCGGTACTTAAAGCTATGGATGCAATACATCCACTTCTTCTCCGACTCCCCGCGAGAGGCGTACCTGTTCCTCTCTCGCCACGGCATCGGGGAGGGGCTCGCGCTCTTCTACGAGGAATACGCGGCATGGCTTGAGGGCGCAGGCCGCTGGGCGCAGGCCGAGGAGGTCTACAAGCTCGGCATCGAGCGAGATGCTCGTCCGGTCCAGCGGCTGCTGCGCAAGTCCAAGGAGTTCGAGGAGAGACTCGCCCAACAGCCAGAAGCGGCGGCCGCCCCGTCGTCGCCCGCGCTGCCTACTGTTCGCCCGGCGCTGGCGGCGAAAACGGATCCGTTCAGTTCCTCGGCGCGGCCCGCGGATCCTCAGGCGCCGCGACAGGGTAGCGACGTTGGTGGCGCCATATCGAGGCCAGCCAAGTCGAAGCTCGCCATCTTCTCCGACGCTGACGCGAAGCCGGCGGCCCTTTCGACAATGGGCGAAGGGTCCCGTGGATGGGACACCATCGGCTCCATCGTGGATCGTAAGAAGGAAAACACACTGGAACCCAAGCCTTGGGTGGGGGAAACGCTCAAGGCGGGTGTGAAGAAGGGAGCTGCACCGAAAATGACAGTGTTCAGAGATGCGGTATGTGCCTCAAGTCAAGCTCCTTGCACGCCTGTATGTTGATGACGACAGGACTAATCATGTTGGCTGTTGGCCTTTTTGATGTAACTCAGTCTCTCTCGCAAATTAACAACATTGTCGTTGTCCCGTCCAAGAACCAAGTGACGATACATCCACAGACGGGTAAGAAGGAGTGCATCTACGTTGAGCTGGCAGCCATCTATCCCGCCCCCGAGCAGCAGGGGATGGAACTGAGCTTCGAGGAGATTGTTGCTGCGAACCGGGGCTGGCTCGATCACATCTGGGACGATGAGTTGGTTGACGAGAGCCGGGTTTCGGAGCCCGAATCCCAGTTGCACGAGATTGAGGAGCTCAGCAGAGATGTGGTCAACAAGCTTCAAGTCCACCAAGATCGCGTCCGGTACGACGAAAACGGCGTCGTCATGGAACCCCCGCGCGACTCTCGGCTGGGCAAGAAGAAGAAGGTGATGGAGGTGAATGAGACTCAAATAAGTGAGCGAGCGGCCGAGTGTCTTGTCTGGATCTCAACGCAAGAATCGCTAACACTTGAGCAGTCAAAGCAAAGCTGGACTCGCCCTCGGGCCCGAAACTCCGCAAGAAGAACACGTCGGAGCCGACAATGACACTCCACACCAAGGCTGCTACTGACGACATATACGACATTTTCAATGCGCCTCTCCAGAACTCCGGCGCCCAGGACGAGGCGGATAGCGCCGATGAAGAAGACTACGAGACTGATGGCGACTGCACAACCGATGCCGAGAGCACCGGCACAACCAGAGCGGTGGATACCAGTCAACATGAAGAAGACGAAGCCTCTGATGTGAAAAGCGTGAGCGAGTGGTCCGACTTTGCGACCCACAAACACATTCCAGATATCGAGAGAGGGCAGGAGGTCGAGAGAGCGGATGACGAGGTGGTGCCTGACGAGAGGCAGACATGCAGTCTCGACATGGCCGATGCCGAGGACACGCCGCCGCAGGGCGAGGACGAGCAAGACGAGCCCGTCGCCGAAGGGGAATCGCCGCCGAGGACGCGTACGATTTATGTTCCGCTCCCGCCCGAGGATTACGATCCGCCTACTCGTCCGTATAGGGACCCGGTCGAGGTGGCCAATAGTCGACTCCCGTTCATGACTCCGATCACGGAGCGGACAGAATGTTCCCTAGACGTTGATGCCGAGCGGCAGAGGCAGCATAAGACGCCATGCAAAGGCGAGCTGTCCTCGCCTATGCTGCAGGAGCCTCTCGCCCTGGAACCGCTCAGCAGTCCGCTGCAGGAGATTGAGAACAACGAGTCGACAATCCCTCGGGTTCCAGCATCGCCAATGCCAATGTCTGCAGCCCCGGGAAAAGAGACCCACAAACCGCTGCCTGCCAAGGGTCCGGTAGTCCACGACAAGCAGTGCAATCCGGTTGATGAGGCTATCCGTCGGGACATTCTCGACAACGCGAGCCCCCCCCTGGCATCCTACGGTGGTTTCTACGACCATGGAGACGATAAGTACGAGCGAGGGGGCGAGATTCGCAGGTTTGCCAAGGCTCTGAGCAAGGCCAGCAAAAGCGGCGCGGACAAGTCTGCGAACCCCCCCGATGCCGTCGCCATTCAGTTTCCAGGCGTAGAAGCCGTGTACAGCCTGAAGCGAGAGCTGGGCGCCGGTGCCTTTGCGCCCGTCTACCTGGTGGAGAATTCGGCGCCGGATAAAGAGACGGACGATGGCGCCGTGGCAGTCATGGGCAAAGGCGCTTTCGCCGTCAGCCACCGCAGCAAGCTCGAGGCCCTCAAGATGGAGTCTCCCCCGACCCCGTGGGAGTTTTACCTGATGCGTGTGGCTCACACGCGCCTGGGCCCTCAGCACCGAGCCACGGCGTCCCTGTCGTACGCGCATGAGATGCACCTCTACCAGGACGAGGCCTTCTTATTCCTTCCCTACCACGCGCACGGCACGCTGCTCGACATTGTCAATCTCTTCCGCACCGAGCCGTCGGGCGTCATGGACGAGCTGCTGGCCATGTTTTTCACCGTCGAGCTGCTGCGGACCGTTGAGGCGCTTCACTCCAAGGGCGTCATGCACGGCGATCTCAAGCCGGACAACTGCCTGCTTCGGCTGGACGCCGCAGCCTCGGAGCAACCGCAGGGGCTGGCGGCGCAGTGGAGGGCCGACGGCGGCGGTGGCTGGTCGTCGAGGGGCCTTGTGCTGATCGACTTTGGACGCGCCATCGACATGAAGGCGTTTGTGCCCGACGTCGAGTTCATCGCCGACTGGAAGACGAGTACGCAGGACTGCGCCGAGATGCGCGAGGGCCGCCCGTGGACGTGGCAGATTGACTACCACGGGCTGGCCGGCACCGTGCACTGCCTCCTGTTCGGCAAGTACATGGAGACAGCGCGATGTGACCAGGGCGGGCTGGGCAAGACGGGACGCAAGTACAGGATCCGCGAGAGCCTCAAGCGCTACTGGCAGACGGACCTCTGGGGCGATCTGCTCGAGGTGCTGCTCAACCCAGGCTCGTTCCTCGAGGCCGAAGAGGGCGGGCGCATGCCGGTGCTCAGGTCCATGAGGGGCGTGCGCGAGCGCATGGAGGCGTGGCTCGAGGCCAACTGTGAGAGGGGCGTCGGACTGCGGTCGCTCGTGGGCAAGCTCGAGGCGTATGCCAAAAGTCGCCGATGAGAGCAACTGTGGTAGACTGTGTCCGTCGTGGTGGTGGCGGGTGGCGGATGAGGCCGTTGACAGCAGCGGGGGCGTTTCGGGTCTGTTCCTAGCATGTCTTTCTTTGCTCTTTGAGATACCAGATTGGCGAGCTTGAGGGCCGGGCAGCAATAGTGAGCTTTGTCCTAGTTTGACGGGGAGAATTCAATCAGCTACCGACACGATGGGGAACACACAGCAGCCCCTTCACCAATGCACCAGCGTTTCCCCCATGGCTGCTTCTGTCGTAAACTGCTCAATATTCAAAGTGAGATAGAACCAAGCCCTCGGGATGCCGTTTCAGTCGCTTGCATCATCTTCGGGATCCGTCGTTGCGGTCCCCTTCTTCTTGCCCTGCTACTGCGTCTTCTTGCCACCGGCACCTCTACTGCCCTTCTTGGCGTCCTTTGCCGACTTCTTATCCACCTGGTCCTGAATCCTGCTCCTCTCGCCCGCGCCCGTAGCCTGCAGCCCCGCTTCCTTGGCCCTGAAGTCGTCGCCCTCCGGGTCCATGCCGACGAGGCTCTCGAGCAGTTTGATCTCGTCGGCCCAAATCTGCTTGTCCTCGACCGTCTTGCCGTCGGCGCCCTTGCGGTCGATGGGCGTCTCGAGCACCATGGGCATGCCGCGGAAGGTGTCATCGTTGACGATGCTATGGAAGGCTCGCAGGCCGAGGAAGCCGGTGCCAATGTTGGCGTGGAGGTCGCGGTTGGAGCCAAGGGGAGCCTTGCTGTCGTTGACTGTCATGCGTGATCAGTGGGAAGCGGTTAATTTAGGTCGCTTGGCGAAAACCCTATTTCTGCGAGGCAACTCGCTGCTGGAGAGAAAGAGGGAGCAGGATACTTACGGTGAAAGGCTTTCAAGTACTTGAAGCTCACGGTCTTTTCAAACGATTCCATTGTCGTTTTGAACGCCTCGTTCGTCCGCAGGTCGTAACCGGCAGCAAAGGCATGGCACGTATCGATGCAGACGCCCACGCGGTCCTTGTCCTCGACGAGGTCTATAATGTCCCTCAGATCCTCCCACGTCGACCCAATGACGTTGCCGCTGCCCGCCATGTTCTCGAGCACCGTCACCACCGTCTTGGTCTCCCTGTGGGAGCTGTTGAGCTGGGCCGCAATGCGCCCAATGGCCGCGGGCCGCGTGTCGCCCAGGGTCGAGCCCGGGTGGAAGTTGTACAGCCCGATGCCGAGCTGCTCGCACCGCTGCAAGTCGTCGACGAAACTCTTGTAGGCCTGGGCAGCCTTGGTCGCGTCCGACTGCGCCAGGTTGACGAGGTAGGACCCGTGCGGGAGGGCGTGCTGGGCGGCGCTGTAGCCATGGTCCTTGCAGCCGCCGAGGAAGAGGTCGCGCGCCTCGGCGCTCATGGGCGGGTTGTCCCACTTGCGCTGCGACTTGAGGAAGAGAGCGAAGGAGTTGGCACCGATTTGCATCGCATTCGTGACCGAGTTGTTTACGCCTGTTGTGGCGGAGAGCAAGTCAGAAGACGACAAGTCACAACGCACGTACTTGGCCAAGTCGATCAATTCATGCGCGGGCTTCTGGGATATTGTTAAAGGAACAGACATACCTCCTGCGGCGCTGACATGGGCGCCAATGTACATGGCCTTGCCCAGCGACGCCACAGCCGTCCGCTCTGCGAGCGGCATGCTGTCGTCGCCCTTTGCCTTGGTCTTGGCCTTGGCCTTGGGCCTCTTTGCAGCTCTAGGCACCTCACCCGAGTCCGACTCTACCGCTTCTGGCTCTGCTTTGCGCTTTGCCGCGGCTTTGGCCGTGGCTTTGGACGCAGCTTTGGATGGAGGTTCCTCGACTCGAGTGGTGGCCTTTGCCGTCGTGCTCGAGGTTGCTGCCTCGGCCTTGGTCGCTGGGCTTTCGCTGTAGTCGACGGCTGGCTTCCTGCGCGACGAAGTACGAGCCATCTTATCGGCGAGGATACGCGTAATTTGGAATGTGACGAGTGAGTGGCAACAAGGCTCGGTCGGCTTTGTGCCTTCGAAAAGCTGTCAATGGCCAGGCGCGGTTGAAGTACGGCGACGCCGGAGCCGCGGTGGGTGACGCGCTGTCATGTGACCGGGACGACATACTCTATCTTGTATTACGTCATGCTTCAACGTGACCGAGATGGATCAACTTGGCTGGCACGGCGACTTGTCCATCCATCTCTCCCGGGCCTTGTGAGACTGTTGCGATGGAGATATATCATCCGAGTCGCTCTTTCTGGCGATGCGCTCGTCAAAAGACCTACTGCCGTTTGACCACGAGTTGGGGATTGAAGCCGCAAGGTTTAAAAGTAAATATCGCGAATACGGACAATGCGCAAGTGATTCAACAACTGCTATCGTTTTAGGAGATAATTTGAAGCTCTGGTGCTGGGCCGTTCGAGAACTGATCCTTGTACGCCTCAAAGAGCCGCTCCACCTCGTCAACGTACAAGTCGTGATAGCGGTCAATCACCTCTTGCGGCGGCTGGGCCCCGTATGACTCGTCGACTTCAATCGGCTTGCCCACGACAATATTCACCTGCCGCCTGTACGGCATCAAGCCAACATCGTAGTTGAGCAGGCCTCGGCCGTGCAGCGCCGGAATGGTAAACTTGAACACCTTGAGGACGAACATCTGGACCTTGTGCACCATGGGGTGTGTCTTGGGGCTTAGCTGGTCGTACAGGTCGTTCTCGCCGAACCCGATGACTGGCACTAGGTCTGCCCCAGTGCGGAGCGCCATTTTGACGAAACCCTTGCGGCCCTTGAGGATAAGCCGCAGCGTGCCGGGCTGAGCCTCGAGCGACTCGCGGGCGCCGCCAATGACAATGGTGACGGCGCGGCCTTGACCGTCGTTATTGGGCCCTCCCTGGGATAGAGTGTTGCGGATCGAGCCCTTAGAAACAGATCGTATACCCATAGCCAGTATCCAGTCGCGGTAAAAGGGGAGGCGGAAGTTGGAGTCGAGTGTGAGAAGACTGTTAGTGATGCCAGGGAACTTGTCCGCAAAGCCAAGCGCATTGGTCGCAAAGGCACACCACGCGCCGTGTGATATGATTCCATGCGGGTGATAGCCAAGAATGTACCTTCTGTTGGGCGGTAAATCGTGCGTCTTGTGTAGTCGCATGGGGAAATACGTGGCAAAGAGCCTCCAGAGCGGCAGCGACCTCAGCTTTTCGGATCGAAAAGACAGCTTCCCATCCGTGGCCGCGGCAGATACGGACAAGTGAATCAAATAGGGCACAAGAATAGGCCAGGTCAGGGGGTTTGCGCAGGTGAACCAAAAGAGCGAGGTCATGACGATGATTGACATGCAGTGGAAGAAGACGGCCGCGGTCTGCAGGCGTCGGCCCATGGGCATGCGGAGAGGGGCGAAGCGTATTCCCCCAGCTCTCCAGGCCTCCTTCTCGTGGCCAAGGTGTGAGTTTGTATGGGTGAGCCGAGGATACGACGTTTCGTCTTGCTTGGCCGTGCCATTCTGCTCTGCCTTGGCCCACGTTGTCCCCTTGGCGGCCTTTTTCGGAGCAGATGCGGCGACGGCGTAAGACCTGGGGCCACCGTTGGGCGACGTCTTGGCTGCGCCGTTGGTCACCTTGGCAATCGGGGTAACGAGCTCCTGGGAGTCGCCGTCGGAATCCTACTCCATATCAGCCGTTGCGCACACGGGTCGGGGTTTGGAGAGCGCGGCACGAGCACCAGCGCTCAAACTTACCATCAGGAGTGTCTCGTCGCTGCTTTCTTGCTGCAGCGGCCGCCGCCGAAGTTTGTCGCTGGACCTGGGGGCCGTCGCCACCTTTTCGTTGGCGTCGACTGCCTCGGCGTCTGGCCCGGCGTTAGCATTGCGTCGGAAGCTGCGACCTGAATCTCACTTCTCTGCAGGGACGCAGCCCGCGCGACGTCGGCGCTGGTTGTCATCTTTGGTCAAGAGGCTGCTCCTTGGCGGAGCTTGAGGTGATGCGATGCGATGGACAGGGAGCAGTGGCGAGGAATGGGACGGACGCGCCAGAGGAGGGACTGGTGATCCCTAAATAAGGGCACCTCCAAGGTTCGTGGGATCGGGGGGGCTAAGGGTTTCAATGAGGCATAGACATCAATTGTACTGTAACCAGTACTTATTAAACAAGGTTCACCCTTTGCATCGCGCCATCTTGCGCATGGCCGCCGGCCCATCTACCCTGTACATACCCGCACCGGCCCCTCCAATGACGTCGCGCAGGCAAGGCCATTGAACGTGCTCCGTACCGACGCCGTCCTCGGCAGACACGTGAAGATGGTCTCTGCCCATTACTCGGCCCTGGCTCCAGTTCCTAGCAAACACGCAAGTAGGTAATGTCTGCCGCCGAGCGATGGTAAACGTGCCTAATACCTAGCCCACGGAAAGGTCATCGATACCGTGCAGTGCAAGCCAACCGACATGGGCACGGCAAGAGAGACAGACGCCTTTCTTTTCTTCGCTACCCTGGATCCATGTCTTGCCCAAATCGGCACTCGGCCCATGTTTACCCTCACCGAGGCTGCATGGCCCCAAACTCTTCACGCTACCGAATCGGACCGCATGCCGACGGCGCGCCGAGCCCTCCGACAAAACGTGGACGAGGAACGGACCGGCACAGTCCATTGTTCTGTCGTCTGGCCTCCGACGCCATGGAGCCACAGGCTGCGTCGGAGCCCACGCCAAAAGAGTCCCTTGCTCCCATCCCATCCATAAGACATTGCTGCCGATCTACTCGTATACGCTCGCGGAGGGCTTCGGGCAAACTCTCCCGGGAGGCGCATACATTTATATGCGTACTGTACCTTACCATTCGACATAACGAAACTTGCCCCACAAGCAAAGCGACACTCATGCCTTCGCCACTTCGGAGTCGCACGTCCCTGCCATCCAATGCCCTTCCATCATTTCCTCGCCCCCTAAACGCCATGGCAGGACGGAGCCCTTTCCGCCGCCGCCGCCAGCCAGGGCCGTGAGTGTACGTATGCTGCCTTCATGCAAGTCCCTAGCAAGTACGAGACGAGAAGAGATGCAGCGAGACGTGTGCAAATGTCTTTTCTTGCCCCCTTCTCTTCTTATATAACCTGCAGACATTCCCTCATGCCGTCGCGGCGCCGTCGCGCGTCTCCAGCTGCCTCTTCAGGCCCGTGACCTCTTGATCGAGTGTGGTGACTTTATCAGACAGCGACTTGACCTTGTCCTCTAGCGTTTGGACATATGCCCACACGCTCGGGTCACTCTGTGCAAACATGTTGCCGCTGTCACCGCTGGGCTGCGTCCCGCTTGGCGCGCGTCCGTGGGAGAAGCCTGTCGAGCCGGGTGCGGCGAAACCAGGGTGCGAGAGCCCCGGTAGCTTCGGCCGAGGCTGCCCGCCGTGCGGGGACTGCAGCTCAGATTGCCTCCTACCCATTTGCTGTTGCTGAAACTGCTGCGACAGGCTTGGCGATCGCTGCCGCGCGACACCAGACGCGTCGTGTGCTTGAGCGCCAGGGCTGAGTGGCTTTGGACTCTCCGTCATGCCAGACTGGGAATATATGCTCGCGGTCCCGGCGGCGGCGGGCACCGACGAGGTGCTTGTGTTGGCGGCAGCGTGACTGCTAGCCATGCTATTCGATACGCTCGTGGAGCCGTTGTTGGCCGAGCTGGTCTGAGCGGCGTTGACGTTGGGAGGGAAGAGGCCGCCCGGCGTGGGCCTCGGGCCTGCTGGCGGATACGTGCGCGAGTGTGCGCCAAAAGCCTCACCCTGAGTGCCGGGAGCGTGTTGCGACCCTAGGCTCGGCAGGCTCTGTCGTCTCAGCTCTTCGTCGTCGGCATTGTCGTAGGCGATGCCCGACATGGCAGACTCGTCCCCTTCGCCCATGGCACCGTCCAGCTCTTCTCCGTCAGCAAAGCTGCCCATGCTGGCCCTTCGTCCGGCGCAACCCCCAGCGCCTTTGCTGTGCCTGGCCAAGGCATCTCCTCTGGCGAACTTGCGATCGCACTTTGGGCACACGTGAGGCTTCTCGCCTGTGTGCAGCTTGCCGTGCCTCTTCAAGTCATGGAGCCGACGGAAACGCATCTGGCACTCTGTGCACACATAGGGCTTTTCCTGGCTGTGCGTCAGGAGATGGCTCTTGAGATTGTGGTGACGCGTGAACTCGGTGTTGCAGTAGGGACACTTGTGCTTCTTGCCGCCCGTCGATGTTGGCGAGCCGTGAATTTGAGCCGGCACGGGGAAGCTCATGCCCCGGGCCGATTGCTCCGGCAAGGCGCCCGAGGTCTGAAGCGACCCGGGGTACGACAGGGAGCCTGGCTGTGGTCGCTCGTCCTGTGTCGCCACTTGGTGTGCCGAGAGCTGATCAGACTTGCCGCCGTCAACCTCCATGGGCGTCGGGCTCTCCGTGATGGGTATGGCGGCCATGCTCGATGCGCTCTGTGGACTCGACCCGGCGTGTTCGTCGGGGCGGGGGCCGGCGCCTGGGGGTATTGACAGGGCCGCAACCGCCTTGACGGCCGGGTCCATGTTGGCGGTCGGCGCAACCTGGGGCGCGTCCGCAGGACGGCTCATTGCCTGAGTCGCCGCCGACATGAGGGATTCTAGGGCCCTGTGGCTGGGGTTGGGACTGGTCGGGAGGGGGGATGTGGGCGCCGGCTCCTCGTATCGTCGACGGCGCTCGTCCTCGAGCGCTGCGGCGCCCGTGAGCGGCGGAGGAGACTTTGTGGTTGTCGCCAGGGCCAGGCGCGCCGACTTGGTCGGGGAGCCGAGAGGATTGATGTGCTGGGTGGCCTGGGCACGTGGCGAGGCAGACTCGGAGTCGCGATGTCGCTTGGGCAGCCTCGCGATGCCGTCCAAGGAGACGAGGGTGCCGGGCGGGGAGTTGGCACGCGGACAGGCGGGTGGCGGCGCTTCAGTTGCAAGAGCGCCAACGCTTGATGCCATAGACGCTGGAAAGGGGGGGGGACAACTGGAATTGGTACGAATCTATGGCCAGTCAAGAGCGTGCAGTCGCAATCAGAGGCAGCTCGAGCTCACGAGGCATGTCGAGGCGGATCGTCGAACGAGGTGTGGCTGAAGAAGGTGGCGAGAGCTCTCTCTCTTTTTTTTTCCTGCTTCGATGTCGTCGGCGTCGAGAGGGAGGGTACGGGTGCGGCGAGGGCGAGACGAGACTGTGGCGTAGAAATGGGCTGCGCTGGCAACCGGTGACATGAATCAATCCGCTGCTACAGTGAAAAAATCCACAACAGGAAACATCAAGGGCCAGTCCGTCGCGGCGGGGACGACGGACGACAGCGGCACCGTGAGATGCGAGACGGAGGGTTGAGTTGAGAGTTGAGGATGAGAAGAGAGAGGCCGAATCCAAGGCGCGGAAGCAATGGGCAGTGTTCAGTTGCTTCAGCAGGAGGGTGCGCAGGAGCTGGCAAGTGCTCTGCGCCAACGCCACAAATGGCGCACCAGGCGGCGACTCAGCGAGGCAAGCGCGAAGGATCTTTTCCTCGGTGGGATTGGGCGTCAGCCAGAGGTCCCATTTGGCGTGGCGTAGCAGGGGGCTGATGCACAAAGTAAGGTACATAAGGTAGGTAGGCAGGTACCTGGGTACTGTAGATTGCGCACGGTCGACCTCGCGAAATTGTTGAGTCAGCACCCTCAGCTTCTTCTGTCATCCCAAGTACAGCTTGGTGGGATGTGATATGCTCTGTCCGTCTGTGAGGCAGCTCGGCGAAGCCTCAACCGGGCAGTTGGCCTTTTCTCCGCGTTTCAAGGTGCCTGGGCGCATATTCGACAGGTATCTACGGATACGAGGAGCGAGTCAACAAAAAAAAACCCCCTTTGGCTCCGTTGTGTAAAGAGTACCTCGCACGCTAACGACCGCAGGGCGGGGTCGGTGAGGCTGAGGTTCTGCGGGCCACAGCACCAGCCCCCTTGGCCCCCCTTCCCTACCTGCCTAAGGTAGGTAGGGAGGTACCTTCCGTACTCGCATAGGTACCTTCCCTACCTACCTAGGTGCGTAAGTACCTAGGTACCTAGGTATTCGAGCAAGTACTTCGTACACGGTGGACCCCAGATCTGAATGGATATGCGGCTCGACATTACTCCGAAGATTCATGCCCGTCAGCACCTTGGGTAAGCGTCCTTGCGACCCTCCATAGGGGAGAGAGATAGATGGGTTACGCGCCTGTAATCTTTTGCCTTTACGGGCTCGACACAGCCCTGCCAAGTACCCGCAAAGTCTTACCGCTGCTGCTGGACCAGGGGAAGCTCGGGCACCATCACCGGTAGTTGCAGCGCCTCCATGAGCTTGTGGACGGTCTCGAGGAAGAACAGCGGCTCGCTTGAGCCGCAGACCTGCGGCGTATACAAGAGGTGCCGACTGTACTTTGTGCATGAGGCGCGACAGGGGCAATCGATTGTCTCACTCAGGGACATCTTGACCTCTTGATACACGCGCAATCCTGCTCAGCTACTGACCGAGTCTGTCGCGCCGAAAGGGACAGAGGGCAACGACAAAGAATGACTTCTCCGTATAGAGCCTGGGGTGTTACGCGCAACTCCTAGTGGTGACTGCTGGCGACTGGGTCTTGAAGTGGGTTGGACCAAAGCCGTTGCGGCGTAGACATTGTAAAAGTCGCCGTGAAGTCATCGCTCTGCCTGCAGGCTGCCTGCAGAGGACGTGCAGGAACACAAACAGATGAGCTCATGCGCAACCCTTGTCGCTATTCCTCGACGCCAGCCCCTAATGATGTCGTCGGTCGCGAGGAGGCGGTGCGTCGCAGTTGCGAATGACAAGCGAAGTTGCCGTCGGGACCTACTCGGTACATGACGACGCCCCAATTGGAGCTGGGGCAGCTCGCCACGTGCGAGCCGTTTCCATGCCGGAAAGTCGACGAAACAACATGTCTCACGACCCTACGCACGGCCGAGTCGGTCACCGACGACAAGACTTGATGTGTAGCTCAAGGCCACAAATAACTCGCAAGGCGTAGTTGTGGCAGACGGGCCAATCGATGGCACCACACGTCTGGATGCACTCAAGGAGGCCTGGGGTTGACTGAAATCGAGCGAATGGATGGCTGTCCGGTGGAGACGAGTGCCGATTGCACCCAGTCATCTGTCGACGATCCGATAGAATCCAAGGAGCAACGCCATCGTAGCTTGGACATCAGTCAGAGTAGCATCATCCCTGTTCATCAGTGGTGTACTGTACGCAGGAGAGTCTTTTCGGGAGGAGAGATGCTGTCTGGTCCCTGCGATTTCGATCCAGAAGTAGCCCCGATCGATGTCATCGATGATTTGCGTGCGAGATGCGAGCTGGAGGATCCTGTCTCGGGTCCGGCCGGTGCTTGGAGACGGGTTCGGGATGTTTTTGTTCTCTTTTAGCTGACTGACGTCTGTTGTTGTTGATGGTTTCCTGGGGGGGGGGGCTTTGCCGTACTCGGTAGCGATGGGGCGTCGAATTAAGATGCCGCCGACTGGAAAAGCCGCCCTGTTTTAGACGATTTCATTCCCTCTGTTTGCTCTTTGGCGTGGATCGACAGCCCGGAGATGTGCGCACGACTGACTCGAGTCCGCGTGGGACTTGCAAGGGATGAGGGCAACAGCGAATCAGGCAAGGGCGCAAGGGGAAGGCGGGGGCCAGAAGTACCCGTTCCGTTGGATGAGCAATTTTATGCGCGAATAATTTGTGTCGGTAGAGAGGGAGGCCTGGCCTCGTTGTAGACTTCTCCCTGGAGCTGAAAGTCGCCATGAAACCTGGTTGCATGCATATGCGCTGGAGGCTTCTATGCCTGCACGCACGTACGGAGTATGCAAAGCATCGACAATGCCTGCGATGGAACGCTCGCCCAATCTTCTGCTTCGGTCGTACGGCTGCGCTCACTCAGCCCGCGGCCGGCATTCAATGCGATAAATGCGATGAAAATGTGTTCCAGCCGGACCAATGGCGGTTTTCGGACAAGACGCCTTGGCGAGCGTTGCCTTTGTGCTTGTACAACAAGCACATCAAGCACAACTGGGACGGACGAAGCATCGACGGGCAAAAGTCAGCGTGCCGCCGGTACGGAGTACTCGGCACGGCACCGACGGTGCAGACGTTTGCGCTAAGCGGCTTCCAGGCTCTTCCACCGCGCCGCGTACGGAGTACCTGTAAGTTACAGCAAGTCGGCGGGGTGGGTAGCAGCGCGTCTGCAAGAGGCTTAGCGCTAGGCACTCGAAGCAAGGCACGGAGCTGGCGCCGCAGGCTGAACAAAGTACCTTGTATAGTTATCTGCACGTGCTCTTCTCCCTGGCTTGTGCCAACGACTATTTGCATCTTAACGCCTCCTGCTATACCCAACTAACCTCGATGCCATTTTTATCACGTACGGTAAATTGCGGTGCCTGAACACTTGCTAATTGGGCTGGCAACGACATGGATCCTCCCCAGACGTGTTCCTGGCATGGCTGGGAGAGGGTGGGGACGTCGTCTATGGGACCTGGTGAAGCCCTTACCATCCCAAGACATCTGCAATATTTTGCCCCCGGCATACTGCAGAAAGCTAATGGCCGGCCCCTCGTTTTGCAGGGTTAAGAGTAAGAGGGGTCAGTCAATATGCAAGGCACAGAGCCCAAAAGGCTTGGAGGCGCCTTGTTCTTTAATCTTGCAGTCTCTCCGCCGCTGCTTGTGTATGCGTATGTATGTAAGTTGTCGGGACAGTTGAACAGGTTTCGACTAGAATACTAACACGTTGGTACATAGATGCCAATACCATGAATGGCTTGGAGACCGTTATATGACCATGCACGCGTGGGCCGGTCTCCGTGCCCCATCAGCTCGGCCCTCGGCCGCAAGACCGTTGGGCACGGAGCCGCCGGCGTAGCGTGTCGGAAGTTCAGGCCGATGGGAAAGCCTCCACTTCCGTGTATTTTGCTGTTCCTAGCAACCAGTTCGTCTCATTCGATCGTGAAGGCCTCGCCGTGTTGTGGTACCGGTACCCCCAGTTCTACAGTAGCATGGACTGATGGAGCCAGGTAAAGTGGATTCGAGCTGGCATAGACCGCCGAATTGCATCGCCAAGAAACCATGCTGGGGCATGGCATGTAATCTCCCACGTTCGCGCGCAGGCGAGAGCCTCACCCACTCTGGACCCCCCCCTCTTCTTCTTTTTTTGGGTTCGCCCGCTTGCCTGCCTTCCCCTGGAGTGTGTGTAAGTGTGTCTGTTCTCCGCTCTCGTGCCTGGCCATGGCTTTCGCCTTTTCACTCCCTCGTCCTCCTCCACCTTGCTCTTCTCTCCTTTTCCCTGCTCGCCGCGTCCCTTCCTTTCAAACGGAGAGTCCATCCCATGCTCTCTCCATCACGCTCCTTTTCTTTATCTTGTTAGCATCGATATATCTATCTGCTGCTTGCTGCAGCCTACACCGTCCCTGGTAGCCGAAAAAGCATCAATATTCTACAACATCTAACGGTAAGTTGCGTCGATTGGACATTCTCCCACGTGGCGGTGGCCGTTGGACTCTAAGACCCCTTATTTCTGCTTTCATACAGACAGAGATGGACAATCAACCCCTGCCTCTGGTGTAGATCATAGCCCGGCTAACATCATGTCTGGGAAAGATTGCAAGAAGCAATGAAGGATCTGATCAAGTACGCCCTCGTGGCCGTCCTGGCTGCCGAGGCCTCGGCCAACCCGCACCATCACCGTCACCGCCACATCAAGAGAGATGCTGTCTCGCCCTTCCAGCAGGACAGGGCAACCAAGGGAATGGGGGTCATCTTTCAGGAGGTTGTCAAGGACGACAATGGGAATTCCGAAATAAAGCCCATGGACGAGAACGAGGCCCGAAAGTGTCTCAAGGACGGGACTTGCTATCCCGTGACCGAGTCTGTCGGGGAAATCCAGGCGGCGGCGGCGTCGACGATGACCAGCGAGACGTCCAACGCCGTGCCGAACCCTCCCCAACGGGCTCCGGCAAGTTCTTCGCAGGCCGTGCCTCCGCCGCTCTCGGCACCGATTAAAGACTCGCCTCCACCGCCACCCCCGTCTGCTTCGCCCCCGTCTGTTTCGCCCCCTGCCTCCAAACCCGTCCCTTCCAATGGCGCTTCCGAAACCAAGGGTGACAGCAACGACTTCAATCGTGAATTTCAGATGGGCAATTTCCCATGCTCCGAATTGCCACCCGGGTATGGCTTAGTTCCAATTACCTGGCAGAAAGACAACGGCTGGGCCGGCATCCAAAATGTCACTGGCTACAATCCTGACTCCGACCAGAAGACTTTACCATTCGGACTCACTCCACCCGACAACAAGGGCTGCACCGAAGGCCTCATGTGCTCTTACGTCTGCCCTCCTGGCTTGCAAAAGACTCAGTGGCTCACAGCGCTTGGTACGAAAAACCAGTCCATCGGTGGCCTCTACTGCAACTCCAACAACAAGCTCCAACTCACCCGTCCGTCCGCGAAATCGCTCTGCGAAAAAGGCGTTGGGGGTGTCTTTGCCTATAACAACCTGGATCGCAACATTAGCATTTGCCGCACTGACTACCCGGGAACTGAGAAAATGGTGGTCCCCACGGTCGTAGGCCCTGGCCAAATGGTTGAACTCACCAATCCGGACCAGACAGAATATTTGTGGCAGGCCAAGAAGACGTCTGCCCACTACTACTTGAACCCGCTGGGTGTCAATCAGGAAGAGGCTTGCGTCTGGGACAGTCCCGACGACAAGCTCAAAGACAAGGCGGGCGACAAAGCCCCCGTTGTTCTTGGCACTGGCTTCGATCCGGATGCCAAGGCCTCCTTCCTCAGCGTTGCCTCCAACAACCCCAGAAGTGCTATCGACTTCAAGATCGTCATCAGGGACGGCACCAGCACCGGGTCTCCGTTGTGCGAATACGAGGAACCGACCCCGACGGCTGGCAAGGGCTGCACTGTAAGCGTAACCGTGCCCGACCTTGTGCCGACATTACTGATATATTTGCAGGTGTCCTTGCAGGAGGGAAAAGTGGCAGTCTTCAGCTTTGAATAACGCGCCAGGGGGTTTATGTAGGCAACGTGTTTTTTTTGTCAACCTTCCTTAGTGCGTGTGCATATACTCTTCGCGCGGAGCACCGGGTACGGCTGGAGGGGGAAACGTCCAGGGGCGGCCGAGCCTCGCGGCGCGGTCGTCTCGACCGAAGCCGGCTTATTTCTGGGACCATTCGGGAGCCAAGATGGCACGGGGGGATAACGGAGACGACAGGCGGGCCTTGATCGGACTGCGCATCGCCACGTCTTCTCGACGAGTTTTTCAAGTCCCAAGTCTTCTGGCCACTTTGTATAACTTGCAACCGAGGGCACCCCTCGCATCGGATTGTACGTCTTGGATGGATGGCTTTTTTTCTTTTCTAATTTTTCCCTTTGTGACAATTGCTATATCGCTGAATTCACTCCCAAATGTACCGGGCGAGATGGGGACTCCTTTGGTGCTCAACTGTACAACCGTCGCTTGCGCAAGCCTCGGCCATTCATGCAAATGCCACGTTTCCTCGCAAAAGTAGACCATCAGAGTTCCATGGGGGTTCCGACCCCTGCCTCCTTGGCCCGACGAAGCTCGTCGAGCTGGTCTAGACGTTGCTCCTTGAGCTTCTCTTCGACGTCCTCCCGAAGGCCACCTAGGTCCGGGGGTATGTCTCGCATTTGAACGCTCGGGGCAGCCTGGACGAAGCGAAGTTGCTCCGTGACGTGCTGCACAATGTCCTGTAGGCGCTTCTGGGGATTGCGATTCTGTCGCGGTTCGCCCAAGATTTGCTCCAGGGTCGGGAATAACGTGTCTTGTCGAAACTGTTGACGCCACGGCGCGTGCTGGGGGAGCATTGGGCTGATTTTTTCTTGGCAGCCGATGGCTATGCTGGTCTCGTAAGTCCAAGCACGGGCAACGTTGCGGGGCGTGTAGCCGCCGCCGCCAAACAGAATCAGGGGCAAGTTCATCTTTTTGCAAAACTCAACGCAGGCGCCGTGGCCCTGTACTTGGAGGTTGAATCGGCCGAGGCGGTCGCCCGCCAAGGAGTCGGCGCCACACTGGAGGGCGATGGCAGTGGGCCGAAACCTCTCGACAATTCTGCCAACGATGGTGTTGAAGAGCATGTCGTATTGCTCGTCTGTGATGCCGTCGTTGAGCGGGACGTTGACGGCGTGGTGAGCCCCGGGGTTTTGCTCGTTCTTGGGCCCGTTGTCATCGAGGGCGCCTGTGCCGGGGAAGAAGTTGTTGGGGTCGTATTTGTGAAAGGAGACGGTCATGACTCTGTCGGTCGAGAAGAAGGCCTCCTCGACGCCGTCGCCGTGGTGGACATCAATGTCAATATACAGGACGCGGGGGTGGAAGCGCAAGAGCTGAAGAATGGCAACGACGATATCGTTGATGTAGCAGAAGCCCGACGCCTCGGCCTTTTTGGCGTGATGGAGACCACCTCCCCAAGCGATGGCGATGTCTGACTGCTTGTAGCAAATCTTCCTTGCGGCATCGAGAGCGCCGCCGGCAGATAAGGAGCAGTAATCGTAGAGACCCTCGAACAAGGGGCAGTCTGAGCCGCCGAGGTTAAACCTGAGGTCTGGGTTCTGGTTCTCCAAGTCGCGCGGCACGGGCTCGGGCAGGACGGTGCCGAGGAAGTCGAGGTAGTCGGTCGAGTGAAAGTCTGCGAGCTCCTCGTACGTGGCAGCACGGGCGATGTAGTTGTCCATGGCAAAGGACATGCCGTACGAGTAGATTAAGCTTTTTGAGAGGGTCAGCCGCCACGGTTTCATGGGATGCGTCATGCCAAAGTGGTGCTTCTCCATGTCCGGGTTGCAGTGGAAGGAGACGGTGTAGCCCTTGGGGCGAGTGATGGCCGACTCTTGGGCGGCGCGTTTACATTTGTTGTAGAATTTGGCATTGTCGGCCTCGCTGGGCAAGCCGAGCGAGATGTTGTAGTCGTCGACGATGGCATCATCTGGGTCGACGTCAAGCTTGTGAGGCAGGTAGTTGGGCTTGGGGACGCGAAAACTGTAGGGGTTCGTGTCCATGGCCGGCAAGCCCGGCGCGGGGGTGCGGATAGCCTCCGGGTCAAGTTGATAGTTGAGGAGGACGCGAGTGGCTCTTTTAGGTGAGGTGGTTGGTGATGTTGATGTCGACAGGCCGTGTGAATGAGCCGGCCGCAACTGCGAATACCCAAAAGCGAGGCAGCCCTGGAATCATCCACTGTCGGGGAGCGACCGTTGAGCCCTTTGTAGCGTGTACCGGTAATGAATGTCCAGGCGAGCGAGGGGTTGGTATCGAAGCTGTTCTGCACACTGAACTGCTTGGTGAAATGGCTGAGACTCGGAGGAGGAAAGAAATGATTACTGTACCGGTAATTACTGTCTGTCCCGTGAGTACGGAGTACATGAGTGCACGGCCCAGATTTGTATCTTCCCCACACAAGGGTGTTCTGCTTAAGCTCTGGGTCTGGGGCTACTCCAGAAGCAGAGTGTGAAAAGGGCGGGCTGCCGTCCACCCTCGAAGGCGGCACGCGGCAACCACAGCCAGAGCAAGCAACAGCATCATCCCGCCCGTTGATCCTGGCATCGCATCGCGTCCACCTGCAACAGCCGGCAGTCGCGTTGCGTGCGCTGCCAGACAACACCGGCCAAGACGAACGGGAGCAGCCACGTGGCAACCAAAGGTGAGTCCAGCGTCGCAGTCTGTCGAGGCAGACAAGCAGGGCCTTGGCGACGCTGCTGCCCCTTTACAGTCAGTCTCGACTGCCTTCCTGCTCTCCTGCTCTCCTGCTCTCCTGCTCTCCTGCTCTCCTGCTCTCCTGCTCTCCTGCTCTCCTGCTATCCTGATCTCCTGCTATCCTGCTATCCTGCTTTGCGAGTACCGTACGTACGGTACATCCATTTCCTTTGCACCCGCCCATTCACACACATACCTACTACCTACCTACCTACCTTACTTATTTCGCCCATCGCAACACCCACGACACCATGCATGCCCTTCTCCGTCCACTGTCCTGGCTGCTGCGCAGACCATCGCCCAGGGTTGCCGTGGCGGCGCTCAGTCAGTGGACTGCCCTGTATTTTCCCTTCCGGCTGGCTGGCTGGTTGTACTACTCACCTGCCTGTTTGCCTGCCTACTACCTACAGTACCACCTAGTAGGTTCTGCCGTGAGGTACCAAGTACTTGCCGGCAGCCTGCAGCTGCCTCTTGCTATCTACTAACTTACCTTCATACTCGTTCGTCTTTTCCCTCAAAAAATCTCCTGCTGCGCCCCCCCTCCAAACTTCATCATTCTCTTCGTCTCTCAAACAAACCTGAACTGCCTTGCATTTCCGGCTTCCCTTCTCAGTATACTTCCCCTCATGGTTGACCATCATGCCCAGAGACGACTTGTCCATCGACTTTGTCAAGAGAATGCCCCAAGCAGAGCCTCTCGACCCGGGCTTGATTCTCGATGACTGGATCAACCGCGTGCAGAACCTCCCCGAGGAGATTCGCTTCGTCCAGGACGAAATAGCAGACAAGGACCGCCAGTACAACGAGTGCATTCGCGTCATCGAGGATCGCGACGGCAAGATTCAAAAGTGGATCAAGTCCAACGGCAGTCTCGAGCCCAACCCTAAGGAGGACCTTTTGCGCGCCCAGATCCGCGACAGCTACTCTCGCGCCGACAAGCTCGCCCAGGACAAGATACTCCTCGCCCAGAGGCTGCAGGCCATCATGGACAAGCACCTGCGCAGTCTCGACTTGCAGATCAAGCTCCTCTATGACCGCGCAGAACCCGGCTTCACTGATCCCGATGAAGTGCCCTCACTTTTGCGTTCCAGCGCCGCCAACCACACCGCCCCCTCGCTCCGCTCAGTCAACCCTTCCTCGACCAACATCACCGCCGCCGGCCCGACTCCCTCGCCCATGAACCCAGCTCCCGCCTCCTCCACACCAGCCATCACGCGTCTGCCCGCTCATCCCCAGATTCGACACACCCAGGCCCAGCAGAGTCATCCACAGCACGCGGCCTCTGCCCCGGCGACACCAGCAGCAAGCATCATACTCAACAGACAACGCGAGAGCTCGGCCGGCCCGATAACGAAGCGTGGACCGCGATCCAACATAGGCCTGGCAAACGCGTCTGCAGCATCGAGCGGACTGGCAAGACACTCGTCGCTTGGCCCCGGAACCCCTAAGAATGGGCCCGGCACCAGCGGAAGTGGCACGTTGAGGGCCGGTAGTGCAGGGCCCCGCGCTGGTTCTGTCAAGGCCGGGTCTGGGGCCGGCAGTCGACGTGGCACACCAACCGGAGCAGCGCGGAAGAAAATAGCAAACAAATCGTCGCTCTCGCGAGTGAGAAAGGCGTCGGCCAGAAACTCCCCGGCATCCCCGGCAGATAGCGACCTGTCGGAGGCGGGGAGTGTCAGCGGCGAGGACGAGGACGGCGTTGACGCTCGTTCAAGGGGGACGCCGGCGGTCGATGGAAAAGATGCCGATGGCGACGAAGCTGTTGGAGACGCCGAAGACGAGGAGGAGGAGGGAGGCGATGACAAAAAGTACTGCCTGTGTCATAACGTGAGCTATGGCGACATGGTGGCCTGTGACAACGACAACTGCCCCTATGAGTGGTTTCATTGGTCGTGTGTCGGGCTCAAGAGTGAACCAACCGGGACTTGGTACTGCCCGGTTTGCACGGAGAAATTCCAGAAGAAGAGCAAGTGAGCAGAAAGGGACGGCTGCGCCGCGAGTCGCATTGGCACATGGCTGGCTTAGGTGTCGGATATCTCGCGTTTGGTGCTATGTTCACGAATTGGGAGATGCCCCATCCACGGAGACGGCTGGCTTGGCATGACGGGGCTCGGTGGCTGGCCTCGGGCGTCTGGTGGAAAGGGAAGCACTTTGTTTCGCGTGAATCGAAAGCGATCGAGTTCTGATCGATCCGGGCTGAATATGGCCTTTGGACTTCCTCTCATCTGTCCACAGCTGGTATGATGAGATTCTGATTTGGACTTGGAATGACACAGCGCACGACGCCACGTCTCACACCCTCCGTTTCTTCCCTCAGCTGGGTAATGTGGCCACCCTTCGCCTGGGCGTTGTATGTAAAATCGTCCAGCGAGCCTCCCACGCCAAAGTAGAGCTTCTTGGCCGCCACAAGAGCTTCGGCGTTGGCCCCCAAATCAGCCCTTTCGCGGGTGAGGACTGCGAAGACGGTCTCGGTGAAGGCCTGCAAAGCCAGGGGGGAGTAGATGGTTTCGGCGCCAAGGACGAGGGTGACGGGCGAGGGAGCAGAAGCATCCGGGTCGGCGCTCCGGGTCGCGTAGAGGAGCTGGACGAGTTCGGGGGACCATGCGCCAGAGAGGAAAGACAGCGTAATGTTTTGCTCGGACAGGTGCGTCTGGAAGGCCTGGAGCACCTCGGGGTTAAGCTCCAGCTCGTCCTCGAGAGTGAAGGCGTCTCGAAGGGCGGGGTGTCGGTGTCGACAGTGGAGGGCCCAGGCGAGCAGGAAGTTGGGCAGGGTGACGAGCTGGATGACGGAGGGGTTGTAGTCGGTCAGGATGAAGGCGAGAGGCTGCGTGGGCGACGGCTCCTGGGCCAGCGCCCACTGGAACAGGGCTATCGAGGGGAGCGCAGTTCCGCAGCCCAGCTGGAGGATGTCAGCAACGGTTGGTGCAGCGCACAAACGGCCAAGCAGAGAGCAGGCGAGTGATGCCGAGCTTCCTCTGGGCAAAGTGTTGCTCGCGCATGCATGCGACTACGTCCTTACCTCAATGACACGAAGGGGACGGTCCCGCCCGGAAGAAGACGCATGACCCGCGGCCGCCAGAACCTTGACCAGGTCGACGCTACTCTCCCAGCTCTTGAAGCCGCCCTCGTAGACGCCCGTCTTCACATCGTGCTCGCCGAGCGCCTCGCCGCCGCCGCCATGGCTCTCGTCCTCGGCCATAAGCTGGACCCTGACATCCCACAGCTCGCGGCGGGGGATGCACGCCGTCGCACCGTCGTCGAGGGCCACGTCGAGGCAGCCGTATGCCATCTTGGAGGGCAGGCGGGACAGTAGGAGCGGGAGGTCGTGGCGCGTGGGCGGGAGCAGCGGGCGCCCCGCGACGGGGAACGCGCCGCTTGGTGCGGGCGCCGGGGCATCGAGGGTAGGGTTGGTCGATGACGGCGGGATGGCGTCTATGTCGTCGCCGGAGAAGCCAAAGGCAAAGGCCATTGCTGCGTCTGGCGGGTTGTTGTTGTTGGTGGTGGTGGTGGTGAAGAAGTTTGGCAAGAATTAGGATGCAGCAAGTTACGTAGGCTCTATTACCTTGCAGCCCACGTGCGCGTCGGTGCGAGGTGGGGTATTTTGTACATCTCATCATCAACTTACCTAGGTACCTATCTACCTCTCTCCAGCCTCTTAGTCCGTAACGACATCACCATGATATAGGGAATAAACATGTGCCATCTGCCCTGAACCCCAGCCTTGTTCAAACCCGCCTCTATCCACAGCCGGGCATGCGCAGCTCACTCGCACGGCTGGCCTCGGCAGCGACGCTGCACGGCCTTGCGCCCGCCGCCTCGGCTCTGCTGCCGCCCATCCCCCTCTACCGGCGGCTGCTACGCGCCCATCGGAAGCATCTGCCCGCCGACATGCGCGTCCTGGGCGACGAGTATATCAAGGCCGAGTTCCGAGCCCACCGCAAAGTCGATAACCCGGCGCACCTGGTGAGTCGGGCTAGAAGTCACTCCAGAGTTTCGCGGCCCTCCCCTCCCCCCGGTTCTGACGTGAGTGCTCTGGTCGCTCCGCGCAAACTAGATTGGCTTCCTCGCGGAATGGCAGCTCTATGCCCAGAAGATAGAGGGTGACTCCTGGGTTGGCGAGATGATTGACCAGGGAAAGCTTGCAAAGTTGAGCGGTGAGTTGGTTGTCCGGCCTCATTTCCCTGCTTGATTGTGAACCTCGACTGATGCGTCGGGCATAGACGAACAAGTTCACCAGCTCTACGAGTTGATGCAGGCAATCAAAAGTCGCCAACAAGACGGAGATCCCCAATGAGGACGGGTTGCGTCGACAATAGTACTTTCACGGCGTCGTCGGTGTTTACTGAAAATGAGTTTTGTTTCAAGTGTTAACTGTCAGCAAGATAGGATCCAGAGTAGATAGCACAAGTCTCCATCCCCGGAATGAGTTATCGAGTATCCACCAATGAGAGCAGCCCAGTCAGTATCTGGCCTCCAGAGCCTCGACAATCCAGTCGGCGCAAATGGCGCTGACCTTTTTTGCATAGTTCTTGTTTGTAAACACGTGCTCGAGGAACATGATTGCCTCCTTTTTCTGCCCGTGCAAGACACTGGCCGGATGAATCGCCACTACGTGCTTTCCCTGGATGGTGACGTAGCTCCCGTCTGGCGCAAGCATGGCCGTCTTGGTCGCGAAGCCTCGCATGAAGCACTTCAGAATCACGTCGGCCCGCTCCGGGTCCATGGGAGTAAAGGGCTGCGGGTCTGGCGGCGGAGCCTCTGGTATCAGCTCCTCCTTGAGGCACATGCCGCGAAGCTGCCTCCGGATGTTCAGGGCCTGTCGCATGTTGCGCAGATTGATACCCCTTTTCTTGCACCATTCCGTCCTGTCCGTATTCTCGGCCGTATACCGCTGCATCGTCGTTAGATAGGTAACGATGTCGCCTTCCCGCCGTTGAATCTCTTTCCGGAGCTCCCCCGCCTGCTCTTGAGCGTCTTCGGACTGCAGCTGGAGGAAGATGTCGTCACCCGAGGTAATGCAAGAAATGATATCAATGGCTTCGATGACGCAGTCATACTCGGGCTTCGCCGCGTTCAAGAGGACCGCGCCAAAGGGGGCAGGAATCGGGAACTGGGCCATCTGCGCACCCGCGGGCGAGATGGCACCCTCGTCCGTCAGTGCCCCGAGGAAATGGAGGTGCAGGAGGGCCTTCTCGATCGATTCTGACAACGGTGCGTCCATGAGAGGGAAGGCCAGCACATCTTGGATGCCACGAGCTTTCATGGTCAGCACGGCTCCGAGGACGTCATTCCGTAGGATTTCGGGGAGGTCTGCCTCATGTAGAGATTCAAAGGTGCTTTCCGTGTATAGCCTGTAGCATTTGCCAGGGCCTTCGCGGCCGGCTCTTCCAGTTCGCTGGAGAGCCGACGACTTGGAGATGACCTTGGAGAGTAGCGACTCCATCCCGAGTCGTGGGCGGTATTTCTTCACCTTGGCTTTACCGCAATCCACCACATACCGAACCCCGGGAACCGTCACGGACGTCTCGGCAATGTTTGTGGCCAGGACAACTTTTCGTGTGAAGGATGCCTTGACGGGCAAGAAGGCCTCCCGCTGGCCTTCCATAGAAAGTTGGCCATAAAGCGGACAGACCTTGATTTTGGGCATGTTGGAAGACAGCGTTGCAGCATATTCTTCGATCAGTCTCTGTACAGATTCGATCTCGTCCTGGCCGGTCAGAAACGCCAGGACGTCCCCGGGCAGGGCTTCTTCAACGTGGATCCTGAATATTCTTTTGAGGAGGGCGTCTTGGATATCTGGTACAGGCCGCGGTTCGTAAACAACATTGACGGGGAACTGACGGCCCTTGATTCGAAGGACCTGCACCGTACTTGCACCATCGCTCTTGGGGGAATCGCCGTTGAAGAATTTCTCAATGACGCCCACGTCTGCCGTAGCGCTCATGATGATGATCTTCAAGGGGATCCCAGCTCGACCTCGGAGATCTCCTGTCAGAATCTGCTTCAGAAACCCGACAAGAAGGTCGACATCCAGGCTTCGTTCGTGGATTTCATCGACTACCACAGCGCTGTATTGACGCAGATGAGGGTCCCGCAGGAGCTCCTGCAGCAGTGTACCCTCTGTCAGGAATTTGATCTTGGTCCCGCGAGGGACTTGATGGTCGAACCGGACAGAGTAGCCGACGAGGCCATCGGATCTCCCATTGCCCAGAGGCGTGCCGGCCTCTCGAGACACCCGATGGGCCAGAGTCGTGGCCGCAACGCGCCTTGGCTGCGTTATAGCTATGACGCCACCGACATTTGCCTCATCCCGTGATCCCTGGAGTTTGATCTTTTGACGGCGGCACCAAGGCTCTCGGCAGAGAAACTGGGGAACCTGGGTACTTTTTCCGGAGCCGGTCTCGCCGACAAGGACAAGAACGTTATTTCCCGGGTCCCGCAAGGCAGCCTGAATCTCGGAACGGTGCTGCCAGATGGGTAATTCTCTGCGCGCCTTGAGCCATGCCTTGCCCTCTGCATCCTGGGGTTGAGCCTGGCCATCGTTTGTCCCAGGACGATCGGGCCTTGAAACTGGCTTCCTTTCCTTTGCCGGCGTAATTGCTTGAGGCGGCTTCTCGCTTTGCTCCGCCTCGGCCGGGACTTGTCTCGTGGCTGCGACGGGGGCCTTGGCCGGCTTTAGAGTTGGATTTAGATAGCCCTCGAGCGAAATGGTTCTGCCCCCGATGGTGATGACGTTGGCAGGCTGTTGTTTTTTGCGCCTCTTGGCAGCCTGTTGCTCTGCGCTCATTTCGGCGGGCTGCAGCGTTTGTCGAATCCTTGATTGCTGGTGAAAATGAGTCTGTGGTATGTCGATGCATGAAAAGTAAAAAACCGACGGCCCGCCTCCGCGCGCACCTCGAAGGTACCTACGCCACTAGCGCATCTTCACACAAGACGAGGTACCTCTGGCCACGGCATCGAACATCTTTGATCGAGAAACAAGTGTAACGATGAATTGTGCCAGACATCAGCTTCATGTTGCGGACAAGACGTTGCTCTATTACACTTCTTCTGGCGGCACCTCACACAAGGCCATCCGATGGGCACGTATCCTTGAAGAGAGCACGAGAATACTAGGTAACTCGACCCCGATTTACAAGTGAACAGCGGAAATGTAGGCCTATTCATACAGTCCAGGCGGCAATAATAGGTCGCGTCGATTATACTAAGCCACCGTCTGCTCTTGATTTCCCGTGACTCAGGGTATGTGTGACTTGCTTGGCTGCTGCTATAATAGGCGGTAACGCTGCAGTTGGTCTTCGACATGACTGGAGCGAATAGCTCGACCCCGACAAAGGAAGCATGGCAGGCAGGGAATGTGAGACAGTCAACTGACAGAGCTGCCGAAGGAGGCTTGGCCAGCACAGACAAACTATTGCTGGACTGTCCGGTTCGGAGGATAGAGACTCGGACTTGAGTGCTGCTGGGTCTCGTGAGGCCGCATGCCTCTTTGTGACGTGAGCACGACATAGACAGCAGAGACCTCGGTTCTCTTCCGCCATTCAACGGGACGGACAGGACACTTGACAGTATCACGTAGTCGATCTCTGATAGCGAAAAGATACCAAAACTCCATTGATGATGCTGTATAAGAGAATGTATCTGATAATCTGAATCCGCGTATGTGCACCGTTTGCGTGCGTACCTGCCAATCCTTCAACGTACCCAACGCGGTCTCGCAACGAAAAGTCATCACTTGATACGGGCCAACCGTTCTCTGTTCAGTCTTGTGGCATCATCAACCGCGTCGCTCTGTTGCACAATGTCAGCCGTCAAAGAACACGCACTCGGAAAGAAGAACCCACCTTGTTCATGATCCTGTCAATCTGCTTGTTTTGGGAATCCACTTCCTTGCCAATGGCCCGGCCCACCATGTTCATCATCGACACCTGGCCCGATAGTTCGTCGAGGCCGTCGTCAATTTGGTCCTCGAGCTCGTCGGCGCCCTCTTCATCGTCGAGGTTGAACTTGCCATAGTCCTTCTTGCGGGCCTGCGGCTGTGCCCTGACACGCGTAGAGTTCATCTCGGAAAAGGTGGACTCCATGCGTTGGTTTGCGCTGTAGCCTTCCCGCCGTGTCATCTCTCGCTGCTCACGCTCCGTCCGGTGACGGTTCATGACCTCGTCATCGGCCCTTTGCTGACGCTGTTTGGATGTGAATGGATTGCTGACGTGCACTGCAAACATGCTTCGGTTGAGCGTCTTGAGCTCGGACGCCCTGTCCTGGGCGACCTTGTTCTGGTTGGCGGCGAGATCGAGGTTCTTTTCCGTGTTGACCAGCCGTTCTCCCTGGGCTCCGAGGCGGGCGAGAGTTGCTTGGCCAACTTCATTCGCTTGCCTGGCCATTGCCACGGAGCGAGAAACGGAAGCGGAGCTTTCTTGCTGGACCTGTCTCTTCTCGGACAGGATGGCTTGGTAATCTGCCTCTTCCTGTTCCTCGGCCGTCAGCTCCCGCTGCTCGCCGTAGCCCCCGTAGGACCCGGCATCGGTGCCAGCCTGCCCATAAGAGCCAGGTGCAGAGGACTGTTGTTTCTGGGCAAAGCGCTCCTGAGCACCGGTGAAGAGGGCATCGCGATTCTCATCGGGTGCGTTGTCGTTGGCGCGGCCGAATCCGCCATAGCCACTGGGGCCCCTAGCTCCCGCTGCCGGGCTGCTGTAGCGACTCGAGCCGTATCCGCCGCCAGAGCCGTATCGTTCGGCGCCGTAGCCTGACGGAGCAGGGCCGCCGTAGCCGTCTCCTCCGTTGGACCTCTGAGGACCAGCGGAAGCGGCAGGAGGACCCCCAGGTCGTGGCCCGCCGTTGACACCCGAGCGGGCCTGCTGGTATGGTGTCACGTTGGCGTACTTTGCGCTGTCGGCGTAGGGGTCACTGGCGCCCTGCTGGGCGTAAGGATTGTCTGTCGGAGGGCCCGCCACCGGCTTCTTGCGGCCGAAGAGGGCGCTGCGGTCGGCGTCGTCGCCATCATCCCCCTTTTTGCCGAAGCCAAACTTCTTCATGACGTTGTAGGAGAGACGGTGGCGATGCGGAGGGAGCGAGGTCGTGGGTAGGTAGTGAAGGACGGTATGGGTTGGCATAAAGGGGAGGAGGAGGGGTGATAAAGAGAGGACGGACTTTAGGGGGTCGAGAGACGACACGGGGGGCTGGGTACCTAGCAAGTGCGCAAGGTTCCGTGGACGCCCAAGTACTCGCAGACGCCGAACAAGTTTGCGTGTAAGGTGCGGCGCAGTCTCAGGCTGTTTCGCCCCCTTGAATCCCGTCAAGGTGCCAGTGCCTCCAAACTATGGCACCCCCTAGTTAACTAATACCTACCTACCTTGGGGGCTCTCCACCCTGCCAGGTCCGCCGAAGCCTAGCGCCGCCGGGTAGTAGTTACCGGCGGTGTTAGGAGGCAGGATAGGGACTGGTCAAGAGTGTTTGGGTTCTGTAGGTAATTATGCCACTTTGATTCTATGGCCTACATACGGTATCTCGGGCATCCGACAGGCACGACTGCACTTCGACGGCCGGGACATTGCGATTCGCTGCCTCGAATATTAACTTACCAAGTAACTTGCCCTTTGCTTGGCATTCCGGGCCTAGCTCAAGCAAGCAGTCGCGCGATTCATGGCAGGACGCCTTTTGTTTGGGCGTTGGCCGACCTGGTATTAATTAATGGGTGACTGGCATCAAGAATCTCCGACTTGGGTCGAGGTAGGCTTGACTCCCTTTCTTTGCGAGTATCAAGTTCCGTGCCCTTGCTCCGTCGGCGAATCCGTGGGCCAGGGGGTCAGGGCCATTACCTACCTACTGTACCTATCCGGCATTGGCCTCCCTAGTATGATCTTGAGCGGCGAGGAATAAGGTCGTTGTCGTGGCACGACAACTTCGTCGCCGAGTTCGAGGGCCTGCGTGGTGACGAAATTTGGGAAAGTCGGACAGCGAATGACATGGACATCACCACTACGGCTGTCACCAGCCAGTCCCCGAGACAGGACCGTGACTGGAATTCCATTCCTGTGACTCTACCCCGAATTGAAGCCTGTACGTACAGTCACATGCTAATAGTTCGCAACCTTGAAAAGATACACGGATGCATGTTCTTCGGCCTCATCCACGTCCCGGGGGGCTGGGAAGGGTGTAGGTACTGTACTAGCAAAGGTACCGCCGGTCATCGGATCCATCTGGTTCGTCATCTCTGGTCCCGCGCTGATGCTGCTGCCCCTTGGCAAAGGCTCACTCGACGCCTGCGTACTACATCCAGACCTTCCATTCCCCTTGCGCAGTCACCCAGAGCGGCTCGTCTTGTCCAAGCCATTGTGGCTAGCGGTGTAACTTTCACGCGGCCGCTGGGCCCATTGGATGCGTCGGCTCGCCATGACTCTTAACATCAGTCGCTAACCGGCCCTCGCCCTGCTTTGCTTGGCTCTCTTCCGACACCAAATCACCACGTTTCCGCATCTTTTGAAATCACCTTTCCACAGGCCAAAATGATCATCTACAGAACAGTATCTAAGAACAACCTTCCCTACCCGACAACAAGGCACCGTAGACGTGTTTTACCAACTGCGAAAGCCCGCGGCGCATCATAACGAGCTGTACCTGGCCGGGAACCCGACTCTCACCATGGCCTCCATCTTCACATACGACCCCGACCCCCCGCGCGTGTCCTCGCCCTGGCTCGCCCCCGACGATGCGCCCCAGCAGACTCCTCAAGGGTCTCCGGCCCCCAGTTTCGTGTCCGACTACGGTGTGACGAAGCTCCAGGCAGAGCCCCAGCAGGGTCCTACCGAGTACAAGCTCCATCTTCTGCTGCGGCCCAGACGAACCTACACTTTCATGAGCACGGCCGGGTCACGGCAATCACCCCCCCCGAAATCAGCACCCATTGCTCTAGCAGCCTCCCACCAGCCCCGGCATGAAAGACTCAAACACCTGACCACGCAGCTCCTTTGGAGGCTGCAGCAGTCGTCGCCTTTCCATGCCTCGAGTTCCAAGGAGCTGACCATGCCAAAGCTGTCCTACGTTAGCTTCGATCCCAATACGCCCATCCAGCTCGAAGAGCTGGTGCCCGGGCTTGAGGAGTCCCGAGGGGCCCTTTACGAAATCGGTGTTTCCGACGACGGCACCTTGGTTGGCCTGACCAAGGATGAAATGAGTGAGAGCATTGCAACCTTGCGCGTCATGGCTGCCAGTTTAGGATGCAACGTTGATGTCGTTCGCATGGTCATCGTGGGAGAGTGCGAATGGGTCGAGTCAGCCGAGCTCGTCAACACAGATGCCTCAACCCCACGCTCAGACACCAGGAAAGGCAGGCTGTGGGTGGCAGAAGTCCTGGTCACACCCAACCTCGGCCTGCAAAGTGACCATCATCAGGGCGAACAAGGTGGCTCGGAGCTGGCGACGGGTGTGTGGGCCGCCAACTCCCTCGATTCTGCGACAGGTCCGAGCCGAGGAAGCTCATCGACACCCCAGCTCCGGGTTACCTTGACCGGGCCCACGACTTCTGGCAAGTCCACTCTGCTTGGGACCCTGTCTGCTGGGATGCTGGACAACGGTCGAGGAAAGAGCCGGCTGAGTCTGCTCAAACACCGGCACGAGATGGTGTCTGGGGTGACGAGCTCCATTGCCCAGGAGCTGATCGGATACAAGCACGAGCAAATCCTGAACTTTGCACAAGGTAACATTGAGTCATGGGTTGATATCCACGACTGTGCCGAGAAAGGCCGGCTCGTCTTCGTCTCCGACTCGGGCGGACATCCCCGGTATCGCCGTACTGTGCTGCGTGGACTCATGAGCTGGGCGCCCCATTGGAGCGTCCTCTGCGTCGCTGCAGATGCAGTCGAGGAAGCGCCCGGCGGCGTCGGTGCAACCTCATCTGCGCAAGATGTATTGGGTTCCGCTGCGGCCGAGGTCGACCTCGTCAAGGCGCACCTGACCCTGTCGCTGAAACTCAACGTGCCCATGGCGATTGTCATTACCAAGTTGGACCTGGCGTCCAAGTTGAGCTTGCAAAAGACCATGGTCAAGGTCCTGACATCCATTAAGGAGGCTGGACGGACGCCCAAAATCCTCCAGCCCGATCAGAGGCAGCACGATGAGCTCAAACAGATATCGCAAGAGGACCAAGCCAAGGTGCAGGCCTTTCTCGACAGCCTAGCTGAAAGCGGAAGCCTGACTGCGCAGGTCCCTATTGTGCTGACGAGTGCAGTCAAGGGAACCGGCATCGGGCTCGTCCACGCCCTCCTCGCGAGTCTGCCGCTGCCCCCGGCGCCGGCGTCACAATGCCATGGCGAATCACCCTTGAGTCCAGAGAGACCAAAGTCTCTGTTTCATGTTGACGACACTTTCAGTCTACCAAACTCGTACAGCACCCTGGCTTCTGGACTCAATGGGCGGGCTGGTCGAGGCGTCGTGGTTTCCGGGCATGTTCGCTTCGGAAGCCTGTCCGTCGGGGACAGGATCGTCGTTGGCCCGTTTCAACCCGTGGACGAAGAAGCCCGTGGCTTGGAGTTGGCCGCGGGAGAGCGCCCACCGTTGGGAAGTTGCGGGCTCTCGATAGCGCATCCGTCGTCAGCGGAGCTAGCCAAGATAGCCGTGAAGAATGCGATATCAGCATCTGCCATGGTAGGAGAGTGGCACACAGCACAGATTGTGAGCATTCGAAACCTCCGATTGCCTGTGCGCTGCCTCGAGGCTAGCCAAGCTGGGTCTGTCGGACTTGTTTTCGAGCCGGATGCCGAGAGCAACACCGCGATCGATGACACGCCCCGGATACGCAGAGGCATGGTGCTGGCACCCCTGTCAAAGCACATGATAGATACCGGACTTTCTTTGCAGGCGGTCAGCGGATTTACGGCGGCATTTGGAGATCCTGGGATCCAGTTGCTGACTGTCGGGTCATTTGTTAATGTATATTTCGCCAGCGTACGGGCGGCGGCTCGTGTCCTGCACGTGTCTTGCCGCGAATCGGGTGACGAATCGAGAAGGGGGGCACCAGACGATCTGGACGACATTTTCGACCTGACGAGGGAGCCTGCAGGTGACAGCCATGTCAGCGAACGTCCCAAGAACCGAGGCACCAGAACAGTGGCCCTAGAGCTGCTCCACAACCGGGAGTGGATGGAGTTGGGCTCCAAGGTCTTGTTGCTGGAAGGAGGAAGCCAAGACCGGTCGGGGCTAGAGGGATACGTGGGCAGAGTTGTCGAGATTACGGAGTAGCTCCGAGGCGGCCAAGTGCAGCGCAGTTGGCAGGATTCACAGGGTCGGCAGCTAGAGTAGCGCGATTTTGGATGGCGAAAAGATAAGATGATAAGTAGTGGTCGATTGAGCTGCTTCACGACGCCGGTGACCTTTTCCACGTCAAACGGAACCCCGTCGAAGTATATCAAGCCCTCACCAAGCCGTAAAATAGCGTCCACGTCAAGATGAACCCGGAGAGACCGCCCAGTATCCCGCTCGTCCAAAAGTCCATGGCCCCGTGAAAGTAGCGCCCGGTGTCGAATATGGACCGCCTCTCTGCCAGAGACTCGGGTGCGACCTGGAGAGCGTAGAAGAGGAGGGTAGTGATGGTGGAGAGGGCCAGGTAGAAGAGGAAGCCGCTGTAGGACTCGAGGCCGAGGATGCCGGCGCTGACGCCGAAGAGCGATGCGGCGAGGCTGTGTAGGTTGGAGAGGGCCTGTTGAGGGCCGAAGCGAGCGGAAAGGTCAGCGAGCGCAACGGGGAATGGGGTACGTGTATCGCAGGCGGGCGCACCTTGGAGTTGTGGATGACGGAGTCTTGGACGATTGGGTGGAGCTGGTAGTCCCGTTCGGACGGCATTTTGTCCCTCGTCGGCCAGGGCGGGGAGTTGGTGGCCCGCGTGTCGTTTTCTGGATGCGCAGCAGGCTGTCTGTGGATTGCCGAGTCTATCAACGGACTGCTAGAGGGCAGATTCGTAGTTTAGTACTGTAGGAGCAGCTTCGCCGGCGACTGCCATCGTCCTAGCTTGGCCGCTGCTGGCTCTACCGGGCCGACAGCCTCCGACGCTACCTGACAGCTTGTACTGTAGGTACCTCTGTGCAACCACCTGTTCGCACTAGGAGCCGAGGCGTCCATCAAAGTATCCAGTATCCAGCAGCTCCCGGCAATCCGGTCTCCGCACGCGGATCATTACAGTACCGAGAACCCATGGACCTCCGAGCGAAGTACCTAGGTAGGTACCTAATTACTAGGTAGACGTAGGTAGTAGACGGCCGGAGCAATGGCGGCTTTTGGCGGGGTGATGAGGCGACGACTACGTCTGCACCCCTCTGCCTTTGCCGTGATTTTTCCCCGATCGAAATCGCCCCTCCGCAAGCATGAAGCAGCCCTTTGAGCCATTGAAGAACGATCTTCTCTTGCGGGCAGCATGGGGTAAGTGAAGCAGCAGCATTTCAGAAGCAATAGGTCCGCTAACTTGGTTGTAGGCCAGAAAGTCGAGCGCCCTCCCATGTGGGTGATGCGGCAGGGTAAATTGCGACGGCCCTCCGGCTCTGAGCCCCAGAGCACGCGCTGACGAGCTCCGCATGGCTAGCTGGCCGCTACCTCCCCGAGTATCACGAAGCCAAGGGGTCCCGAGACTTCTTCGAGTGCTGTCGCAACCCTGAGGTGGCGTCGACCCTTACCCTGCAGCCCGTCGAAAGATACGCCGGCCTGCTTGACGCCGCCATCATCTTCTCAGACATTCTCGTCATCCCCCAGGCCATGGGCATGGATGTCGAAATGGTGGACAAGAAGGGCCCGCACTTCCCCAGTCCTCTCCAGTCGCCCGCCGATGCCCAGTACCAGGCTGTCATGGAACGACCCGTCAAGGTCGCCGACGAGCTCGACTACGTTTACCAGGCCATTGCTCTGACGAGAAGAAAGCTTGCTGGCCGAGTCCCACTCATTGGCTTCTGCGGCGCGCCCTGGACCCTCTTCTGCTACATGGTTGAAGGCGGTGGCACTAAGTTGTTCGCCCAGAGCAGGACCTGGATCTACAGGCATCCCGATGAGACGAAGAAGCTCCTGTTCAAGATTGCCGATATCTGCGTCGATCATTTGGCGCTCCAGGTCAAGGCCGGCGCCCAGGTATGTTCGAGATGCGGCGCAATTACCCAGCGGCTTTGTTCTCTGGCGCTGATGAGCCCGCCCTTTACACGGGGGTTTCTAGATGGTCATGGTCTTCGATTCATGGGCGGGTGAGCTAGGCCCCGCGTCATATCGCAAGTTCTCCGAACCCTATCTTGCGCACATTGCCCAGAAGCTCCCCGATCGACTCCGGAGCATGGGGCTCGACCGCGTTCCGATGACCGTCTTCCCCAAGGGCGCCTGGTACGCCCTGGACTCTGCTTGCGACCTCGGATACAATGTCGTAGGCATCGACTGGTTGCATGACCCTGCCGCGGCGGCCACTGTCCGAGGGTCGCGCAACGTCGTCTTGCAGGGCAACGCCGACCCCGGCATTCTGTACGGCTCCAAGGCCGCCATCACCGAGGCGGTGGAGGAGATGGTCAAGGGCCTCTGGGCGGACAATAGGGGGTGGATTGCAAACTTGGGACACGGTGAGCATCCTCCAATGGTCCATCCGTGGGGCTTGCGCGGTTAACATGGCCGTTTTAGGAATCACGCCCGGCGTCGACCCAGATAACTTGAAGCACTTCTTTGAGGAGATCCATCGTCTGACGAAGAGCTGAAGCTGCATTGCTTGGCCCTCAGACACGACATTGACTTATCCCAGGCTCAGTAGGAGTATACAGATCTCGGTTCCGAGAAAGGCGGCGGAGAGCGGGGGTGGCGAGGCGGCGAGACGTAGTTGCAATGTTAGGATGTCAACTACAGTCGAGGGTGTAAAATCTGGTCTGCTCAAGAGTACCGGGTTCCTTCCTCCTTTGACTGCTGCCTGCCGGCACCACTTCCCGATAGCAAATGGAACCGAGCGCACGTTAGACAGGGCTCTTGACCGTGTGCTTGCTATTCTCGACAGTCTGCCCTCACATCCAGTCTCGCGTTTCCATACAGTACGTTTGCCTTGAAGGGTGTGTATAGGATGTAGTAGGTGCGGAAATGGCAAAACTCGAGGCGTCGATACGAAAACGTCGTGAGGTCGTCGAGAAGGTGGGCTGAAGCTGTGTTGCCTTACACCAACCCTCATCGCCTACGCTTTCTTGCCAAGAAGCCACTTTCGCCCCTTGGAGGTGAGCGAGTCGGGGCCAGGGTTGCCGGGAGCGTCGGCGCTGTCGTCGTCGACGGCCTGCTCCTGGCTCGTCGTGGGCGCCAACTCAGCAGCGGCATCGTCGCTGTCGCGGAAGACGTTGCCCGCACCGCCGCGGCCGGCGTGCTGGGCGCCGGAGCTGAGTCTTCGGGGCACGCTGCAGGGAAAGTAAAAGGAATGGTTAACAGACGAGTTCAACCAGAGACAGCAAGCAGCTGGATAGCCTCTTCCCCCCCGTTTCCCAGTTGACAACACCGTCCGCCTGCCCGCCCACTTACCCCTCGACGTCCTGACGCATGCGCGTCTCGACGGGGTCATCGTTCTTGGCCATGTTGCCGGTGCCGCCGCGGCCCGTGGTGACGACGGGCTTCTTGAGGACGGGCGTCTCGAGGTCCGATGGCGTGAGCTTGGGCGACTGCCGCGCCTCGGCCATGTTGCCCGCGCCGCCGCGGCCGTGCGATGAGAACTGCGACGACGAGCGCGACGCCGGGCGCGGCGGCGGCGGCGGCGGCGGCGGGTGCTGTTTGTTACTTGCGCTCGACGTCATGGCTTCCTCTCCCATTGTCCTGTCACTTCGTCTATGGTGGGGGAGGTGTATAGCGAGTTTGCCTTCCTCGTCCGCTTCCTCGTCCTTTCTTTTCTTCTTCCTCGTCGCTGACACCCGATGACAGACCCGCGCGCTCTTCGTATCAGAAACTAGGGGCGCCTCCAGTCGATAGGACGGCGCCGTTGGTAGAGGACCGATCACGCGAGACGAGAGAGGGTGGGGTTTACGCCTCGGGTTGGATGGATTAGACGAATGGCTGCGACGAGAGGCTGTGAAACGTCGCGCGATTCAAGGTTTTCAGAGAACTAACTCAAAGAAGAAGAGGCATTACGACCAAGTAGAGCGCAGCACGAGCTACCTTGGACAGACGGCGCTCAGGATCGGGGTCGATTTTGCTCCCCACCCTCGAGAAAAAAAGACCAGTAAACAAATAATAGAACAAGGGCGGCGCTAGCAGGGCAGCTAAAGTTGAGACGTCCCCTTTCAGCCGCACGGGCACGGCCTAATCATGCTTTGCGCATGCAATCACCATTTGCACGTCTTCATACTGCTGCGTGCTGTATGTACAATGCGCGGGTCCCAAGCAGCTTTCCAGTCGTCCGTCACTTCTTTACCCCTGCCGCGACACTGCGCCCAATGGCCTTGGCGCCTCCCCTCACACCCAAGATTTGTAGATGTCGACTACCGGCAGACAGATGGACAGAGACAACCCGAGCTTCGTCTGATCGAGCAGTCGGATCCGAGCTCGTCTTCGTTCCCGGTCCCTATCCTATGTTACAAATATATTGGCCTTTCCTTCTCGGCCACCGAAGCAAAGCCCTCGTGTCTTCACACATAGTCACCCGTCCGTGAAACCTGCATTATCTACACGCCATCCTCGGCAGAACCCGCGAGCTCCGGCGGTGCCGGGTTCTTGCATGGCTGGGTCGAACCATGCACCGGAGCCTGTCGTGGCCACGCTCGGGCTTGTTCATGACGACTTCGCCTCCAAGGCTGAGGGAGTCGACGCTCGTGTCGATGTCTGGATTCTCGCCTCCACGCTGTCGTCATGCCAGCCAGCCAGCCACATGGCCCTTGCCTCTCAAGCAGCTGCCCACACCCCGAAGCTCTTGACCCTTTCGTCTTGTGCCCCGAGTTAGCGCAGAGGTGCAGGCCTCCTCTACCCAACTACCCAGATAAGGCGGCGGAGATGCAGTTGACGACAGAAGCCAGAAGTGCCGATCCCGCCCACCGATAACACCATTAATGCCGAGCCAGTTGGGTATTTCCCAGATGCCATGTACCAGGACAATCTCTTCGACGGGTACGGGTCGACGAGTCGATTAATACACACAAGTGCTGTCTAATCCTATTCGCCGTAGTCATCGTCGTCGCCTCCCTTGACGTTTGCGTCTTTGCGGATGGGAATCTTGATGCCTTGCGTGGCAAACGTCTTGCTCAACGGCGTGCTCTCGCAGACCCCGGGAAATTTCTTGGCCGAATAAACATTGAACACGTCGCTGAAGCACGACGCCAAGATGGGAGCGCGGCCGGTATTGACCCTGGGGACATTGCCATCGCGGCGAGCCCCTCCCCGTGCTCCGACATTGACAAATGAGAATCGTAACCTGGCCTAGAGTCAGCACCGTTCATCGGATTTCTACTCCTTCATGCGCTCCCTACCGAAAGGCACCTTCTGTGCGAACACTGAGGTCCTGCAGGACAAACCAGATGCCGATGTGGTCTGAGGTATCGCTCAGGCGGAAGGCACTGGCGGCCAAGCTACCGATGAGATTCCTAGTAAACATGCCTTGGGGTTGGCCGCCCACCATGGCCATCCGGGTTAGAGAGTTCTGGTCCTGAACAAAGCCGGGCGCCACGGGAACGCCATTTCTGGTGAAGTGCGCCATGTTGGCTTGTGATGGAACGGGTGGGACGGCTCCATCTTGGCGGTAGGCTTGGTGCTGCGGGTAGAACTGCTGTGGAGGGCCATATGTGCCATTGGAGGGATATGATGGGGGTGCTATTCAAAAAGAGTCAGACGGCTGGGCGAGAGCGTGAACTTGGGCCCAATCAGACTGACCCTGGCCGTATCCCGGCTGCACCTGATAGTCGTGCACGAAGCCGACGGATTGAGGGGAATTGAAGGCGGCATCGCGGTTTGACGGGAGAATGTGCTGAGTGTAAGGCACCATGGAGGTGTCGCCTCCGTTGAGTGTCGTATAAGAATATGGCGTCGTCGATGAGATGGAAGGGCTGCCCGTGGAGGACCGGACTAGATTGACTTCGCGAGTGCCATCCTCATTCCAAAGATCCACGTTGAGGACGAACATGGAGTGGTCGATGGCGCTGTCGTGGTTCCGATGTGTAAGTCAGTGGAAACAAAGGACCTCCAGCCATAGGGCATCGTCACGTACTTGCAGTCTATCTCTCGGCCAGTGGCCGCATCTGTGATGATGAGCCGCACACAGGGCGGAGGCGTAATTGGTCTCCGGTCCTACAAGGGGTTAGTTAGAGAACAGGGCGGACAAAGAGACAGTGAAGTCGAGGCTGGGGGAGAGGGGCCTACCTTGTCGCCAAAGCCGCACATGCGGGCGCGTCTAGGCTGTTGCACAACGTCTAGTCTGTCAGGGTATGGCGAGTTAGTACGGTTGCGCAAGGCCACAAGGAAGTGAGGCCAAGGGGAGGAGGCAATGACGAACTGGTACTTGCGGCCGGTAGCTTCGTCGACCTTTGAGAAAGGAGCGAGCATTGTCTGGGAGCTGCCTTGGGAGTTGGCCGACGACATGGATGAGGTAGAGGGCGCGTCGTCTGGTCTGGAAGCATTGGCCGAGGACGGCGGCGGCGGCGGCGGCGGCGGTTGCATGTGGGGCGGAGGAGGCATCATGTTGTGATGCTGAAGCTGAGAGTGGTGAATGTGCGACGGCGGCGGCTGCTGCTGGGAGAGATGGGCATGGTGCTGGCGCGGCTGCTGATGCTGTGGCGCCGATAGTGGAGGCGGACTGGCATGAGGGTGAGGATGGAGATGAGGCTGACTATGGCCGTGGGGCGAGCCGAGGACATTGAGGCGGTGCATGTCGTGAGGACTAGACTGAGGCTGCCGCGGCGGAGGCTGATGCTGGTGGTGGTGATGCTGGAACGTGGAGTTTAGGTAGACGGGCGCGGCGGCCGGAGCGGAGCCGGGATTGGCGGGGGACGGCGGGTAGGCAGAGCGCATCTGGTCGGGCGGGGGATGCGTCGAGTTCATGACGCGTCGCAGGACTGAAAGGCGGCGATTGACGAGGAAAAGTCGGTATGTGTGAAGTTGAACGGGAAGAGAATTAATTACTCGGGCGGCCTAGCTCGAGTAAGAATCTTCGTGGTGCTTGCAAGGTACCTCGACGCGGCACGGGGCAACAGGAGCGAGCCTCTGGACCTGGTTGCAAGTAATTCTCACGGAGTCGGAATGGCAGAGGAGAGGAAGAGAGAGAAAGAAGCCAACAGACATCAAGGGACGAGAGGAATAGGACAAGTAACTTAACAGACGAGAGGAAAAGGAACGAGGGCCAACGCTACGCGGAGTGGAGACGGACTGCTTTTTCTACTACCACGTCGACACGTAGTACATGAGGGTCGGAGCAACTAACCAACTGCTGTACTTGCCATCAAGCCCGGACAAGGCAATGATGCTCGAGCTTGACGAGAGGCTGCCAGAGACTCGGACCTGAAACTTATTGCCATTCGAATATAGCCCGTGGCCCGGCGCAGACTCGCAAAGCCGTACGTCGAGGGAGTATCCCGGTACATGGCGTAAGGGCCGGCCGGCGGTGGCGACGCTCTGACCCCCCCCCCCCTTTTTTTCCTGCCAGAGTTGCTGTTTATCTGTCTGTTTGGTGAGGAGCACAACCCTGGCTTTTAATACCCAAAGTTGGTTGTCGGATGCTACCTTGTGAGGCATGTACGAAGTACAGCTACATGTACAGTAGCTGAACAAAAGGTGGGCTGGTGTTGAGGAGAAACATGATGCCGCACAGACTCCAAGGCCATTGTGCTCGGCATAGGGTGCTTACTTAATAAAGTACTGTACTTGTATTGTGTGCCTTGAGACGCATCTATTAATTACGTACCCCCTCGCCAAGCTAGGCGCTACGGGCAAGCTTGGCCCAAAGAGGAAACTGTGTTTTTTATACTCGGACCTGACAAGTATAGAGTACATGCAGCAAGGGTGTGGGTTGCACGGGACTCCGTCCGTCCACTCCATCCATCACATGCTCTCTCATTTTGTTGGTGCCGCCGCCCGACCGGTCAAGCGTGGGCCCCGCTAACAAGGAGGTGCGGGTACGGATAACTACGTACCAAGCAAACATGGCAGGGTGCTGGCTTATCCATCCATCTACCCCACCAGGACAGTCGTGCCTGGACCGGGAGCACTGTCCACTTTTCAGGGCCGAGTATTCAGCGGACATCCAAAGATGGAGCGATGTCCATCTCGACTGCTACAAGCCGTGCATGCATGAACGAGAAGTGCCTGCTGTACAGTGATAGGTAGCTTACTGCACATATTGCCTTACAGTAGTACCGTACTAAAGTAAGTTCAACATCTTCCAGGTTGTTATATGTATGCGGTACGGCCCATCCGCCCCTCATGAATGCATCGTTCCCCGCGCCCCCCCCGGCGATGCTCCCTCAGTGTGACGATTGGCCCTCTGCCGACGGGAGACGAGAACTGGCAAATCGTTTGTAATTACTGCTTGTACACATCGCTTCAGGGCTGTGCCGCCGTCGCACATTCAAATAGTCCTTGATCAGCTGCCCACATACGCCCAGCCCAAGTCACAGTTTTGAGCTTCATTGTCATGCACACGCGCGCGGGTAACCGGCCGCCCACGCACAGTAAGCGCTTGCAGGTAATAATGCCCAAGCACGTAACATGGCAACGGCGCTTGCCCGCAGGCCCGAGTAGTATCGTCTGACTGATGCAGGTAGGAAACGTCGTACATGGCTGCCCGAGGCCAGGCCGTGAGAAGCGTCGCCGCCCCACCGCCGCCGCCTTGATAAAAAAATCGACCCCGCAGCCATCTGGCAAGCCGAAAGACTCACCAACGCACCGCTGCTGCCAACAAACGACCAACACCCCGACCATCACATCTCCCGCTACACCGTCGCCACGGCGCCATGGATTTGGTCAACAGGTGCGCCCGTCCTCCTCCAAGCCTCATCCACAAGCTGACGACGGTCACTGTTGTAGCCTCGAGGGCCGCCTGCTCTTTGCTGTGCCGAAGAGTGAGTCACTGGCACTCACAGTGCTTTCTTCCAAAATACCGTTTCCTCCTTGGCTGACGACGTGTCCATCGCTTCCAGAGGGTCGCCTGAATCAGGCCGCCTTGAACCTGCTCGAGGGCGCTGACATCCAGTTCCGCCGCGAGAACCGTCTCGACATTGCTCTCGTTAAGAACCTCCCCATCGCCCTCATCTTCCTCCCCGCCGCCGACATACCCACCTTTGTGGGCGAAGGCCGTGTCGATCTCGGCATCACTGGCTGGGACCAGGTCAACGAGCACGATGCCTCGGTCCGCGCGAACCCCAGCGCACACGGCAGCCCCGATCCTCACTCTTCGGGATGTGATATGGTGATGGATCTTGGCTTTGGCGGATGCAAGCTGCAGGTCCAAGTTCCCGAAAAGGGCAAGTATGCCACAAGCCAAGACCTCATCGGCCGTACAATTGGTACCAGCTTTGTCCATCTCGCAGCCGATTATTTTGCCAAGCTCGAGTCCGAGTCGGCCGGCGATCCCATCACCGACGGCTCTGATCGAAAACTGCGTACCAAGATTATCGAGTTGAGCGGCAGTGTCGAGGCTGCCTGTGCGCTGGGCGTCGCCGATGGCATCGTTGATCTCGTGGGTGAGTCGAACCTTTGCTGTAGCCGTTGCCCGCAGGATGGAGGACAATAAGCGATGCTGACTGCTGCACTCCAGAGTCTGGCGAGACAATGCGCGCGGCCGGCCTCAAGGCCATCGACACAGTCGTCGAATCCACTGCCGTCTTGATCAAGTCCCGCTCGCCTTCGAATCCGGACATGATCCACCTCATCACTTCCCGAATCCGCGGCGTCATCACGGCTCAAAAGTACGTCCTCTGCCAGTACAACGTCGAGCGGGGACGCCTGCCCGAGGCCCGGAAAATCACACCGGGCAAACGCGCCGCCACGGTGACGGCGTTGGACGCCGACGACTGGGTCGCTGTTAGTTCCATGGTGGAGAAGAAGAAGATTGCTCTGGTCATGGATGACTTGTCTCGGGTCGGGGCCCACGACATTCTTGTGCTCGATATCCACAACACACGGTGAGGCAGTCATCTGGCTGATGCATCGCAATCATGACATGATGACATGCTCTTTTTTCCTTGCTTCGGGGATGATCAACGGCGCCAGATGACGTTGAACATCGCTGGTTGTTTGAACGCGCTCCAATGGGCCCCCGGAAATTCGTAAATTTTGAGAAATCAATTCAGGGCAAGGCTTGAAAGGAGGTTATCTAGGGGAGAATGGAGGGAGAGGGGAACGCAGCAGCTGGGTTTCAAAGTCCGAAAGACTCGAGCGACGACCTAATGTATGATATGACATCATGCTTAGCCAAGCTTCAAAGTACTCGGTACTCTCCCCACGGTCAAAGTACATTACCTTTACGGACACGATGCACTCCTACGATTGCCAAGGTAAGACACGTTTTTTGAGGGGGTTTGGAAACCGGCGTCTCTCTTCGGACGAGCCGACAAGAGTCAGCGATGGCCTTTTCTTTGAAGGATCTGAATCTATTTCCATTTCCCGATCCGGGACGAACGTTAAATCGTATACATCATACAGCCCTCTTTAAACTCCCAGCGCTTCTGAACAAATAAATAAAGGCAAGCAACCCAAAGAAGGAAGCATCATGCCGACGCCGACAGAAAAGTACCGGGGCATGCTTCTAGCATGGCAAGCCCCTCACCATACGGAGTGGCTGGGTTTTGCGAGAGCCCAGGTTTTTGCCTCGCTCGCTCCGTCTCTTCCCCCTCTCTCGCCCTCTTCGGGCCCTTGAGGGTTTTACAAAGGCGCCATGGAGCCCATCCTCTCTTCGACGCTGCTCCAGTAGACAATGGGCCGGGGCTCGAGAATGTTGAGGCCGCGAGGAAAGCTCTTGCGTTCTTCCTCGAGCCCACGAATAGACGGCTGGCGGAAGATGATGCTGTTGATGGTGCTCTCGGTAGAGGGAGACGAGGGGCTCGTGTCCGAGGCGGCGGGCGAGGAGGAGCTGGCGGTTGACGAGCACGAGCAGTTCAGCGACGAAGCGACCGACGATCGAGTCGACATGCGTCTGTTTGAGGATGACGGACGAGTCGCAATGGGCTGGCAGTGAGGAGCAGGAGGCGCCATCGCTAGGGGGTGCCGCAGGTGCCGGTCACGGGGACGGGTCTAGACGGGGCCGCCAATGCGGAGGCTTCTGGTTCCGTCGTTTGGCTCGATGGATGCGGATTCCGCCTTTTGTCAACGAGGGAGGCCTGCCGGGAGGTCAAGCAAGCGAGTGAGCGAGTGCGTGGGTGAACGATTGTGAAAGGCCCAGGAGGGAGACGAAACGAAGGTTTAAGAAGACGTGAAGCTGGTGTGCTTGAGTGTGTTGTTGGCGTGTCGGAGGGAGAGACTGAGGTTATTGGCAGGATTCCAGAAGCAATCATGGCGTGCCTATATATTGAATGAACGGGGTTTATTAACTTGACTGCCTGGGCAGGCAGGCAGGCAGGCAGGCAGGCAGGCAGACACGGCGATGCTAAAGGGAAAGTGCCTGGGCACAGCCTGTAACAGCCCAAACAGGGCACCCATGGATCTCATGTTCTTTTCTTTCCTTGTTTGCCTCCAGACGCTGTTTTCTCCGATGCGTCACGATGCCGACTCGCCGCAATGCTAGTCATGCGGCCCGTTTCGGATCTCGGCCACAGGCAAGTGCTAAGACTAGGGGGCTATTAGTTAGAGAGTCATCTCTTTGGCCGACGAACCGCCATCGCCCGGGGATCCACGAATACATAAGTTATTCCACAATCCAGTCATCATCCCTGGATGCGGGGCGACGGATGGTCCCTTTCCGCCCTCCATAACTCGCCCATACTCACCCGACTACTGTACAGTCCTGCTGCTGCGTCTGCTGCTGCTGCTGGCCAACGCTCGCTGTTTCACCCAATTTTTTTTTCCTCGCGACTAATTATTAGTGGCCCGCCGCATTCTCCCGCCCGCCATCCATCCTCATGGTCGCGACGAAACGAGCCGAGGCCCGCCCTCTTCACCACCACCCAAGAACTGAAACTCGAGTCCTCCCCCTGGCCCCTTTTTTCATCTCAGACCGCTGTCACCCACCTATTTATTCCACGATTCGAGCTCGCCCACGACTAGCCGACAGTGCCCCGTCTGCGTCATGCCCTCATCTTGCAGTCGTTCTTGAGTAATTCTGCACTGCGCTGTCGAGTAATGCGGCCAAGAGGCAGCCTCTTGCCCTGAAGCCAATGCGTAGCGCGTCTGTCGTCTCATCTGCTCGATACGTCTATTCAATCTTCGCCTTGCATTATCCTCGTTTCCGTGCCCAAGCTCCCCGCCGCCGGTGCTCCCTTTCCTTTGCCGGCTGTGTCACACTTCTATGGCCATATACACTAGATAGATAATCACGGTCCGGAACACCACGCTAGCCTCCGCCGTCATTAATTTCAATCCACACTTTATCCCTCGTCCACCCTTCAGTCCTCGTCTCCGTATCTGGGCGACCCCCTCTCGGGCCTGCGAAGCGTCACGCTGCGCCTAATGCTCTCCATCCACACAGAATCGTCCAGCATGTCCCGGGCCTGCGATGGGCTCACCAGACTGTCTCGTCCCGTTCCCTGTCCCTGCTGCCGCCCTTCCGGTTCGTACAGTTCGAAGCTGAAGCCTGATGTTGCGCCTTGATGCGGCATCGTCGGCGGCGGCGATCGAGGTCGGCTCAGCGGGTGCTGGTGTTCCGAGCCTTCATTCGCTGCCCCCGCTGCGCTGCCGGGCCTTGTCTCATGCCCGGCGCCTTCGCCGACGCTCAAGTGCGTCCACCGCACCGCAGATCCTTCTTCTGGCTTGAATGGGTTTCTGCCATCGTCGTCATTGTCATCGGCGTCCACCAAGATGTCCGGAATGGTCAGTTCTGGTGCTCCAGACATTCGCGATGCGTATTTGCGTTCCATGTGCTTCCTAAACTTCCTGGTCCAATATCTGCGTTGCCTTGGTTAGCATTGCCCTATTCGCCCCAGCCAGGCCTGAAGCAAGCCACTCACAGCGTGTCGAAGAAACCCTGAACCACTTTGCGCCGTATCTCCTCGTCTACGCGCTGTAGCCTGGCTCGTCGCCGCAAAAACTCTTCCAACCTGCAAGGAAAGTCAGTTTCTGGCATGCGCTCTCCACCCCATCAGACAATGGAACCGCATCATTTGGTCCCCATGGGAGGAAGAAGGAGTCGACGCTGTTTGAACATACTTGAGGCTTTTGCTGTCATTGATGATGTTGTAGTGGGCGACTATCATTAGGACGTCTGAAAAAGCAATGCCCTTGTCTGGGTCGGCGGATGCCAAGACTTCTCCGAAAAAAATCTTGAATCGTCGGCGCCGTTCCCGAATCTTGTCCACGTCTAGCAAGGCTAGCCGTTTGTTCAGCCTGTCAATGTCAATCTCGCTGTACGCGCTCGTTGTTGCCATCGACATGTGCCGCGCAGCTTGGGCATCCTCCCGCACGTCGTCGAGAATCTGCCGCACCGAATCCTCGGGCTGATAGATTCGCATCTGGAAGACGCCAGACAGTTCCCCCAGCAGACGTGGGAATGCTTCCTTGGTGATGAAGCCAGTCCCGGCGGGGTCGACGCTTCGCCAGGCTTCCTTAAACCGCCGTATCTCGTCTCTGTCGACAACGGCCACGCCGCTAGAGCGTTGGTAGACGTAGCTGAAACTCTCGTAGATGAGAGAGACGAAGAGGTTCACGAAAATGTACATGCTCACAATGTTCCACGACACGAAGAGACCCCTCGCCCAGGCCTTGCTGCCGCAATCGCTGTCGGAAAACCTGCTTTGCTCGACACATAGCGGAGGCTCGATCTCGGCGTAGTCTTCCATGATCTTGTTCCAGCCTTCTCCGAGGCTCATTCGGAAAAGCAGAATGAGCGCTTTCGGAACACTTCGGAAGTTGATGTTGCTAGTTTCCTCTCCCCCAAAGCGCGTCAGGCTGAAGGCCTGAGTCATGGCAATGGCAAAGACGAGAAAGAAGACCAGCCATGTGGCCAACAGATTGCCAATCGTCGTCAGACTTGCTGCGGCTGTCTTGAAGAGCTGATCCAGCGCGTCATTGCGCGGAATCAGCAAAAGGACGATGGCGACAAGAAAGAACTTGTGCAGCTGTACGTAAGTTTCTGTTTTGGTGTCGGCAATCAAGAGCGTCATGGTTGCCACGAAGGCGCCTGACACTGCGATCAGGGAGTATAGGTCCCAGGAGCTTCGTCGAAAGCGAGCCCACCCCAGGCCGATGATTCGAAGGGTAATGTTGCTCAAGTAGATGAGCATAAACAGCAGGAACACAAACACGCGTGTTCCTATCCACCATAATGGCTCCGACCTGAACTCGGCCACCAGAAGGAGCAGATGCAAAACAAGCACGACGGTAATGGCCTGGTACCACTTGCCTCGCTTCTCTATGGCCCTCTTGTGGCACCATTTCTTCCACGCCCTCTCCGAATCACCGTATGAGCTTTTGGACGGCGAAATGTGCCGTAGCAACTTGCGCAGCTCGAGCCAGGACCGCTGTTCAGAGGTGAGAAAGGCGACGCCCGTCTGCTCCGTGTAGTTTCTCATGAAAACCGAGATGAATAGAGTCAGGACAAAGACAGTCGCCATGAGATTGAAAACAACAAAGAAGAGGGCATTGCCCTGAGCGACGAGGCTTTGGGGTTGCATTCCTCGTCCCACAATGCCCTGTGCGGCGAAAGACACGTCCGTCCAGCCCTCTTGGCTCACGATTTGGAAGAGCGTGAAGAGCGAAGATCCGAAGTCGTCAAAATCGAAATAGGGATTTGACGCAACCCGAGGCGCCAGCATCGGCCACTCGCTCTTGAAGGGGGTGCTGCTGTACTCGCCGAAGCAACCATCGAGGGTAGAGATGCCGTCAGAATCGTTGCATATCACCATCAACCCGTTGAATAGATTCAGCCCGTAAACGGCGAAAGGTATCAGGAGAGAGAGTGATATGAATGCCGCCTGCTCCGATCATTAGCGACCCGAGACCCATGACCGCAGAGGGTGGTTGGTAGAGAACTTACACCCAGGAGCTTCCACCACCCAACGATAATGAGTGAATGGAATGTGTCCCTGGCGCTGTCACTGACGTTCAGCAAGCGAAGGGCTCGTAGGGCCTTGAATGCCCCAACGGCCCGGGATATGGCGCCGTCGTTGATAAGCAGGGTCACCACGTTGATCCATAGGGTCACCAAGACAACACCGTCTATGATGCCCCACGAGCTTCGCAGATAAGCGTTGGGTGTCCAGATGAACCCATCCGCGATGACTTTGATGCTGGCCTCAACTGTGAAGACTAGGGCAAAGGCCAAGTCGGTCCACACGAACCAGTTCCAAACGACGTCTGGGTGTTTCTCCCGATATTCCTTCTGGTAGAGGGGGGTTGTGACACACGCCAGGACCACCATCGCCACCACCACGGCATAGGTGAAGACGGAGACGGCATACCAGGCAATCTTATTGGGTTCAACCCCGTCGAATCTCTCCATGCCCCTTGCGGGCCCCACTAGCCTTTGGCAAAGATGCCGAAGGGAGCTCTTGGGTCGGAATATGTATAGCGAGTCATTGTATCTTGGATGGCGGGCAAGATACTCTCGCTGAGCTTTGCGCCGAGCCGATGTTGCCGAGACAGCTTGACGCGCCATTTGGCGTGGGTCGAGGGTGTCATTGGGGCCGTCGAATCGGATGTTGGAATAGAACGGATTCGGTTCTTTTTCACTCAAATGCCGCACAAGCCTTCCCCAAAGCTCGGAGAGAAGTCCCGGCTTAACATTGGTCCCCAAGATACTTGTCGCGCTCCTTTGCGGGACGGGACCCCTGCCCCCGTGCTCTTGGAGGGGATCTGTTGGGTCATCGTTCAGGAAATCGCGTACGACGGCGTCCTTTAGAAGCATTTCCATCATAGCAGGCCCATAGTCTAGAGGATCTTTGCGTCGGCGTGACCGCCCAAAGCTGAAAATGGTGGAAAGGGCTATGTTGCTGGATGCGTGGCCCAGTTCTTTTCTTTGCAGGAAAGCTTTGACCTGCTCTAAGCGCTTCTCGTCCTCGGAAACGTCAAAATTCTCCTGAATGACAGCAATAAACATGTTGACCAAGATAAAGAATGAAAGAATGAACCAGCCGATGAAGAATACCGCGCCGATCCAAGCGGTTTTGCGATCTGTTGTGTAGGAGGTGACAGAGTACAAAATCTCGGTCCAGTTTTCGCTAGAAAGGATCTGGTACATTCCGAGAAAAGAGTTGAATATCGTGGAGAAGGAGATGCGATTCAACTCGTTTTGGTCATTGTAGAGAGGTATCTCGCCCCTGAACAGTTGCGCAGCAAAGATGGCCACCAGGAAGGTCATCAAGAAGACGAAGAGCATCAGGTTTGCAATACCAGCGGCGTTTCCCAGCACCAAGAAGATGAGCCCCCGCGTCACTGGGATAGCTAGCACGATCCTGTACACGCGCAGAATCTGGAACACGCTGAGCCATTGATAAGCTCGGGAGTGGCGAATCGGTGGTATCACAATGATGGTGGTTATAACCGCCAAGCCGAGGTCAAACAGGTTGCGCCAGCTGAGATGGAATCTCCGCCAGTAAGCCGCAAATCGAATGACAATCTCAACGTCCAGAATAATGGTGACGATCACCTCGGCCAGATTGATGAACGTCTCTCGGGATTGTGACATCCTAGAGCTTCGGAAACACTGGCAGAGGAGCCCAAAGGCGATCACAATGATCCAGGTTATGTAGGTCTTGTCGTACACTCTCTGCAGCGCCGAGGGCCTTCGTGACCTAGCTTCGGGGGCGCTCTGTGCTACAGGCTCAGGATCCACTGTGAAGGCGCTCGACTTGCTCTCCTCGCGGATGACCTGAAAAGATGATGTGATGACAGCGATCAAGAGGTTCGTCAACCAGAGCATCATGATCATGATGCCAGCACCGAAGAATAGCGCGGCCTGCAAAAAGTCTGATCCCATGGTGTAGTACATCAAGTCGGAGAATGTGTTTGCGCTCATTATGACAAAGACAAGCTCCAGGGACTGGAAAATGTTGTCGAAGTTGAGGGTTCCGTTGAAGGGACTCTCTTGCTGGAGACAGATAGAGCCTCGAGGACAGATGAATCCTTTCCCGTTGGCAGTGCCGGTGACCAGGTCATCCAGGGACTCGGAGGTGCGGAACTTCACCCAAGGCATGATGTTTCCGGTTGCATTGTCCCTGTATCCTCCGCAGAACTGCATGTCGTTGGTGAACGAGGCTTGTAGATTCTTGGGTTCCAGAGGATCCAGCCAAACGCACTGCCGGCTGAGACTCGACTTGAAGCTCTGTACACCTATAATGGCGAAGAGCAGCCAAAAGAAGCTGACAAGAAACGCAACGCGGACCAGCAGGGGTGCGGCCTTTTTCAAGCTTCTCAAAATGATCTGTCAAACGTCAGTTGACCTTGCCGCCAGCGGGCACACCAGTCTCTTCTGCTTACCGCCGTTCCGTGGGTAAGGGCCAATAGTCTCAGGATACGCAGGCAGCTGAGCATCTTGAAGACATAGAGGTGATAGCGATACTCGATTCCAGCGATGCCCAACGTGAAGGATATCCAGTACGAGACGACCGCTACGAAGTCCAGGCGATTGAAGGAGTGGCGCAAAAAGGCACGGCGGGCAAGTTGCAGCCTCTGCTGCTCCTCGAGCGTTTCGGGTAATGCCTGCTGGCCCTGCATGATAGTCGTGAATGAGCGAGTAAAGGCAGACGGCTGAGGCTCCGCTTGGGGATTGCCCTTGGCCGAATTTTGCCGCTCTGGTTGGAACACGGCGCGGTATTGTTCTGTAATGGCAGCTCTCAGTCCCATCTTTCTGTCAATGGTGCTGTACTCTGCGGCGTTCAGGATGAAGCCTGACACGATGGTGCGAGCAACCAGCTCCAACGTAAAGACAATGAACAGCCCTAGCATAGCCCAGTCAATCGGTCGCTTGCCCCACGTTACCGGGCGACCGTTGCCGTCGGCGAAGACGTCGGGTGCCGATTCCACGGCAAGCAATACGGTTTGTAGTACAATGAGCAGCAGAATGACGGGTTCTGTATACGGGTGCACCAGCAGACCGCAAAGCCATAACCTGACACGGCTTCTGGGAGAAAATAGGCCTAGCGTATGACCCCGGAGTGGGTTGGGGGAAGGTCCGCGAAGAAGCGAGGTCCGAGTGACATGGTCGACACCGACAGTCTTCTCAGTCGGTGCCTTTTGTTGCTTCGTATGTTGCGGATAGGGTGAATCGAAGAGCAATGAGCCTGTAGGACTTCGATCGCGGTCGTATCTGGCACCCTGAGGTGAGCAGGAACGGTGACGCGAAGCCCGTCGATCTGCTACCTCGCTCTCTCCGCTGATGTTTACCACGCGCTGAGACATGGCCCTCACAATGGATCCAGCGCGCTGCAGCGCTCCCGCATTCGAGGGCGAGCGGGAAATCAGATGGCCGTCGCGGCCGAGGGGCAAGCCGTAGTGCGCAGAACCAAGGTTAGGGTCCAGAGACAGCCCGAGTCCCTTTGTGTCTCCATCTCTTGTCGAGTTGTTCCCCAGGTTTAATATGGCGTGGAAGCCGTCGTGCGGTTTCAAGCCATGGCTGCCGAAGGCGAGGGAGCCAGAGATGGGCTGGACTCCGGCGGTGAGGGGGACCCTATCGGAGTCGGGGTAGTCTTGATTCGGAGGTTCATCGGCGTAGGGTGATGCAGCGTCCGAGGGACCGACAGAGGCGAATTCGAAGTGACGGTCCTCGGCTGCAGGCTGCCAGAGTTCGGGCGGCAGGGCTGATTGCAAGGCCGTCGGGTCTATTGGTGACTCGGGCCCGGCGGCTTGATCGGAGCCGCTGTATGACGAGTGCCAGTGAGTCGAGATGCCGGGTGGGCTGTTCGTCATCCGAGCGGCACTATTCGGTCCTTCGGCTTGATACGCATTATGGCCCAGCGGTGAGAGCAGGTCTCGCAGGGGAATTGACAGCCGGCGCCGAACATGGCTGCCGTCAGGATGATCTGAAGACATGGGACAGCGCGGTGGATGACGCTTGTTGCGAGACGGACAACTTGCAGGCGACGAAGAGGCCCGGCCTCATTTCACTATCGAGGCTGCAGGTGGACGAACATGCCAATGGGTGTTGGCATCGTCGTCGGAGCAGCTGCTGGGCGAGGCAAGGCGTGGGGGTTGGGTTGTGCTGTCCTTGTTTCAAGTGCGTTTTGGTCTAGAATCGACTTGTTGATGAGGCCGCCCGGCAGCAAACGGAGTTGAGAGTGCCAGGCGGGCGGATTGACGGATCAAGTGCCCTGCCAGGTAGATATATGTACCATTCTCCTGCAGGACTTTCAGTCTGCAGATAGGTACTTGAAAGTAGGAATTTGATCCGACCGGTGCGGAGAACTCCGAAGGTCAGAGAAGGTACCCAAGCCTACAGACACTAGCATCTACCTCTACCCGTGGCCTGAAACGCTTGGTGAGACGCGACGGCAGCTGGATAAGCGCATGTACTCCGAATATAACGTAATCCACCAGGGGTCCGCCACCCCCCAAGGTCCGCCACGTAGCTTACGATTCTTAAGATAACTTTAACTTATAATAATAAAGCTAAAGGAGGTCTAATTTAATTTATTTAAGCTAGAATATATATATTATATCTTACTAATTAAGACGTGCTACTTTAAGTATATCTTCTTTAAGATTTTAGCTATAACGCTACCGGTAACGCTTAGTAGCCTAATCTATATCTACCTTAGCTTTTATAATATCTAGGAGTATTGCTATTTATATATATATATATCTCTATTCGTATAAACGCCTTATTTTTAAGATACGTACTAACGCTAGCCCGCCCCGCCTATTTATACCGCGCCTGTATAGCAGGTAGCGGTACCGCCTAAATGCCCGCGCCCGAGCCCGCCTATACATACATACTATATATAAGGCAAGAAAGGCCGCATAACGTATACCTCTTAATTCGCTTAAATAATATATTTCCGGGCCTTAAGCTCGAAGTTAAAATAATCGGCCCGTTAATTAATCCGGCCCCTTTAGCGCTTACGGCTATATAGGCAGCGGCGGTCGCCCCTACTTAATAGCCTCCTACTTAACGAGCCTTCTAACGCCTAACGAAGCCGAAGGCGCGCTTCTCTTACCGCGTCCTCCTCTTAATCCCCTTCCTCTTATATTTCCTTAGGCTAACGATCTTTATTATAACGCTACGAGAGAACGCGGGCTATAGATAAGTTTATCTATCTCGTCTTGCCCTCGGTGCCTTCGAATGCTCGCGTTAAGCCGCCTCGAGCTAGCCTAACTTAAATTAGGTAGCTATAATAACCTCGTTGCCGCCGTAGCTACCTCGGCTAGCTGCGATGCCTTCGCTACGAGGGAGCTTAGTATAGATAGCTTATTATTACGGGGGCGGCCGCGTATAACCGTAACGACGTCGGGATCGCGGATTCGTAATAATAGCTCCTTAAGGTCCTAATAGTAATAATTAGTAAAGAAATTACTAGAAAGGAGGGGAGTCTTTACTAATAGCTTCTTAAGCTACTAGCGCGAGAGAATATTATACTTTTTAAGCGTTAACCTAGCTTCTATAAGAGTCTAGGCGTTGCCTAGACAGTTGATAAGTGTGGTCAATTGACAAGCTAGGCAGCTTAGTCAATTCGTTACCTTTTGTCGCGTGCGTGCAACACGCCGTACGTGGCAGAGGGGGGTAGTGGCGCGACCACAGCCTGTGCCCTCTTGGGTCTACTCCATGACAGCTTCGAGGCGTTAAAGGATTATATATATATAAGGTAGCCTAAATTAGTATCTAAATCGCCCGCTATAAGGCTATAATAGCTATAGCTCTCGCGTTAGCGAGGGTATCGCGGCGAGGGCAAGCCTATATTACGTAGTAAGTAGGTTAATTACTTCGTAGGTAATTTTAACGCTAAGATCCCTAAGCTAAGTCTACCTAAGGAAATAACGCCTCTATTATATCTCTTACTAAGCGGCCTTCTATACGTATATTATTTCTTTATTCTTAATTATCTATATAAGGGCATCGTAAAGATATAAAAGGTTAGAGGTGCTTATAACTAAATATAACTTTATATCCTTATAGGTAGTCTAGACTAAGCTATTTACCTGCTACTTAAAGTTACGATACTAGCTAATAAGGCAGCCTACCTATTGCTTATACTATAGTATATATTCGTTCGATATATAGGTTACGATATAGCCTTACTATATACCGAAGATCTTATTAAGCCTCTCCTACGCCTTATAGAAATTCGCCTTTATTTTTACGTAAATAACGCGCTTTTAAGTAAGGAATATACCCTTATAGCTATATTTAACTTTACCGTCTAGGTCAAGGTTTAAATTAGCCGCCGCGGCGGCGCTTTACTTAGCGGCGCCTTATTCGACGGCTTCTTAAGCGAGAATAGCTTCGACCTCTAAAGGGATTATAAGGAACAGTGTTCCTACTATAAATAAAGCAGCTATAATATACTCTCCCGATTATATAAGCTAATAAGTAGTATATTAATTATAGATAAAATCTTATCCTATAGAGTAAGAATCGCTCGTTATTTTATATGTTATTATGCATTAAACGGGCTGCCGGTTATCGTATAATCGGGAATCGAAGGAATAGAGCTAGCTTAGAATACTAGCTAAGACCTCTTAAGAATACCGGCACGACTAACCTCCTTTAAACACGAATATTAGTAGAACTAATATACTTCTAGATTTACTTAAGGTATTACAGAATTCCCTAGTCTTAGGGCTATATAGTAGCCTAAATCTAGTCCTAAAAGGTTCTTCCGTTTAGCTATAATTATCTATATAAGATAGTATGTCCGCTAGTAAATAGATAGAGGATTATTAACTTTAATACCTCTTCTATATACTAATATATTACTAATAAATTCTATTAAAAATCCTACCTTATACTCCTTCTTCCCCTCTATTACGTAGTCTTATATAATTCCTTAATTTCCTAAAATTCCGCTTTTACTTATATACCTTAAGAGGGATCTTTATATTAGTAGGGTTTTTAGGGCTATTAAGATTTACTTCGTCTCTTTAGTATAACTAGATTTAAGCCTAAACGTTACTATTAACGTAGAATATATAGAGTTATTATTATATAAGAGGGAAAATATAAAAAAGGGCGTTTTTAAGGGTAGCTTCTTTATCCGTAATAACTATATTAAGCTCTTATATATTAATTATCCTATAAAGCTCGCTAAGAGACTTATAAAGCTATTAATATCCCTCTTTTTTCTCTATATTAATAAGGCTAAAGGCGAAGTTTACTAAAGACTTTTAGTTAGTAACCCTAGTAACTTAGAAAAGGAAGAGCTTAAAGCGGTTTATTTTATATATATTATTAATGCTAAGAACCTTAAGGAAACGTTTCTATATCTTCTAATACTATAGGTAGGTCTATAATACGCCTTAAATCTTATTTTTATTATATAGGTTAAATTTAAAGTAATAAGGAAGATCGCTAGCTTAAAGATATAGTAAGAACGCTTATATAGCTATTATACCTTTAAGAGTAGTAAATAGATCTTTTAGCGATCGTTATAGATATCTTAGATATAAAAGAACGCTATAAAAGGCTTAGCTTTATATAAAATAGTTAATATCTCTTAAGCTAGTAGCGCTTTATATTAAGAGAGGTTCTACTTAAGAGCTTACTATATTACGGTCTATTAGCGATAAATATTATACGCTAAGGGATTAAGAGATAGCCTATAGTTATAGTAGCCCTTAGTAACTTAAAAAGTCTATTACTAAGCTCCTTCCTTATTATATAAGGCCGTTATAATAAGGTAAAAAGGGTAGTTAAGCTTTTAAGTAGATAGCTTATATAGCCTTATACTAGTAAAAGCCCGCTATAGGCTACGATCGTATATAAAGAGGACTTAAGTTATAAGGGAGATCCTATTAATATCTCGCTTATATAAGCTTAACCGCTTAATAACGGCGGTACCGTTCTTATAAAGGAAGCCCTAGACTATAAGGGAATATATATTATAGTACGATTAGTTAGGTAGTAGAGATAGCTAGAGGTACTACGCTATATATATTATATTCTCCTCGTTATAAAACTAAAGCTTATAGGAAGAGGGATTTTTCCTCTTTAGTCGGAGTAGTAAAAGGTCTATAATATATAAGTAGGGTAGGTACGATTCCCTACTAATACCCTACTAATATATTAGTACTACGTACCTAAGTACTTTATTAGCCTATACCTCTTAGTAGCGCTCTTATAATTATCTCCCTTCTTATATAGACGTCTTAGCTATATCTTTAATATATATTACTTTCGCTATACTATATATATTTAATTAAGAATAAAGGTAGTTTTAGTTATATATCGCGCGTATATACTTATATAAGTATATATTAATCTATGCTCTATAATATTAATAGTTATTATACTAGCGGTTACCGCTAAGTAACTATTATAGTATCGCCTATATATTAGCCGCGTAATTATAATATAAAGAGTATATATATATATCTCCTACTTTTTTTATTTTCTTTTCTTCTTTAACTCTTCCGCTTATAATTACTATAGAGTTTTATACCTTTTTTTATTACTTTTTATTAATAATTTATTAACGATAATACTTTTTATACTAAAGAAGATAAAGAACTATAACGCCGATTTCTTACGCTATATATAGGAGTAGGTAGCGGTAGGTTCGCCCTCGAAGTATAAGCGATCGGCCTAAAAGTCTTATAGTAACGCTAGTTCCTCTTTAGTAAAGAAAGCTAAGAAAGGTATAAGGGAATCTTAGTCTTAGGAGACTTTTAGTCTAAGACTTAATATTAGCGAGGGTCGTACCCTTATTACCCCGCTAAATACCTTAACTCTAGCTATCGATAAGCCTACCTCTATA